CTACAGGCAATGCAGTTCCGCGTGTCGACCTTGAACACGCGACACTGAGTACTGCAGCCCCCAGTGAGGTTCACCCTCACTGCAAGAACCAAGATGACAAGCCTGACCTTGTCATCCTGAATGTGAACTCGGTAAGAGCAAGCGGCTCTCTCCGTGCTTTGGTAGATTCTGGCGCGTCGAAGAACATTGTTCGACTGCGAAGTCTATCAAGGCTTGACTTCGAGGATTTAAAGATACCTCGAAGTATGTTGGAAGTACGACTGGCAACGGGTGCCGTCGTGAAGACCGAGAAGCGCATGGTACGCGTGCGCTTCACGTATGAAGATCAAGAGTTTGTCGAGACCTTTATCGTTCTGGATCTGGACGATAAGTTTAACATTGTATTGGGCATGCCGTGGCTTGCACGGCATGATCCGGTCATCGATTGGGAGAAGCGCACTGTCGTGCGCTTCGGTCGCGACAGCGGAACAGTGAGCGATGGCCCTGTTGCCGCTACGCACGCACCGACAGGTGCGCGCGACTCCCCACTCGAGACAGCGCCTAATGCCGCTGTCCCGGAGCGCCCTGGGCGCGCGCGAGCACGCGCGCAAGAGCAGCTAGCGTCGGCGTTGCCGCCGACAGCTAATGAAGGAAATGTGTTGAACTCGGAGGTCGACACCCGCATTTCAGCGAATCAGGAAGAGTCTCCGACTTCAAGGGGCACGGATGACGCAGGCGAGTCACACGCCTCAGGCGTGGAGGCTGACGCGAATCTGATTGGATCAGGTCTGGCCAATAATAAGAGCCAAGGTGGCGTAACGCCGTCGACTCCGGGAGTCGATGGCTTGGGTGAATTTGATTCGTCGGCTCGGGGAGCCGACGCACCCTATGTAATGGGGGTCTCCGCCAATAACAGGCGTCGAGGTGAAGATGGCGTGTCGGCTCCGGGAGCCGACGCTGCAAGCGGTGCGGACGGTTGCAAACGTCCCGCACCGGAAAAACTTGCATGCTGTCGTGCAGCCGGGCTGCACGACGAAGCGCCGGGCGACCAAGCCGGGTTTGAAGTCGCTCGCCCGCGGGGTGAACCCGCCGGCGGTACTGAAGAAGAACACCCGTCCACGGCTGGGCCTGGACGAGGTCAAGAACCAAGCGGAGCCGGGCTCCGCAGAACGAGAAGACGGCGCATGCGAAGGTCGCTGCGCAAGTCTCGGTCTGGGGCCGAGACGCTACAAGAAATGTCTGCCGGGCAGACGGAGGCAGAGAAGCCGGACGTCGAGACGTTGAACGTCTTGACGCGTACCTGTGCCGGGTTCCGGTACAGGGAGATGACTCTCGCTAACCCTCCGAAGCAAACGTCGGAGTTGACTTCGCTTCCAGTCATGAGCTGGAAGCGCTTCGCGCGTGACTTGCACGATGGACGCATCGAGCAAATATGCATTCTCTCGGACGCCGAGAGAACGAAGAGCGAGAATGAAGAACTGAGGCAGTTCTTCATGGAGACCACCACTGAGAGCGAGGACACTCTCAGTGCGAAGACGAAGAAGGAGCGCTTTGAAGAGCAGAGCTGGGACTCGTTGAAAACGAGTCCCTACTACGAGATCTTACGGGAGTACGCGGACGTACTTCCGGAAGAGATTCCTGCGGAGCTTCCGCAGAACAAGAGCATCCAGCACGAGATTGATCTCGTGCCGGGAACAAAGTACTGTGTCACGCGGCAGTGGTCACTGCCGCGAGAGCAGGTCAAGGCGATCGACGACTTCTTTGAGAGTCGTCGCAAAGCTGGACAAGTGCGGGAATCGAAGTCCCCGCACAGTGCTCCGACGTTCTGTGTCAAGAAGCCACAGGGCGGCTGGCGCATCGTTCATGCGTACAACAAGCTGAACGATGCGACGATACCGGCGCAGACACCGATACCGCGAAAAGATGTAATCATCGATTCGATGGCCAGGAGCATTATCTACAGTGCTCTTGCTCTGCGCGATGGGTTCTATCAGATCCTCATGCGTGAGAGCGATATCCCTCTCACGGCAGTGAGCACGCCGAGCGGCATGCTCTGGGAGTGGCTAGTGATGCTGCAGGGTCTGAAGAACGCCCCTGCGACCTTCAACAGGTACGTGACGCACTTGTTGCGCTCGGTGGGCGACTTCGCACCGAGCTACTTCGACGATGTGTTCGTCCACAGCCGGGCTGCGGACGGGATGAGCGATGTTGAGATGCACAAGGTGCATCTCCGGAAGCTGCTTGCGCTTATGCGCAAGCACAAGCTCTATGCGGACCTGAAGAATTGTATCTTCGGGGCGAGCGAGATACCCGTGCTCGGGTGTCTCGTTGGGAAGAACGGTGTCCGCCCTGACCCTGAGAAGGTCAGAGTGATCAATGAGTGGCCGATGCCGTCGAACGTCAAGGAACTGCGGCAGTTCCTTGGCTTGGCCACGTACTTGTGCAAGTTCGTGAAGGACTACGCGGGCATGATACGCCCGCTGTCACAGCTCGTGAAGAAGGACGCCGAGTGGGTTTGGACTGCTGAGTGTCAGCAGGCCTTCGATGCAGTCAAAGCGGGGCTTGACTGAGGCGCCGATCTTGGCGGTGGCCGACCAAGATCGCCCATTCCACGTTGTGTGTGACGCATCCGACGTCGCAATCGGATGTGCGTTGATGCAGCACGATCACGAGGGCCGTGATCGTGTCGTCTACTACCAATCGCGTCAGCTGAAGCCAGCTGAGCGCAACTACCCGGTACATGACAAGGAGCTCCTTGCCATGACTACGCACTCGCGAAGTTCCGAGTGTATCTACTCGGAAGCAAACCGTTCGTGGTCTAAACGGATCACGCGTCGTTGCGGACGGCTGTGAAGTCGCCGCACCTCGCAACGGATGGCGAGATAGCTCTCATTCTTCGCAGAGTATAACTTCCGGGTTGAGTACAAACCCGGAAGACTCAATGTGGTGGCCGACGCGCCCTCGCGTCGACCTGACTACGCCACGACTGATGCCGACGTCAATGCCATTGACGCCATGCGATCGAGCACCCTGACGTCGTCACTGTTGGACGACGTGAAGGTCGCGTACGCGCACGACGCGGACGCGAAGCTCTTGCTGGCCTACGGCTCAGCGCCTTCTGACAAAGCTCGTCAGAAGTTGCCGAAGCATCTTCGTGCTCGTGCACACCGTCATCGGGTGCACGACGGGTTATTACTCTATAATGCAGTCGACGACATCGCGGTCCGCGTTGTCGTGCCCAACGACCATGACCTGCGACTCAGGATCATGTACGAGTATCACGATGCACCGACTGCGGGGCATCCGGGCCGTGAGAAGACATACCTTCTTCTCACGCGAGACTTCTACTGGGCCCACTAGTACAAATGGGTGCGCAAGCACGTCCGTGCTTGCGAGGTTTGTCAACGTGTGAAGCCTGCGCCTTTCGCGCAGGCTCCCTTGCAGTCACTACCAACTCCACGAGAGTGTTGGCAGTCCATGTCTTTGGACTTCGTGTTCGGTCTTCCCCCGGACAGCCAGGGGAACACGGGCGTTGTGGTCTTTGTTGACCGCTTCAGCAAGATGGTACATCTTGCTGCGGTACCCGCTGAAGTGACTGCGAAGCAGACGGCGCGTCTGTTCGTTGACATGGTGTTCAAACACCATGGCATGCCGATCGACATTGTGTCGGATCGGGACCCGCGCTTCACTGCACACCTTTGGCAAGAAGTGTTTACACTTCTTGGGAGTCAACTTTCGATGTCGACTGCGGACCATCCGCAGACGGACGGGCAGACCGAGCGCGTGAACCGCGTGCTCGTAGACGTGCTTAAGAGCTACGCTCACTCGTTCCAACACTGGAGCGAGTGCCTGTCGATGGCGGAGTTCGCCATCAACAACTCGGTGCATGTCTCGACAGGGCATACACCCTTTTACGCGAATGCCATGAGGCACCCACGCCTCCCGAGTCTACTCGGGATGGTGGCTCCTTCCTTAAGTGGGGGAAGATCTCCGAGTGCAACACAGCAGCCGCAGAATGCCGCTGACACTTGCACAGTGTCACCCGCGACTACGCGCAAGAAGAAGAAGAAGCACGCGTCTGTGCAGGGCACAGACACCGCGAAGACGAACGCAGAGGCCGGGCCTACTGCTAGAAACGAGCTGAACGAGTTCAGCTCGGACGCAATCAACTTCGTGCAGCGCAGACAAGCCGTCAATCGGTTTGTCCAAGACGCTATCGCAGCTTCTGTCGACCGACAGAAGCTGAACGCAGACAATGTTGGTAGGGGCAACACTAATGAATTCAAGAAGGGTTCATTGGTTTTGTTAGCAACTCAAAACCTGTCTAAACATGCAGTTTCCGACTTCGGGGCGAGCAAGCTCGCTCCGCGCTTCATCGGGCCGTTCACGGTGTTGGCACGGCATGGCAACGCCTACACGCTAGATATTCCATCTAACATGAGCCTCCATCCGACCTTTTACGTCGGGCGGCTGAAGCCATACCGGCAGCACGAGCCACCTAGCTCGGCTGGACCGAAGCGGAAGCCCCATCGGGAGCGACCTCTGCTCCAGCGCGTGAACGCGCTGGGCCAAGCGTGCGACGCGACCTTCCACGTCGACAGAGATATCCGACGCGGTCTGCGAGGCCTGAGCGACTTGAGCCCTCAGGATCGCCACCTCCTGCTTCAGAGCGGCGAACTCCCGGCTCTGATGCTGTTCCACAGCAGCGACCCGCTCCTCAAGCGTCAGGCCAAGGTCAACCCCAGGTTGACCATACCCGGGGCGTGTTCCCACCACCGCCGCCTCCGATCCGCGACGCCCGCGGCTCAACACGCTGGATTGTTGAGCGTATTGTGAACCATAGTATCCCGAAAACGAACCGGCAGCCGGTTCGTTATCGTATTCGTTGGAGAGGGTTTCCGCCCCACCAAGATACATGGGAGCCACGGGGCGTCCTGCTGCAGGACGTTCCGGAAATGGTGAGGGAGTACGAAGCTCACCACGCACTGCCGACGCGAAGGTAGTGCGAGCACTGTGGTCACCTACAGCGCCTGAAGCCCCACGATCGTCGCGTTCCTCACGTACCAAGAACTTGGCACGGAGATCCTTGAGACTCTCAGGTACACGAATCGTCGTGTACCCGTTTAGGTCGCGGTCGCTCAAGTGCGCCGCACCCGGAAGACACAACGTGCACTGTTGGCCTTCGGGCACAGCGCATGGAATACCAGCGTCCACAGAAGATCTGTGGAGCTGCTCCAACCTCCCGCGCGTCGAGAATATCTCGAAGCGTTCACGGGCATGCTTAACCCGCTCGTGGTAAGCAGCCGACTTCTTGTTGAAGTTCTTAACAAAAGCGTTCCAACTTTGACAAAGTGCCTGCCACTCAGGCACTCTGCTGCGAGAAGAAGTCTTCTTGCTGGAGAAGTGCCGGAGCTCGTGGAAGAGCCCGATGTAGTAGTCGCGCCTTTGATTCGTTAACGGGTCAAAGTGCTGCTCCTCCGCAACAGCATCGTCGTAGATACCGCTGCATACGTACAGCGGAATTTCGTTTGGAGGCACAGTGTTGCCCACGTGGTCTGCGATCTCTGACGCAGACGGCATCCACGGATCGCGCGCTGCCTGAGCAGCGCGCGGAGAGCTCGAAGTCCCCACATCACGTGGGGAGCTTAAAGCCCCAGCAGCAGAGAGCGGAGTTTCGTTCTCGCCGCGCGAACGCTTCGAGCTCGAAGCGTCCGACTCGTCTCCTTCACGAGGGCGTCTCGACTCGGCATGCGGGTCGAGACTATCGCTGTCGATAGACTCCTTGCGCTTGCTAGAAGAGGCCTCGCCCTCTTCCATCTCCACGTCGTCGTCTTCGTAGTCAACGGCGTCGTTGACTACAGAGGAACCTTCGAGGACAATCTCCGACTGGGTTGTCCCCGACGCGGCCTTTGCAGCGAGCGCATCGCGCTTTGCCTGCTGGCGCTCATGGTACTGAGCAACAGAGAGGTTACCCTCTGTTGCGGCGGCGGTCTTCTTCTGAGGCGAGCTCATTGCGGAATGAGCTCGAGTTTTCTTTCTCCCAACGTGAAGAAATTGATGAATGGTCAATTTCGTGATTGACGTGCCGTGACTCGGCTGAGAGCAGCATCTCTTAGCCAATGAGCGACATGCATAGCATTGGAATTCTGCCAACCAGCCGTTGGCAGATTCCTATCTTACAATATTACATTTAGAGGAAGTCAGAAACATAAAACAAAAATAGCAGTTCTCATTTTAACCCAAAAACATTATTTGGATCGTTTATTTAGATTAATCTATACGAGTATAATTAACTCTAATTTAAACTAAGCTACGCTTCCTCACATACACGCGCACACGTGTAAGCTAAAGTAGTGAGCCAAAGTAGGCCCACTACAACTGGGCTTCATGCGTCACATGACGCGTACATCCAGAATCAATGGTCCACGTGGTGTCCATATCAACGTTGGCTTGAGCCGTGAGACTCAGAGGCGGGTTGATGGCGGTGGCTACAGCAATCAGGCTGGACTCGCGGCGTTTATTGGCGAAACACCTTACATCGGTTGCCATCGGCTTCATCATCATCGTCCGAGTCATCCTGGCGGCGTTTGCGTTCGCGGGACTTGCCTCGACGGTAGTCTTCATCATCAGAGCTTTCTTGGCGGTTTTGGCGCTGTCAATTCTTGCCCCGATTGCCGTTGTAGTTGCCACCAGCACTGTTTCCATTGCGCTTGTTCTTGTTCTTGTTCTTCGGGTTCTCACGCTTTAAGTTGCCTTTGAACACAAAGTTCGCAGGCAGTACAGTACCGGCCTTCACGTGTCCAGTCCACAGGTCCTTCTGTAGGCTCCTGCAGTGACGGATAGCGTGGCGCGGGCGGTCGCAGTGCGAGCAGGTATTGTTGTAGCTGTTGCCATGGGTGGGCGGAGTGATTGTAGGTCCAGCCGCAACCAGGGCACGCTCGCTCTTGGTCGCTGTCGTCACCGGTGTGCCCTTCGCCAATGTATAGCGCTCTTGGGCTTGGAGGTCGCACACCTTGCCCTCAATACTCTGCTTGAGGTCCTCATACGGGATGTACTTCCGTTGGCCCTTCCAAACGCGGAGATCATCCTTCCACGACTTGGGCATGGAGTGGAACAGGTAGATTGACTTCTGTCCCTCCGTCATCACCGATTCGGTGGCTTCCGACGCGGCTTTCATCGCGTTCTTAAGCTTAAGGAAGAACTCTGTGAAATCAGAGCCCTCCTCGTACTTGATCTCCATCAGGTAGTGCTGGATGAAGTAGGGGTCGCCGTGGAAGGCAGCACCCTCGTACATATCGCAGATGAAGGTGAAGATGTTGTAGAACGTGACGAGATTTTTGACCAGCCGAACGTGCGTGTTGTCCATCGTCTTCATCAGAAATGCCTTGGTCTTGGCTTCCTGGCGACGGCGCTCACGCTTGGTCTTCGGCTTCTTCAACGGCTTGCGCGCTTGTCGTGCATCATGGCGGTTAAACGGCCGGATAACGGGCAGGTCCTTGCGCTTGATCACAGAGTCCGAGTCACCACTTGAGTCTTCGTCAGAGCCTGATTGGGGCTTGACATCGTAGTCACTCTCGTCGGAGTCGATCTCAGCCGTCTTTGCCGGCTTGGTCTTCGGCGGGTCGTCGGCGTCGGACATGTCGCTCCCGCTGTCCTCGCTGTCGTCCTCGGAGACACCATCGTCGTCGGGCTTCGTCACGAATCCAAGTAGATGCTTTCCGTCGAGGGCTGCGCACACGCGAGCCTTCCAGACGTTGTCGGCTCCGACGAGTCTGGGAAAATCGTCGCTGGAGGCTTGGCTTGAGCTCATAACCTGTTGCGAGGTTAACAGAGAGACTAGGAGGAGAGGCGTATGGAGGAGTCGTCAAAAGACGAAGTGAGTTAGATTAGAGATGGCGCACTGCCAGCAGCAGAGTTTAGATGGTTGGTTCTAGCAAAACTACACTGGTACAGACTATACAGCATAGTTACTCCTTGACTAACAGCTTTGAAGGGATTTTTGTATCAGATCATCCGCTTCCAGAGGTAGATGGTACGATGTGCCACTATGTAAAGGGTGCAAACATTGACAGGATGCATGCTGGCGGGGGCATCCCATCCGCGGCGGCATCCGCGTTCTGGTGGAGCTCGGCGCGCGAGCATGCCGGCCAGCTGGTCGCGCAAGCTGTGGCCAAGGCCGGAACAAGGTGCAAGAGCCACGCGCCGAGGCCGCGCTTTGGCTTGCCGGATCGTCGAAATGCGGAGCCTGCAAGGCGATTTTTTTTGTTTGGCGGCAGGCCGATTGCGCCCGTGATTGTGAGTGTCGCTACATGTACTGCTGGCGGCAGGCGCGGACCTACATGTCCACGCGGACAGCTCGCAGCTTTGTGGGGCTCGGGGGCTCCGCTCACGTGGACCGGGCAGTCAGCGTTTGCGCTGTGGCGGGCGGGGCTGCGTGCTCGGAGCTCCACCGTGGAGCCTCCACGAGCTTTTTCGCCACGCGTGTCGTTCCGACGCTGCGTGGGGCCCAGGATGTTACGCGGTGGGTCCGGTCACAGCGCCACCGATTGCATGCCGCCAGATGCCCGCCACCAGTCACGTGAAATGCAACACGCAACTTGTTTCCGCACTTAGTCTGCTCCTGGACTTGCGTCTGACCGTGCTGTTTCGAGACTGATCTCCTACCCACTCAATACAGTGTGGCTGCAGCTAGTCTGTCAGCCACTCATACTACTTCAACACCTGTCTGCTGCTCCGCAGCTTCTCCTGTCCTCGTCCCTCCTGCTTGGACTCACGCTCTTGTTATCGCTGCTAGCGACACCTCCGTTGCGCCAACGGCTGCAACCGGAGCCGATTCCTAACACAGGAGACACGCCGCGCACTGCCCGCAGTGTACCGCTTGCCTCGGTGTCGGTGACCCATGACGAGCGAGCGCGCGCCCGGCACGAAGCGGGCGAGCCGATACTGGATGCATATTGCACGCGACTGCGGCACGAGTCTCCACCAGCAAGCGGTTAGTTCGTCTTGGATACAACAGCATCCTTTTTAAAACTTAACAGTCCCAGTTGGAAGGGAATACATGTACTTCCAACGATGCGGTCCATGGATACGGGCCTCGGTTAAACTAACGTCGCCAGCGAGTGCAAAGTGGATTACACTGCTAAGCAGTAGTCGGCCGGTATTAATAATCGAATACAATGTACTGCACTTAGAGCATCTCCAGCGGTTGGTCTCAAACACGGTTTTATCCTAAAAGTAACGGTGTTAAGACTTGGCCGAGACTTAATACTCCCAGCGGCAGGTCCTATTGCAGGTTTTAACTTCACTGGGACCTATAGATTGGCTTTCGAGTCTTAAAATAAGACCCCAATCTTAATGCCACCAATACAAAACTGAAGCGTCGCCGTACTCAAATGATTGCACCAAAAGTGAATGTGATTTTCACAGCGTAGAACTCACCGCTCGCTGGGAGTAAGTCGGTCTGCGCGGGTCTCAACTATAAATTTGTGGTCTCAACGACCCTGTTACGTCTTAGGATAAGACCTCACGGCTGGAGATGCTCTTAGGAAAAACGAAGTCAAGCCAAAGCTATCGGAGTAAGTCTCGACAAAATACACCTACAGTCGTATCCGCGATGTAGTAGTATCAACTTGCACCTCGGAGTGCTCTCCGAGAGATAACAACACTTACAAGGACTTTTGTACCGGTAGAAGTACTGCAGCATACGAAGTAGAGCTTCGTCGTTGGGGATCAATGATCCTACCATTCTTATATCCACGGATCGCAAACAAATTGTGCGTCAAACCCTCATTTTCAACAGTGCGCCAAAAGGCAAGAGTTAAACCTGCTGCCTGAATCTAGCACGAACGCCTACTATCAACACTCAGCGATCATCACTGGCGAGGCATAAACTTCGAGTTGTGAGCCACAATAAGCCCGAGCCGAACTCCCCACAGTGTTTCCTCCCAGGGAAACTCCGACGGGATCACGAAGTCGGCGGGGACTTCCTCTCCTCCATGCAGCTTCGCGTAGATATCGACCAACGGAGCGATGCGCTTGTTCCACGCTCGGAGCGACAGCTTGACGTCGAAACCGAGCTTGTCTAAATTATCGATGTCACGGCCATACTGCGCAAAGTATGTCCCTCTCGATCGCACGTGGGCGAGTACTCGACCCGCTTTCTTTGCCCACGCTTCCTCGGCCAAGGGTCTTCAGAAGGAACAATAAACTCGGCGGACGTTGCCCTTCTTGTAAACCTCAGCACACACTTCAAGAGCTGGAAGGATGGCTTCATTACACTCTGCATCGTTACAGATCCAAACAAAACCGAGGGTGTCCAACTCGTCCTTGTCCCGAGCCGCTTGCTCCGTGTAGCTTTTACCTTGTCGGAGATTTCGAACAACGGATCCAAGTGGCATTTTCCACGCCTTAGCTGGCCATGGAGGGGAAGCTGGTACTATGAAAGAAATCGGAATACTGCAGTTCCCAAACTCCTGACGGTACACTTGAAATGACGGTAGGATCTTCTTCTCTCAGTCGCGGTCGGCGACGGACATGTCGTAGCAGAAATCCATCCTGTCAAGTTCTTCCTTTGACGCAAGCACTTGAGAAGAAAACGTTACTCCTCGCCGAATGTGCGAGAGTGCGCTTCCCAGTCGATAGCCCCATGCCAGCTCTGGCCACGCCTCATCACCACTGGGACAACAAACAAATACGGGACATCCACGTGGCCGTACACTTTCCGGAATTGCCACAAAGCCGGCAGGATGATGTTATCCCATTTGAATTGAGGTACATTGTCCGCGATGCTCAACTTGCCCAGCTCCTCTTGCATCCCAGAAGGAAGACGAACATTGTTCTCCAGCTTGGTCCGTAGATTGCTTACCGCACGTCCTAATTTGTAGCCCCACGTCACCGACGGCCAGCGTTCATCTCCAGAAGGAACCACAAACGATAGTGGCACGAGGAGGCCCCCCTTTAAGTGCTGATAGCTCCGAGGTGCTGGCACAATCCTCTCCTCCCATGCAGCCGTCTTCTGGTGAACCTGTGCCTCCATTTTGACATTTTCGACATCATCGAGACGATCGCCTGAACCGACCTGCTCTTCTGTCAGCGAAGAAGTGAAGCCTCGAAGAGAGAGAAGGCAGCGCAGTCTTGGCTCTGAGCTGGCGATGGCGGGTAAAGCCTGGAGCGGCCGCCACGCTCGCCCGCGCAGCGAGAACCGAGCTGCACTGCCAGTCCGTCAGCCAATCACAGATTATTGCCAATTTTTAATTGATTCCAAATTAAGACGTCCTGCAAGTCCACAGGTCCAGAAATAAAACATCGAGCGAGTGTGAAACAAGTACGTTATCCATGCAGATAGAGATTTTCATGGAATTTTCCGTGTAGGGATGGAGAAATGGAGCGATTCCAGCAGCGTTTTTGAACTCGTATTATACTTCCTGGAATAAAAATAAGATTCAAAACGCTGTGGGAATCGGTCCCATGTGAGCATTGTCGTATTGATCTCATCTACAGAGTACAACACGCTCAGCATAACAGTAGTACATGTATTGAAAAGGAAGCAAGCATTGCCCTTTGATTCACATTTGTAAAGAAAGCGTGTTTTCCTCCTTATAAGCCCTTAGTGCTCGAAGTGGTCTTTACCGCATGTCAATAGGATAATTAGAAGCTATCAACCGGTATTCGGGGGCTCGATGCTGTCCGGGACTGTCAGCATTGATTCAATACGCACTCAAACAGAAAAGAGTGTTTCATTTTTAGTGTTCTCCACCAGAGGTCACAAATGCTGAAAACCGGTTGTCCGTATCCGGCCGTGCCAACCTTGAGGCAGGATTCGGCTGTCCGTGGACGGCCGTGGATTTCATTCGGCCAGCCGTGGCTGGCCGGCATTTTGGCTTCGGTTGGCCGTAAAACAGCTGGGGTTTTTTCGTACCAAGCTATTTCTACATTTGACTGGTGATACGAATATTATTCAACGCTGGAGGACTCAATACCGCTTCCTTTAGCCACAATACTCATTGTCAACGTCAAGAGCAGTCCTTTTGGCTATAACAATCGAAGCTATAGCAGCTAAAGTTGATATCGCAATGAATCTCGGTTATCCGCAGCTGGCCGTGGTGTCCGGCCGGACAGCCGTGGCTATCCGTAATCACACCCGTGAGAGATTTCGGCTGGCCGCGGCTGGCCGCTTGCGACCTTTGTTCTCCACTCCTTCACAGTTTTTGTTTTTCATTGTGATTGGTCTGCATCGAATACTTTTGTCATGGACGAGGTTCCGTACAAACCAGCTCATTGTATATCCATAAACCGCATACAACCTCTCAGCTTGAGCCTCTGCCTGCCAAATACCAACCTCAGTTCTCCAAGCCACCGTCAGAATACTTACCAGGTCGTCTGCAAGTGCACACTGTTCGCCGACCCGTCGGAATGCTTACCTCCCGCCACTTGCGTTCAGTATGTTCAACACCCTACCCCTCCTACTTCAACTTACTCGTCCGCCCGTCCGCTCATTTCGCATCTGGCCGTCCACTACCGAGACCGATCCTAGCATCGAGATGGCGCCGCTCCACTCCGCCGTGGAGGCCCGCGACGTGCCCGTAGTGGCGTACGAAGACCTGGTGGCCAAGAAGGACCTGTCCGCCGTCGTGGAGGAGGCGTTCGGCTACGAGGGCATGGGCATCCTCGTGGTCAGCGGCGTGCCCGAGCTCAGCGCCAAGCGGAGCGACCTGCTGCCGCTGGCTTTCGCCTTCGCCAACCTGCCGGAGGACGCCAAGGCCAAGTGCGAGCTGCCCGAGGCCTTCTACAGCTTCGGCTGGAGCCACGGCAAGGAGAACTTGCAGGGCAAGCCGGACTACGCCAAGGGGTCGTACTACAACAACCCCGAGGTGAACGACCTGGCCAAGGGGGACCAGCAGCTCATCCACAAGTTCCCATCCTTCTTCCACCCCAATATCTGGCCCAAAGGTGACGTGGAGAGCTCTGTCTTTTGTGTGGCGGTTGTGTATTGAGGACTGACGGCGCTTGGGTTTGGTTTGTTGCTTGTAGAGCTGCCGGAGCTGGAGGCAGCCTTCATGAAGCTGGGCCAGCTGATCGTGGACACGGGAGTGCTAGTGGCCCACCAGTGCGACAAGCTGGTGGAGAGCAAGTGCCCGGGGTACGAGAAGGGCAAGCTGCACAGGATCATCAGTACGGGCAAGTGCTCTAAGGCCAGGTATATATATCGAGGTGAAGCTGTGCTGTGGATATATGAGCGCTGATGTGATGCTGTTTGCCAGGTTGTTGCACTATTTTGCGCTGTCGGAGGAGCAGATTGCGGCGCAGAATGAGGCGACGACGCTCGAGAATTCCTTCGCCTGGTGTGGATGGCACAACGACCACGGCGCGCTCACCGGACTGGTGCAGGCCATGTTCATGGACAGCACGGGCGCGACGGTGCCGAACCCGGACCCTCAAGCGGGGCTGTACGTGAAGAACCGTCGTGGTGAGATCCTCAAGGCCAACATCCCTCCGGGGCACTTGGTCTACCAGATTGGCGAGACGTCGCAGATCCTCTCGGGTGGCACGTTGCAGGCTACGCCGCATGCTGTGAGGGGGCCGCAGGTCACGGGTGTCAACCGCGAGACTTTGGCTGTCTTCATGCAGCCACTGCCGGACGAGCGGATGGCGGTCCCCGAGGGAGACGGCTCCAAGGACCCTCTTGAAGCTGGGAAGACCGAGAACCTCCCCAAGGGCGTACCTCCGCTGCTCTCGCGCTGGCACAACGATATGAGTTACGACGAGTTCACGCAGGCCACCCTCAAGGCCTACTACTAAGTTGGAAAGAAGAAGCTAGTGTCATTCAACTTGCTTGTTAAAACTATCTTCTCACCCGGCCAGGTCGTTGACCATCGCTTGCGGTGTAGCATGAGATCGTACTGGTTGCGCTCTTCTTGTTGCATTACAGTGATATTTTTTTCAGCATACATGTATTCTGGAGGAACCACAGTGCGCTCTGGTCAGGTCGGGCTGCTTTTTGAACGGTCGATTCCGTGAGAATCGTGGAGGTCGGGGATACCCTTGGACCCGAATTGCATAATGTCTAGCGTCGTGCTGGAGCAAAAACGTCCTCGCATCGAGGGCGAGAAACTGCAGCGCGCCGGTGTCCAATTGGTCCAAGTATTCGTACCCGTCTTCTTCACGACCAGCTCCACCTCCGGAAGTGCGGCACCGTGAGGCGGTACTCCTGATGACCCCACAGTCGTCAACTGAATCTCCTCCGATGAGTCCCCGCCCACAACCCGAGATGCGCGAGACGGGAGGCGCAGCCGAAGTAGCACTGAGCTAGTCGCCGTCTCAAGGGAAGCACAGCGTTGCTCCAAACCGATGGACGCTCTACCCTGCAGAGTCTACCGGTGTCGATCCGCCAGGAATCCGATGGAGCTGCGCTCTTTGACGGGCTGGTGCGGGTCATCAGAAACAAGTTGAACTATTTCAAACACGGAACACAAACTGCACGCTTACTTGGCCAGATCATCCACTTCTTTTGTAAGCGCTGCGGCTTCGATCACTACTTTCGAGCCATAAACTGCGAGTTGCGCGCCACAATAAGCCCCAGACGCACGCCCCAGAGTTTTTTCTCCCACGGATCCTCCGATGGTACCACGAAGTCAGCTGGAACTTCTTCGTCTACATACAGCTCCGCGTACACCTCCAGCAACGGAACGACGCGCTTGTCCCACGCTTGAGACGATAGTTTGATGTTCACCCCGAGCTCGTCCAGCTTGTCGATGTCGTGCCCGTAGCCTGCAAAAAACTGTCCTCGGTGTCGCATTTGATAGAGAGCCATGCCTAGCTTCTTTCCCCATGTTTTTCTTGGCCAAGGATCTTCGGAAGGAACCTCAAATTTGATTGGGATATTGCCATCCCCGTACACATTGACGTAAGCTTGAAGGGTTGGCATAAGGATTTCACTCCACACTGCATCACCACGACTCCACGCAAAACCGAGGGCATCAAGCACGTCCTTGTCTCGAGCCACTTGCTCCGCGTAGATTAAACTGGTTCGTATGCCATGAACGATGACCCCAAGTGGCATTTTCCAAGCCTTCTCTGGCCACGGAGGACAAGATGGCACCGTAAACGAGTATCCAACGATGCAATCCCCGAACTCTTGCCGGTACACTTGAAACGCGGGCAGAATCTTCTCCTTCCAGTCGCGTTCAGCGATCGTCATGTCATAGCAAAAGCCCATCCGGTCGAGCTCCTCCTTCGACGCAGCCACTAGAGTGCGATACGCGTTTACTCGTCGAATGCGACTGACGGTGCCTCCCAGTCGGAAACCCCACGCCAGCTCTGGCCACGCCTCGTCACCGGTCGGGACGACAAAGTCCGTGGGGACGTCCGCGTGGCCGTGCACTCTTCGGAATTGCCTCAACGCCGGCAGGATGATGTTGTCCCAGTAGTACTTGGACACGTTCGCCACGAAGCCCAACCTCTTTAGCTCCTCTTCCATCCGAATCGAAAGACGCTCCTTCTTCTCCACCTTGGCCCGTAGATAGCGGACAGCGGCCCCTAGTCTGTACCCCCTCGTCACCGACGGCCAGCGCTCGTCTCTATTAGGAACCACAAACGACGACGGCACAAGGAGGTCCCCACTCAGCCGTTTGTATGTCCGCAGAGCTGCCAGAATCTTCTGCTCCCACGCAGACACCCCCCGGTACTTTTCGACCACCTCGGTGCCGTTTTTGACAGCGTCGTTTGAATCGGCCCCCCCGTCCGACAGCGTAGCGCTGAAGCTTCGAAAAGCTAGCGTGGGTCGCAGCCTTGTTGACGAGCAGGCGTCGCTGGTCGCTGCCTGGAGCGGCCGCGCGAGACGCCACCCTCGCCGCGCTGCGAGCCGCAGCATCGCGCGTTTTGGACACTGGTAGCCAATCACTTGGTCGAATCAATCGGTTACAATTTTAGACTGGTCTAGGTTTTTGATTTTTGCTTCGATTTTTCTAAACTGCATAGAAAGTAGAAAAAGGAACAGATTCTATATCAGTATGTATGAAATCTACTAAATCTGTCTCAGTTCTTATTTGGCACTCGTCCAAAATTACACACAACACATTAAGGTCTTAAGGTCGAGCGTGAAAACTGCCCAACTAACCCATAATACTTCGAAGTATAAAGTGTAAGGTGACCCCGAGTTTCTGGAAGCCATCCCTCGTTTATTGTTTCTAAATGGCGCGAGGCGAGCTAAGAGCAACAATACGCGTACAAGGTACCGCCTTTCAAGGTGCAAACTGCGGGTTGCGAGCTACGATGAGCCCCAGTCGAACACCCCAGAACTTTTTCTCCCACGGAGCTTCCGACGAAATCACGAACTCGCGTGGGATTTCCTCCTCTCCATGCAGCTCAGCGTACACGTCCAGTAACGGCTCCACGCGCTTCTGCCACGCTCGAGATGACAACTTGAGGTTCACTCCGAGCTCGTCTAATTTCTCAATGTCGCGCCCATAATACGCGAAATATGTCCCCCCTCAATCGTATATCGGAGAGTACCTTACCCTCTCAGGCCAATAGACTTCAGACGGAGCAACAAAATTAATTGAGGCTCGGTCATTCTCGTACACGTCCACATACACCTCAAGCGCTGGAATAATGATTTCGTTCCACACCGCATCACTACGTCTCCACGCAAAACCGAGAGCATCTAGCACGTTCCTGTCTCGACTTGCTTGCTCCGCGTAACAGTCACCAAAGCGACATCGGCTTACAACGATTCCAAGAGGCATCCCCCACGCTTTCTCTGGCCATGGAGGACATGCTGGAACAACAAACGCCGTGGGAATGATGCAGTCTCCGAACTCTTGGCGATACACGTGAAATGATGGCAAAATCTTCTCCGTCCAGTGACGTTCAACGATCGACATGCCGTAGCAGAAGTCCATCCTGTCCAGCTCTTCCTTTGACATGGCCACTTGAGCGGTATACACTTCCTTCTGTCGAATGCGGTGGACTGTGTATCCCAGTCGATAACCCCACGCCAGTCTTGGCCACGTTTCGTCATCGCGTGGGACGACAAATTCGTGCGGGACATCTGTGTGCTCGTGCACTTGATGAAACCTCTGCAGCGCCGGCAGGACAATGTTATCCCACTTATATTGGGCCATGTTCTTGACGAAGCTCATTTTCTCCAGCTCCTCCTTCATCCCAGTGGGAAGAGGCGACTTGCTCTGGAGCCTCCACCGGAGATCTCTCACCGCAGTTCCTAGCTTGTATCCCCACGTCACCGATGGCCAGCGCTCATCCCCTGTGGGAATCACAAGCGACTGGGGCACGAGGAGATCGCCATTCAAGTCCCTGTACGTCCGCAGTGCTGCCAGAATCTTCTGCTCCCACGGGGACCTCCCCTGGTATTGTATTGGCGAGATGAAATGCACTACCAAAATTTTCATTTGTCCATAATTTCAAAAGTACTTAACATATAAAGGCAAGAAGACCAGCAATGAAAACAGCATAACATGCAGAATGTAGGTGCACACGTGTTAGTATCCTACTTCTTAATTTTATCGGCATCATCCGGCGATTTCTGCTGCGGGAAAGACGTGCTTGCTGATCTGCACACGACATTTTTTGCCATATTTCCTAAACGAAGATGATAAATCGAGAAAGCTATGGCTCAGACGTAGCCTCGATATTTTCGAGAAACCGGCGGACAGTCAATTTTCATTTAGGTATATATCATGCATTCGCTGCGACTACAAGTCCAAACGTAGTTTACTTAAAAGAGGAAGCGCAGAGCTATCCAACAAAACAAAGCTCACACCATTCTGATTACTGAGTCGCGCCGTGCGCGCAATGTCTCTTAGCGTAGCTAACGGGGTGAAGAAAAAAAACAGAAAAACAGAACATAATGAAAACAATCAATGGGCTGTAGCAGTTATTAACGGTTGGCGCCTATGGTATCAGTCAATCTTGCAGGGATTTCCAGTCGCGGAACTGTGTGTGTTGTAGGGATGTCGTATACGGCGGTTCAATGATGAAGGATATGAGTCGCTTCATCTCCTCTGCTGATTCGAGATCTGGATTAAATCTTGCGATGTAGTCGTAAGTGAGCTTGTTCGTCAGTGTAAGTGTATCAAGGGTCTTCGTTCTCGAGAGAGCCACATACAGTGACTGTGTAGGCACGCCACCTGATCTGTGAAGCGGGGTGACAACGACGCCATCGGGGCAAGTTTTCCCCTGGATTTTTCTGTAGTACAAGCAAATGCTGGAACCACAGGAAATTGCTTGATGGTGATAGAAGCTTGAGCAAAGTTTGGCATATTCTTAAGCTTGATGTTGGAGGAGATTCGAGGTACACCAATTACGCCTGGCGCAAAATCATCTACGAGAACTGTATTGCAGTCGTGCAGGCGTATCAAAAGCAATTCGGGTGGGGAAGCCAGTTGAATTACCGTGGGTTCATCGGATTCGACGTCAACACATGATCGAGACTCGATGGGAGGATAGAAGCCAATGACGGTGCCAAGCGTACCATTGGCGACAACACCCATGTTCTTAAGCACAGGAAGTTTCCTGGTGATCATAACAGGCATTCCGACAAAGGAATAGAGTCTCATGGGGATTCGCTGTGTCAGATCTTCGTTCGCATCAATAATATGCTTAAAAATATGCTGTGATCTATTGGAAGGTTCAGCGGGGAATTCGTAAAGGTATGAACCAGTATCGGCGCTGATCTTAAACGTCATCACCTTATTGATGGCACAACGGAGGTTGTTTGTGGAAACAACCAAGGGGCGGAAAAATGTCGTGGAAGCCGTGATTGTAGCGGGAGCTTTCTTGACTCGAGAGTTTAGGGAAGCCAAATTATCCTCCGATACACGTCCCCAGCGGAGATCAGCCAAGATTCGAGCATACAAGTCGTCGTCATCGGCTCTCATATTTTCCGTGAGGAAGACGACAAAATTAATAGTGTTGTATAAGTTGAAACCTGCGTGATGGTATCTGCTAGCGGTTTCATCGGGTGGCGTGAAGCCTACATAACGCAGAAAAATAAGTAAGATGAGGAAGGAGAAGGTGAAGATGTGTTGAAGGAGTTTGAACTTACATGGGGTGCCACGAACAGCAGGCAGTTGTAGCCAATCTCCACAAAGTAGCACGCGTTTGCCACCAACGAGCTTTTGAGGATTATCACTCATAGCTCGAGATGCGAGATCAAAGCTACCTAGAAGTGCCTGGTCTGTCATTGATATCTCGTCTACAATAACGAGTACAACTTTTCCGAATTCCGACTTCATCTGTAAAGGTGGAAGACTTCGTTGGCCCATTCCAGAAATGTCTAAATTCCGCGCTGAATATAAAGTTTTTCCACGAATGTTGATGGCAGCAACTCCAGTGAAGGCAAGAGTTTCGACCGTTCCTGATCGCCCCCACTTGTCGGCAAACGCTGAACAGCATGGATAACAGTAGATTTACCGGTTCCGGCTTCACCTCCCAAAAACCCTACGAATTGGTTTTGTGGTCGATACGACAAGAGACGTTAGTAGTTTGCTGGGCATCTTCAACGTCCTTCAAAAAGGAATACAGAAGGTGTCTGTCTAGCTAGCGTCTCGGACATGACGTGCTGCCAAAGATTGAGGCGAAATGAAAGCGATACGTCAGCAATAGACGGAAAGTCTGGTAAGTCAGCCGATGCATCGTTTTCAAGACCGCACGTGTCTTGCCAGGGAACCGGCTCAAAACACTCCTAGTACTACACGTAGATGGTGTCCGCCTCGGGACTCTAGTAGCTCGTGTACTCCATACCCGTCTCGGGGCTCTAGTACTACAGGTAGATGGCGTCCGTCTCGGGCCTCTAGTAGTTCGTGTATTCCATGTTCGTCGCGACCAACAGCGCGGCGACGCTTACATGTAGTTTGATGTGGCAGCGCCGCCAGCGCGGGAGGTCGCTCTGTAGTGTGGCGAGATGCTCCAGTTGGTGGCTGCGCGAACCGCTACGAAGGCTGCACAGCGTCGACACTGTACTGCACTGCGCCGCGTCGTCGGTCGTCGTGTAGGAAGTACTTGGAGCATGCATGTACGACCTCTCTATTGAACGCGTGCCAGACGCGTTTCGGCCGGCCTCGTCAGTGGCTTTACCAATCGAGAAGTGAGCTCTCTCTCTGTACGTGTCCTCCTGGGCGGTCGCCCCTACGAAGCTTCTAGAATCTCCTAAAGATCTGTCGTGGGTACGACTCTGGTGTCGTAACCGTGTACCCCCACCATGGGGTTACACCTACGTGCCTGCAGCACTTCCAACACGTCGGCACTGCACAAGATGAGCAGGCCACAACAATGTTGGGGTGGTCTGGGGGTCGTTTGCGCGTGAAAGAAGCCGATTTAAACTATCGCTCCTGACATGCACTCCCTTGAGGCGGCCATCACTCCTCATCTCTAAATCTAGACCTCGGTGGTCGTCGAGGCTGGCACCCTCTCGCCGCCGAATACAAATACGTAAATAAAACGCCAGTAGCGTCGGCCACGCTGCGGCATTACTTAAACGGGGTTTCAGATTTTTCAATTAGGGTCATATATTTATAGAGGTCTTTTTAGCGAACAGCCGCTGGAGTACTGAAACTGAGTTTAACTGCAAATAGTTTAAAACTTCTCTCTAGATATAAAAAGAAGGAGGTCGCGTTGCATCAGCGACTGTTATGCTCTTAGCTTACGCTAAGAGAACTTGTCACACGCCCCAAATAAAATCGTGAGTTTAGGGGGTCCGACAATGGAGATAATTTTTCTAGACCGATGTCACTCCGCGAGTTCTAAAAATTTCAAAGCATTCGATAGCTTAAACGAAGCACAAGACACGCCTCTTTCGATTGATGCGGTTAAATCGTGATTCGTACTTAGGTTCGTAAGCATCTTTTCGTTTGAAACCGTCTCATCTTCTCCGTCCAGTCCCGTTCGGCGATGGTCATTTCGTAGCAGAAGTCGATCCTGTCCAGCTCTTCCTTCGACGTGGCCAGTTGAGCGCAATACGACTTCTTTGCTCTAATATCGGTAATGGTGTTTCCGAGTCGAAGGCCCCATGTCGACCTCGGCCACGAATCATCCCCCGTCGGTACAATAAAATCTCTTGGGATATCGGAGTGGCGGTGCACTTCATAAAATCTCTGCAGCGACGGCAGAACAATGTGATCCCATTTGTACTGGGACGCGTTCCACACGAAGTCTATTCTCTCCAGCTCCTCCTTCATCCCAGCGGAAAGTGGTGACTTGTTCTCGAGTTTGGTCCGAATGCGGTTGACAGCAGTCCCTAGACTGTATCCCCACGTCATCGACAGGAACGACAAAAGACTGAGGCACGAGGAGGTCTCTGTTCAGCTCCTTGTATGTTCGCAGCGCAGCCAAGGCCTTCTTCTCCCACGCGTATGTCCCCTAGGATACCTCAGCCTCTTTTTTGAATTTTTCGACATCGTCCAGACGATCACTTGCATCAATTCGTCCTCCCTCCGGCGCAGAAGAGCTGAAGACCCGAAGAGCCAGATGAAGGCGCATCCTAGTTTCCGCGTAGACACATCCAGGCCTGGGCGCTTCCTGGAGCGAGCTCCACGCTCGGCGTGCTGTTAGCCGCAGCATCGAGTGGCTCCAAATGCTAGAATTTTAGATTCTACTGAAAACGTTGGACAGATGATGGATAACAGATGGATAGTCGTTGGACTTGCCGTCCAACGATTTCGAATATCGAGTTGAGTCTATTTTAGCCTATTCCTGTTTGGCGACTCAATAGAGCCGAAAACGTTGAACCGTTTACACAATGAGGTGTGGCAGATGTAGGTTCGGGGGCAGCATTGAAAAGCGGGATAAAGCAAGAAACAAAAGCTAGAGAAGCAGGCACTGGTGAAACATGGCGCGACTTCACCCACGGATCATCACGGCGGTGGATTTCGTAACTTGACGCTGAGCGCCGTATCTTCGTGTTGGGCGCCGTAACTTGGCACGTGTAAGGATCGCATCGTGCCGGTAGCTAAGCGCAGGTGCAGATGGCCCGCCAACTCACATTCTTGACTGACAGGGCGCAGCCGATGCCTAGAAGACGCACTGTGAGCTCTGAAGAGCACGACTTTCGCACAACACGAGCGCGAAATTTTGCCGCTGTCGTAGTCAAAGAGCCAGCATAGCAAGACAGACTCAAGTATCAAGAAGGACGAGGATTCCGCCATTAGAAGAGCAACCGAGAGCAGAACCAAGGTGTGCAAACTAATCGGAACGGCTAACATGTATTGACTTGCATTAACGATCTATCTCTGTGACCTGTTGTGGCGGCACAGAAGATTAACGACGGTAGACCATTGTAGCTATTCTTTACGGCGAGTGTAATTTCGCTGGGTTTGATCTCCAATCGGCAAAATGTCCATTGCTCCAACCAGCATTTGCCTTGCCTGCTGAAGCGACGGATTAGTATTATTTTGACGGGAAATGCTCTCGATTTTCAGCATTACGAAGCGAGAATCTGACAATCGCTTTCGTGTGTTTTTGTTTGGCAGGTCCATTGGCACAAGCGATCGATACGGCGGCCAGGTTTTGCTTGGGCATCCAAATCACCAAAGCCCCCACGCCACACTCAACGGAACCATTGGGAATGTGAAGCCACCAGGATGAAGCCTGGCTCATTGAGGAAGTTAGCTCACAATCAACTTGAGCGACTCGTCCGTTGACACCTAGTTATGCTTGTGTTTGTCGGGCAGCAGAGTGGCTGCTGCTACTTGTCTCCTCTCGTCACTAGTATAGTTTGCAGTGATTGATGTCACTGTCGGAAGTTTGGCTGCCGTTGAACAACTTGCACAATTGAGGCGGAGTTTGCGTGGATGGTGTGCATCATTTGCGTTATGCCGGTGGAGTGAAGCGCTGCGGCTACGGCTTCTGTGAAGTTACAATACGAACGTAATTATGCCATACGAGTACACCTCTCTCAACTTTGTGCTCACAACGTTGCCTTATCTCGTTCGTCCACTGTGTCTGCTCACTAAGTACGGTCCAACACCACTAAGTTCGTTTCCATCCACTGGCCCTGTTCAGGCAAAACTGGAATCTGGAACCTGAGAAAAAAAGCTCAGGCTCCAGCATTTGCCGCGTATTCAGCGTTGCGAGTGAGCACATCGTACCATCGTTCTCAGCATTAATTCTGACAGGGGGAGGTCACAGAAGAAAACTCGCGCAGCGACAACGAGCGCCACTGCGACGACGACGTTGCTCACTACAGTAAGGCTATGTAGATGCGGCCTTCTTGACTCGCTGCGTCTCTGGTACTGACCCACTAGTATTATATCCGCACATTACAGGTGCTGGCTGCTGATGAGTATGTACAATCGAGCTCGGCTAACGTTGGCGCTGATGCTAGATAGAATGAGAGCCCCTGCCACCACTTCGCCGCTGCATACCTTTGCATGGATACAACACTGGTATGAGATTGAGATGCAGGCTGCGGCGGAGCTTTTAGCACCGCAGGATCGTGAATGGCTTGCTAAGAGCCGAAGCAGTCATTGGTCTAAACTCTTATTCTCATCGCGGCTCTACTTCGACTGCAGTATGAAGGACTTATTTCGCATGGACAGTGGAAGCATTGCCGCCCTTGCCAAGGCCGTGTGCCCACATCTATCCCCGCTCAAAGCCGCACCGGATGCGGTCTTGCCGCCCAAGCGGCTGGCGGTTTTCCTGTACTTGTGCGCACAAGCATCAACTTTGCGAGCAATTGCAGACCGTTTCGCTATTGGCCGCCTTTTTAGTGCGTCCAGAGCTTGGGCGTGCTGCTTTGAATGCGTCAAATATACGCGAGTTGGTCATGGCTGTCTTCTCGTCCTTAGGAACTCCAGCCTTGTACACAACACACCATGCAGTAGCCAGGGCCAGCGTGTCCTGCTCAGACCAATCGCGCTTAGGAAAGGGGACAGGGTCTGAAGGCTCTGATGTGGGCGGCTCAGTCGGCGAGGCGCACTCATGAAACGCGCTGCTGCTTGTGTTCATTGCGTCTGTGAGAGAGAGGGGGATTCCGCTAGTGCCTGGAGGGAGGGAGCTCAGCTGCGAGGAGAGACTATTCGTTTGTAGAAGTCCCAGATTCCAGGTATTCTTAGAGCACCTGGGGAAATGGCACTGAAGCGGGGTTATTCCTGGCATTTTTAGTAGCCTTTTCCGAGGTTACAGGGCAAAGTGACACATTTTCCCTGGAACCTGGGAAAATGTCACGAATTTTTGTCAGGTTCCAGGTTCCAAGCGTTGTCTGAACAGCCCCACTGGTCCTCTTCAGCAAATTTGGAACCTGAAACCTGGAAAAAAAGTTCCAAGATGCAGTTTTTCGACGCACTTCAGGTAAATTCACCTGGAACTGCACACTTTCACAACATTCATTCTGTACATAAAATTTTGCAGTGCCCTCCCTCATTTCCACTTTCCCGCGCGTTCGTTGCACGCGAGCGCCGGCGTGCGGCATGAACGCCAGCAGCTAGAGAGGAGAGAGGGAGAGAGACGTTCCCACTGCCTAGTGGTCACTGCCAAGTAAGGATTGCCTACGACAAGCAGCGCCAAGCAGCGCCAAGCAGCGCACGTGGCGGGCTGCCTGATCGCGTGCGCACGACGGCATGCACGCGAGAGATCGCGCGGCGGCGGGAGGGGGGTCAACAGAGCGTGTGGTGGCCGTGCTCGAGAGCTCTCGATGGCACGCGGGTGCTTAAGTCCCTGTAGAGTTCTTGGTGCTGTTATTGCAGGAGAGCGCGTCTCCGCTGCATGCAGGCTCCGCCATCCTTGGTGGTGTGGCCCACACGACCTTCTATTCGATTAAAAAGTTCCAAGCTTCAAAGAGCTGCCTGAAACTTTGTCACTAAAACGAGGTAATCTTGGAACATTTTCCCCGGTTTCAGGTAAAAAAATGAGCATGCTGAAGGCAATTTTCCCTGGAACCGCGAACTATCTTCCAGGTTTCAGGTTCCAAGCGTTTGCTGAAGAGGGCCACTGTCCAACAAATTCGTACTACATACATGTATAGATAAATGGAATTCGTCGTGCAAAGTGAACGAAACAAAAACTAGAAATATTTCTATGCTATTTCGATACAGTTTCTATCGGCAAGAGTCGCAGACGCTTGCACTCTTGCACGCTTACTTGTACTCGGCAAGTAACGATGGAAGCTCTCGATGCTCGCGTTGAGCAAGTGCTGGGAAGTATCACCTCTGACAACACCAAGTACGTCTATCTACGAGCTTTATCTCGCTTCATAGAGTGGCTCTACGAGAATACAGAGGCGGATCGACGGCAAGTCCTGTTTACTAGTACGTTTCGTGAGCTGTGTGCAATTAATGGGGAGAGTATCGCGCAGTGGTTCTCTATCGTCCCTTTACGAAGCCCTGTCAATCTAAGTATATTAAGTACTATGGAGTGTATGCGCTACTTGACCTCGATGGAGCAGCGTGGTGTCACCGGAAAGTCGACTTTTGGAAATGTTCGCTCAGCGATAGTGTACATTTACACTCAGACAGAAAGTCCTCGGCCGCATGACTTCGATCCTCAAATGAGGCGCTGTTTCAAGGGGCTGCACCACACTGTGGCAAGAGTTGCTCAGAGCAGTAACGAGCGCATCTCGGAAAGAAAGGAGCCGTTCAGTTTTTCGATGTATCGATCGGTGGCTAAAGCAATGCTTCAATCTACCAGAAAACAGGATGCGTTCGGCCACACTTTCTTGCTCGTTTGTTGGAATCTCATGTGCCGTGCCAAAAGTACTGAATCGATACGGCACGCTCACCTTTCTTGGCGCGAGGACTCCATCACGATTACTTTCGCTCATATGAAAAACGATCAAGACGGAAGTCGGCCTCGCGATCCCAGGCATGTGTACGCAAATCTAACCATGCCCGAAATCTGCCCGGTATTAGGACTTGGAGTGTATTTCGCTGTTTTGGTTTCGCTCGCGATGGAAAACTTTTCCCTGGTGGTAATCAGTACACTCGATTTCTCAAAGTATTGAAGTCTGTGCTTAGTGGAGAACTGATGCAGCGAACGTTAGCTGAGTTTGGATTAACGGCTGCTGATTTTGGTACGCACTCCGCGCGTAAAGGTGCTGCTACCTATGTTAGTAGCTGCTCTACTTCGGGTCCGTCAGCAGCGGCTATTTGCCTTCGGGCTGGTTGGACTCTTCCAGGTGTCCAGGACAAGTATGTTCGGTTTGAAGCCGCTGGTGACATGGTGGTCGGTCGGTATGTTGCGGGCCTTCCATTTGATTCTCCAAAATTTGCAGCGTTACCTCCATTTTTCGATGTGCAAAGTGATCAAGAAGCTGACAGACTGGAACTACGGCAGCGCATTGATGTCGCCATGAAAGCCGTTTTTCCCGGTGTTCCAGCCAGTCTGCGGATGATCTGTCAATTTGGTCTGGCGTCAATGCTGTTCCACAAGTCGTTCCTGCAGCAGTCACTGCCTACGAATCATTTGCTGTTTGCTACTCCGCTATTCAACACGCGTAATGAATCGCAATTTGAGTGGCTGCGGCGTCGTGTAGTTTGTCGAAACTTTCAAGAGCACGATCCTATCAGTCCTTCGGGCATTCCGCCACACGTGGGGATAATGGTGGCGCTTACAAACTACAAGGAGAAAATTGATGGGATTAAAGAAGGACTGGTTGTTGATTTTGAGAAAGCTCTCAAACGGCACATTAACGGATCAGTTATGACCATGGAAGCGATGGAGACAGCCTTCGCTGCGGTATTGGCGCGGCCCAATTTGATGCGACCAAATCTACCCGCACCAGATCCAGAAGGCGAGACCGCCGTGAATGCTACGGCAACGATGCACACCGAGCTATATACATGGGGTGGAGGCTTTCATCGAGTGCCAAGAGAGTTTGTGCTACCCCCAGGAACCGTTCGCGTTGTGTGGCAGCAATGGTGTGCTGGGCAACCGCCACTAAGACAGCTATCAAAGCACGATATGGCTTCAAGACTACAAAAGATCCGGCTTGCAGAGCTTCAGCGGCTGATGCGCTTGGTTGAAGCACTTCTGACGAGTGATGAGGTCCTGTGAGCGCACAGCTCTCTCGATTCGGCTGGCCTTCTTTTTGAGCAAGTAAAGAATCGTTTACCGTTCTCATCGACGTCGAGTGAAAGAAGAGCGCGTAGACTTGACCAACTATCGTGGAGAACACTCGCCCGTGAGCATGCAAGGCACAGCTCCAGCTAGACTAGCTACCATTACGTAGGTGAGTAGCGGTAAGCTTGCACAATACACATTTACTTCGAAGTAGTAGTGTTTCTACTTTCACACTGTGTACCAAATGTGCGGCACAATATGCTTCGTGCAAACTGCACGATGAATTCCACTACATCTTGCATTATGGACAGTTTCATTTGATTTTTGTATAGCTGGCATTTTTGCATTCGTGGAATTCGCCGGTCAATTTGCACCCCGAATTCTATACAAAGTGGCAGATTCGCACGGTGATTTCCGTAGAAGTATGAATTTACAGACCTCTCAATCAATATGGATACATTATGTACGGCACGCCATTTTACGCTAAAAACAATTATTATTTTGCATCTCAGCATACTATTTTTCATCAATAATTATTGCGATGCCGCGACTGGGGCTGCCCCTCGTGCTGCTGCTGGGCGCCTGCGTGCGTGGCTTCCTGTACGCGCTGCCGTCCGTGCACTCTACGTTGTCGTCGCGCCCTGAGCTCGTAACGTCCGTCTCGTCCTTCCGCCGGCTGCAGGAGGGCGCCTACCTCTTCCGTTCTACCGGCTCGCCCTACTCGGGGGACGTGTATCATCAGCCGCCGCTGCTGTTCGCCCTGCTGTACCCCGTTCTACAGCTCACCCCAGCCGCTCTACAGTACCTGGTAGCATGTGCAGTATTCATTAGCGTGGATCTACTTATCGCGGCGGGATTCGCTCGCCTGTGCGCCAGGAACCTGCAGCTGGAGGAGGGACGACGCTTCAAGGTTCGAGGAGAGGAGATCTGGCTGAGCCAAGTGCCGGTGTCGCCGCTGTTCAAGCCTGAGAATCTACCCACTACTGTGGCCTTCATGTAAGACAAGTAGAATGGGGTAGAACGAGGTGAATCCATTGACATTGTTGGGTTGTTTGTGGTGTTGCAGAGCGTTGATGAACCCGTACTCACTGGCCTCGAGCGTCGCCATGTCCACGGTGTCGTTCACCCACCTGGCAGTGCTCTACAGTTTGGTGTTCGCCTCGGAAGGAGCGGTTGCTGCATCCATGATGTGTGTGGCGGCTGGCACGTACCTGTCGGTGTATCCGTTCTTCCTGATAGTGCCGATCGTGCTGTTACTGCGTAGTGTGAAGAGTGGCAAGGTGGGTGCGAGCTGGTTGAGGGGTCCGACATATAGGAGCTAAACGGTTTGGCATTTGTTGCTGTTGTAGACTGCTAGTGAGGAGGAGGGTGATCAGAAGAGTACTCCAGGTCCCTCTTTGCTGTCGCTGGGCGTGAGTAGCTTGCTGGTGTTTGGTGTCTGGTTGGGCTTGCTGTTCTACCTGTCGTGGAGTCTGAGTGGAGACTGGGGATTTATCGAGGTAAGGCATTACTCCGGGAAGGAAAGCGACGGCGTGGTGTTTAACATTGCCATTTTTGATGTAGGAAACGTACATGTGGGTGGCAACGTATTCGGACTTGACACCGAACATCGGCATTTTCTGGTACTTCTTCATGGAAGTCTTCGACCGCTTTATTCCGTACTTCCTCTTCATCTTGCACCTACACCCAGTCATCTACGTGGTCCCGATTTACCTGCGCTTAGCGTACGTCTATCTGCTTGCTTGCTTCGCTCATGTTGCCCACATCCACTAACTCTTCTGATACCTGTATTATCTCCAGGCACCGACCTCAAGCCTACGCGTGCACATTGATCGGTATTTTCTCCCTCTTCCAAGCGTACCCTTCTTTCGGCGACTTCGGCTTCTTCCTCCCGATGCTGGCGCTGCACCCGAAAACCACCATGAGCACGTGCCCAGCCAGATAGTTAGCCGTCGCTTACATTATCATGGTTGCTAACCTTTCTATGCCTTGTTCTACGCAGCGATCGAGAATCGGTTCGTGTACGTGCTGGGTCTGGGCGTGGCGACGTGCATGCTGCCGGTGATGTGGTTCCTGTGGCTGTTCCCGGCGTCGGGCAACGCCAACTTCTTCTACAACCAGACGCTGGTGTACCAGATCTTCAACTCGCAGATCATCACGGCGTTCGTGGGCGCGACCATGAAGCGCGACAAGGACGTGGACAAGTTCCGGGCGAGCGCGCTCAAGAAGCACGACTAAAAAATACAGGTTGCATGCATCCCACCACTTCAACATGTATCCATATGCCGTTGTCCAGGCTCTCGTCCCATTCCGTTCCTGAGTTCTGCTCTTTTTCAGCCAATCAGGATCAGCCAATCCATCCTCTTTTCCGCCAATGCCCTGCCCGCATTAAACTGTTGGCTCGCCTATCGTAGCTGCTGGGCCACAACCATCCCCATCAAGCCGTTCACCATGGCCTCGGACCTCGTCGCGTACGTCTCCAAGCTGCTGCCGGGCGCCGCGCCCCTGGACCTGGCGGCGGACATCAAGAAGAAGGACTACGCGCCCGTCGTGGCGGTCGTGAGCCCCAAGCTGCCGCAGCTGCTGGCGCTCGAGGCCGAGACGGACGCCGAGGGCGCCGTGGCGCTGCTCTGGGACGTGGTGCTGCAGCTGCCGGAGCCGCAGAGCGAGGCCCTCAAGCTGCTGCAGGTGGCTAAAAGCCAGGAGAAGGCCAGCGCCGTGCTGCGGCTGCGCGTGGCCGCCGCGCTCTTCAACAAGGCGCGCGCGCTGCCGCAGGTGCAGCTGCAGGCGCTGCTGGACGTGCTGGCGCTAGCCGCCAGCTCGGACAACGTGGACCTCGTGGCCCCCTACCTCACGCAGGTGGACGCGCTGCTGGACACGCAGAAGCTGAGCGTGGAGCAGCGCCGCTCGCTGCTGCTGGCCGTGGCCGACGTGCTGGAGCTGGCCGACGACAAGCTTAAGGTGCTGGCCGTGCTGGAGAAGTACCTGGCCACCTTCGAGAAGGGCCAGGAGGCCAAGGACCAGGCCGCGCGCGCCGTCAAGATCGTGCTGCAGAACCCCGTGGCCAGCTTCCTGGCGCGCGTGGACCTGGCGACCAGCGCCGTCGTGCAGGCCGCGCTCAAGGGCTCCAAGCTGCTCGAGCTGCTGGTCATCGTGTCCACCAAGACGCTCAAGGAGTTCGCGGCCTTCCAGAAGAGCGCCGCCGGCGTGTTCACGGAGAACGGCCTGGTGGAGGCCGAGCTGGCCGACACCATGCGCCTCTTCACGCTCTGCACGCTGCCCACGGGCTTCAAGGAGATCCCGTACGCGGACGTGGCCAAGGCCCTCGAGGTGGACGAGGAGGATGTGGAGAAGTGGGTCGTGCGCGCCATCACGGCGGGCGTCGCCAGCGCCAAGATCGACCAGCTCGCGCGTACCGTGACCATCTCGCGCTCGCTGCAGCGCCGCTTCGGCGCCGAGCAGTGGAAGGAGATTGACGCCAAGCTGCAGCTGTACAAGAAGAACGTCGGCGGTCTGCTGGATATTATCAGGAACGCGCGTCGTGCTCAGGAGCAGCAGTGAGCGGCGAATTGAGGCAGGGAACGCGCTGCGGTGTGGGGCCAGGCGACCGCGGGATTGATTTGTTACGCGCTGGCCAGCGGACCCGCGAGCACTCCTGGGGGGTGCTTGCTCCCCGTGACGACTGGGTCATTCCTCACGCACTTGGGAAGAATACAGGCCGAGGTAGTGGTAGAAGGTAGAAGGAGTTCACCAGGATGTCGTGTCATTGTAATAGCAGAGCTAACACTAATGAAGATCGACTGGCGTTCACCTTAATTGTTGCATTGTGAGCATGGCAGGAGTCATCGACAGGAAAACATATTCATCTTTCCAAAAACTATTTAACACCAGGCGAGGATCTTCACCGCGAGTCCTCTGGCTCCGGTTGCCCAGCCATCGACGAGCACATGAGCTGGAAGGACAGGGAGATCCGCACGTGCAACGATCCGCTCGCTGTGTCCTCAAGTGGTAGCCAGCAGTCCATCGGGTTGCCGGACGTGAGTTCATCCAGAGGAACCTAAAGTGTGGATCGAAGAAGACATGAGTAAGCTCAAGCACACAAAAGAATGCGCTGCTAAAGAACGCGGACTCTACTCACCTTTGCTCTCCCCATAAACTGGTGGCTTAGAACCTTGTTCTTCTGGTACACAGTGCATCGCAGCATTGCAGGTGGGCCTGAAAACACCGACGGAAGCAAGTTCTCCAAAGCGTCCACGGCAGCGCGATTCTTGTCGGTGACATTGGCATTCCACAATTGTGATGCCAAGCGGCTGGTCTCGCTATCCACCCTGCGAACACCGCCCTCTGCATTACTGAAGTGAACACCTCTCGTCGGACGGGCAGTGTGTTTCCCATGAGTGGGGATGGCAAAGCGAAAAGCAAACTTGTTCTCTGCTGCATCCCACTTTGGGTTAACACCGCCCTCGCCAACCGAGCTACGATAGGTTTGCAGACTCCATTCTTCTGCTGTTTCGCGTGGTTTGTCTTTCGCATGACACAGCTCCAAGAACGCGTAGGCGTCGCTCCACTTGCTTACCCAACTGCACGCGATCAAGTCCTTCGCTTCAACCAGCTCCACCGTAATTACTCCAATAAAGCGGTGGGGCAAGCCAGCTTCTTCAAACATCGCGTTGCGCTGGCTACGCGAATAAATTTCCACGAGAAGAGGGATTCGCGGTTCCTCTTTTCCAGCGAGGCCACGCTGGATGTGCTGGTGAAGCGTGCGATACGAGTGCAATCCATCAAGCCGGTATTTAGTGATAGCCGTAACAAGCCAGCCTTCTCCACCCGTGGTTCTCCACATTGCCACAAGATCGGGATCCTCAAACACCGAGTCGACAATGCTATCGCACGTTTCCAAGCAAATGGGACTGAGTCGGTCCCACCCAAGCTCCACGTGAAGGGGCGACTGAGCAGCGTGCATGTATCGATGTACATTCCCCTCCGCTTCAACTTCCCACGGGTCAACGAACATCATCGACTGCATGTACATCGCTTCAGGCAGAGATTCCGAGTCACCCGGTTCCGACCCGATAGCACCATTTGATAGCCGGGACCGAGATGTGGGTACCTCGTTTGTGACAGATCCAGCCGTACTCGGTAGCCGAGATCGCGGAATGGGCAGCTCGCTTGAGACGGGTGCTGCCGAGTTGGCGTCAGCTTCACTATCATGGCGTGAGCGGGCGTGATAGCGATCGAACGGAAACATCTGAGCATCTTCACCGCGATGAGCAACTAACAATCGGAGCTTACGCTGCTTGCAACAGCGCGTCAAGAACGCGTGAATTTGCGCGATGGTGTCGGCTTTGGTTTCGCCGCTAAAAATCTGGTGACGAGCGAACCAAGCAAAGGCATCGCGCAGAACAAAGCTTTTTACGTAAACTCGCGGGTCCATGCGAAATCGCCGTAACGTTGCGCGCACACCAAACTTTGCATTCTGCATCAACAATAGCACGTAATCGTCACTTACGCTCACCAGGGCCGTATGCAGCTCATAACTCATCCCGATCTCGCGGAGAAAAGCCTTCAAGCTAGCTGGAGTTTCGTCCTCGGATGTTTCCACACACTCAGTATCGGTGGAGTTCTCCTTCAGCTTAACATCATCCTCACGATCGATAATGGGGCTGCCGTCCTCAGCTCCACTGTTGATAGGCGTGTCGCTATTCTCATTGTCACATCCATGGGCCTGCCGCTTCCAATCACGGTTCGCAGCGGCTGCTTCTTCAAACGCTGCGGTATCAAGACCATAGAGACCACAGAGACACGGTACTTCCTTCACGGAGTAGTCAAATTCGCATCTCAGGTGAGATTCGATGAGCGCATACCACCTCTTCAGACCTTCGAGAGGACCTTCGCCCAAGGCTTTCCACAATTTCTTCGGGGTAAACAGCGAGCTTGAGATGTCTGCTTCAGCTACTTCATCGTCATCCGCATCGATCCCGTCTTGGTATGTGCTGAGAAAAACTGTAGCTCTCGCATACAGCGTGCGAAGCACTGAGACCATGAGAATCAGTGTGTACATCTTGCGAATCTTGAACTGGTTTTGGCTCGCTGCATTTGCGATTCCTCCCCACGACAAGAGAGAAATACTGTCATCGCTCGCTTGACGAGCTGCAACGGCACCAAGGAAAGTATACCCCAGGTTTCCTTCGAATATCCGAGTCTTGCGCATTTCACTTGTGTTCGTAGCGGGCCTTTGCAAAAGTCTGCATAGCAAGCGCAGGTTCTTCTCGAATGCGAACGAGCTCAGACTGGGACTTGACTCACTGCTAGATCCCACATTGGTTGTGCCGTAGGTGTAAAATGGCAAGCTAACAGCCTGGCGAACAATGTCAGATCTCTGCCGCGCCCAACCCAGGAAAATGATTCCAGTACGGACAGCAACACTTATGTGCGCTATCACCTGAGGCGGAATGCTGATTTGGCCTTGAGCATCGAGATTGAGAATGTAGCAAAGCTGGATCGTAAGCCCCTCCCAGTCGCGATACACGTCCTCTGCGATGCTGCACGAAGCAAATGTTGAGCAGGAGTGCAGCATTGACAGCGATACGTACTCGACCCATTTGCGCAAGGTCGAGACCCTACTCAGTTCCGAGAGCAGGAAGCAGACTTCTACGATATGGAGGTATGCGTGTGGATGCATAACAGCAAGCGCAGCTTCGTAAACGTAGTTGCGGTCGACCTGGAACTGCTCACAAAGTGGCGTGCACAACTCGTCGAGGAACTCCCTGTGAAGCTTAACGCGATGATGATGATGCCGTTGACCGGGGTTTGTAGTGATGGTCATCGCATGGGTGGGGGAATCAACGCCGTCACCGTGCCTAAACCACATATGCAACTCGGAACGGAAGTGGCTGATCATCTCCCGTGCAACACGAATGCCAATCATTTTACCCACAAAGGCAGACGATGCCCACCGTCTGCACTCGATATCAGCGATCTGCGCTTTGAGCCACGGAGCTGTCGGGAGAGTCTTCTCAGATTGCAACGCTTTCGACCATGCTATTGAGCTTGATCTTTGTCGAAGCGACTTCTTCCCCGATACTACGGGGTCGATGTGCAACAGACTTGGCTTGTCCATAAAGCTCATTCGTCTCGGCGACGCGCTCCAGACTGTCTGTCTTGGCGATTTACTGCCAAGTGGAGAAGTGGCGAACGACAGTGTCGTTCCACGCCTCAAAGTTTTCACTGATGATTGGAATCGAGGTGAGGTAGGGCTGCTAGACTCACCATTCACATCATTCTCAAGCAGCAAGTCGCCGATCGAGTTGTTTCCAGTCTCAATTGTCGAAATCTCAAAACGTGCGTGGAGGTTGATAAGGTGCCGTGCTTGGAGCATCTCCACGAGTGCAGTATCACTTAAACCACTTCGCTTGCACACATACGCTGCAAACGAAAACGCGTGTTCGATGTCTGCGGTTGATGCAAGCTGGAGACGTTTCTTACCCGTTGAAATCGCAGCAGGAGATACTGGGTCGTCAGGAAACGCTTGCTGCTGCATTTTCTTCTTGGCCCAGCTCAACAAAGTGGAGTTAACACTGGAATGGAGATGCTGAAAGTAGACCGTGAGAGACGTGAGGTTGACGTAGAAATGCGTTGCTCGCATCACGCTGGAAACCAAGCTATTTTTCGTAGGGAGATTTGATTCGTTTCCTCCACATACGTCGACGTCTTGGAACTGCGGCAGCAGCACAGCCCAAGACTGCTCAAATTCTTCCAGCCACCACAAAGCACAACTCTCCAACCACATCTCGCGCTTTAGGCGGAAAAGGGGGACCACATCTTGCTCCAATAACTGCTTTGTAGCGTCACCCGCAGGCGTAATTCCAGCTTGATTCATCGCAAAATCATGTTGCAGTGTATCGTCGAGGCGATATTCCACAAGCCTGGAAATAATCAGCGCTAAGCTTGGGTCTCCCAAACGCACCGACAGAACTCGAATAGCATCTTGAATACGCGGGGGCGCACAGAGCAGAAAGAATGCTGCTGCTGCCTCGTATTTCTTCTTGCTAAGCAGAGAGTATGCGTTCCTAATTGCAGCGTTGCTCCAGCGTTTATCGGAGAAGTCATTTTCTAGAAAGGACGCCAGTGTCTGAAGTGTACAACAGCACAAGGATCAGGTCTCCGTATGATATTCATAACAACATATCGAACTGGCCTCACCTTGTTCGATTCCGACTCTGTTAGCTTTGCCAAAACGCTCAGAACTTTCTGTTTGCCCAATGCCACGTAGAACAAACATACGTCCATGGCATCCTTTGTTTTTGCATATGAGGCCTTGGCAAATCTGAATGTAGCGATTCAAGCACAGCATTATTGTTAACACAATACAACACGCCTTTAAACCCCGAAAAGAAGTAAATAAAATACCTCTCAACAATTCCTCGAAGATCTTTGACATCCTTGACCCAGAGTCCCAACCACATAGGTCGAATATCGTCCCATTGCATGCTTGGTTGGATACAGTGCTCCCAAAGAAATTGCTGCGCATCCGAGTGCAAGGCCCACAAAAGCCCCGAGGAAGGAGTCTCTTCCAGGTTTGGAAGCCAAAAGCAACCATCGCGCTCGCTGAACGAATTTCTCCACTTTAACTTGCCAGAAAAGGGATCTGAATCACCATTTTGCGGATTACTTGCAAAGTCACTACTGCTCCCTGTGTGAGCGAGCACAGCGCTTCTCAACGATTTCGCAAACAGAAACATGGAAAAGAAACGCTTGGCTCCCAGATCTGCAGCTGAAGCATCCAAATCAAAACCGAGGGACTGGATTTCCTCCACGAAACTGAGGAGGGCTTTCATCTCCAAAAGATGCTCCTCACTGAATGAGGCAAATAGAACCGACGCATTTGCTCGCAATGGGTGTCGTTTTCCCAGCAGCATGACGTCAACTGCTGCCAGGATAGTCGCTGCTTCAGTTGATGCCAACTTTCCTTGGTCGTCTTCATCAGCAAAATCGTCATCCTCGTCATAGTTGTATCTTCTTTGGTTGCTCAACGGTGCAGCAAACAGATTTTCTGCTTTATCGATGTTGCCACTTCGATGAATAGACGTAGAGTATCGGCCAATAGACTCTAGCATCCGAGCTCGTCCAGATCCGTTTTCCTTAGCCGAAGTTCTCCTTGCTCGTTCTGGGCCAGTGAACGAGAGAACGCCACTAGTGGCGCTAGCACGTGCAGAAGGCTCATCTTCCATCACTTTCGCAAGCAACTTCAGCATTTGAGTGGCGTCTTTAAAGGCCCTCGAAAACTCGTAGGAAGCCCGGTCGCCAGCAAGCGACGTGTCCTTCTCTCCCACACGCGCGTGCATTCCGAACATCGTTGTGAGGAGCACGTACGGGTGCCATACAGGGAGCTTTTGAGGAGATTCCGCGGCTTTCCAGTCCATGGAGTGTTGCAAAAGGCTTCCTGGCTCATCCCACTTGCCTATGACTACGGGCATTTCGTTGGAAATCGGCTGAAACGATGGCCGATCTAGCCGAGAATCCTTCAGGTGGCCGCCTCCAATTAATAAGGCAGACGAATCTCGCGTGCAGTCAAACAGGGGCAGCGGACTCACAATGTCATCCCCAACCTGAGACCAGCGATGGATATTCGTATCGTACTGGTAAATGACAGTCGCAGACTCGTATCTAACAGCGAGTGCGTCAACGTTAAACTCGACATGTGAACTGCACCAGCAGAAACCTAGAATGTGTCCACGACCGTTGGATGGTATGAACTCCTCCATGCGCAAAATCCCCAGGCCAGATTCTGCTTCGAAAACATGCAACTCTTCCGGGCGATCGGCATGAAGTACTGCCAGTCGGTTCGGATCGTCCACTTCGATATGACTAATTCCACAAGCGACACCCGCATCCCCACTTTGCCTTGGCTTCTCGAGTTGATCTGCAGACACGTACCCACGTCTGCAAAAGGAACCAGATACGTCACGCACATCATGCCCGTTCGGTGAGGGAGGCAACGTGCTACTGCCAATAGGGTGGGAGCTCATCATCGTGAAATGAATGATATCACCGACAACCTGACATCGCCAATGCTCGATGTTGCCAGCAGCATCGCCGACAAAAAGCAGCGAGTTCAAACTGTTGCGACCTTGCACACGTTTCGTGGAAAACGCTCGCTGGCGGTAGTCTCTCTCACCAGCAATCGAGGTAATATTGGTTTTCTTCTCGATTGCCGGATCGTGGATTTGGAGTGGAATTAACTCAAACGAGTGATATGCTCCATCACGGACGCCTTTCCAGACACAAAGGTTTCCAGGTAACGATGCTATGCCAAAAATCACCACAGAATCGGGAATATACTCGCCATCGTCAGCGTAAGCTGGACACACGCACAGTGATGAGAGCTTAGAAGCTGCTTTGGCATGCACCAGCTGTCTCCAACCCCCATACACGGACACTGCCCCTGCATGAACCACATTGTCCGTGCCGTGAGGACTCTGGGGGTTTCGTTTCTCCAACGACGACAAAAAGCTTCGGCGCAATTCAGATGCGTACTCCTCGACGGAGTGCTCAGGTGAATCGATGTTGCCTCCATTGTTGTTGTTGAAATTTGGCTGGAATGGGGCGGGTGTCGTCGACTGAGGAAGAGCTGCATAAGCTGGCGGGCCCACGGTTCCTTGGTAATTTTGCACGCATGCAGCCCGAAAACGCATCAGAAGCGATTCATCACATGGAATCGTGTCAATCAGCGTAAGAATTTCCTTCACATCCTTGCCCACCACACTTTTATTGTTGATACCAACCAGCTCGTCTCCTTCAACCACTTCGCTGACGTACTTATTGCAGGAACTGCTTCTCGAAACGAGTATCTTTCCCCTTCTCTCCTCAAACTCAATGCCGAGCTCCGAGTTGGTTGTCGGCTTTTTACACGCAACTTCGTACTCATATCCAGACTCTCCTGTCACGTAATCGTAGAATGTCCATGGCGATAAGCTTGGCGATCGGTTGAGTCGTCGATGCTGGCGAGGCAATTGCACTCTCGGCGACGACACCACTGCGACATCAGCTCTTGCAGAGCGTCCGTAAACATCAATGGCGCCTGACTCGAAAGCAACGAGGAGTATTGGGGTGGCGTCGAAATGTAGCGTCGGCACCCACTGAATACACAACACTTCGCCACTATCCTTTGCACAGGGCAACACGCCCGACGGAATTAGCCGCGATTCGGCCGAAAACGCGGAAAACGAGATCCAGTACACAAGAATTTCACTCCTCCAGGAGCCGTCATGCTGCGAAGCGTGCGCATCGACACTCGCAATCAGCGGCAGCGACGGGTGTGCAGCCAACGCTGATATGGATCCGAGGTGACTCCTGTACCAAGACTTTTTCCAGATTTGTGACGGTCGATCTCCTTCGCCCACAGCAACGTGAAACGACATCATAATGTGATCTGCGCGCTGCAGCACAATCCCCAACTTGGACGGCATTCCAAAGTAGTTTTGCGAAAAGTAGGCCATGACACAGACCTCCCCGAGTCTCACACTCATATCTGCAGCTTTCTGGCTGTCATCTTCTCCATTGACTTTGATCTGCAGCGTCGTCTCCTCCACCGTCGGTTCGTTCGAGACGACCCCCAACACTCTCCAGAGCCTCAAAATCCCATTATGGTCCACTCCGGAGATCCAATCCGCATATGTGTCATGCACATCATTCACCACTTGAAAGTTTTCGTCGCTGATATTCCTGTTCTTCGACATGACCCAGCGCACGTTGTCAATCGGGTACATCGGCTCGAACACCAGCACAGCCTGAAAGCACACGCCTCCCTGCTCCACCTCCTTCTCCGTCCAGATCCTCACGGACCTCGTGGCTGTGCACGTCAGCAGTATCCTGGCCGGCTCAAACCACTGCGCCTTCCTCGTTCCATCCGTCTCCAGGGCGGAATGCCACTGCGTCGTGGAGGGTTTCCAAGAGAAGTACACCACCGGGTCTGGATGCTGCAACGCCTCGACCCTGTCCAGCTTCTGATTCTCATCTGAGTCCCCCAACTTCCTCTGCATCCTCCAGACCTTGATCTCTCTCTCCTGCATCGTCAAGCTGGCGAACACGAAGGCGCTGGGCGAGTACTTGGCCATGTCGCAGCCCTCTTGCTCCTGCTTCCACAGCACCAGCGCCTCCTGGTCGTCTCGACCCGCTCCCGCCTTGACGCTGAGCTTGCCCAGGCCCGCGCCGCGCCCGCAGAACAGCAGCTCGTCGGCGCTGCGGCTGAACGCGAGGCCGCGGATGCCCCGCGCCGCGTCCAGGCGCAGGCGGCACACGGCCGCGAAGTGCACGCCGCCGCGCTCTTGGTCGCGCTGCTGTGGGTCTCGCTGCGGCGCGTGCACCAGCAGCAGCTCGGCCGAGAGCGACGCCAGCTTGCCGTGGAAGGCGCTCCAGCGCACGAAGGCCACGGGCGAGCGGTGGCCCGACGGCGCCAGGCGCGCCAGCAGGATGAAGTCGTCGCTGTCGTAGAGCCGGATCTCCGTCTGCGTGGGCACGGCCAGCACGTTGCGGCCGTCGATGCGCGTCCAGCTCCAGGCGCGCACCGGCGCCGTGGCGCTCGCCTCGACCACCATCACTCCGTCGATCTTTGCGCCGAGTATGCAAATGGGAGGTAACGTTGAACTTGTGGAAAAAAAACAACTAAGTTGCAGTTGGGACTATTTTATTTGTGATTTGTGACGGTGACGCTTTTTATGCGACCGCGCCAGAGAAACTCGCGAATCGCATCACTATGCTGTTCCATGGGCTGGTAGACATGACCAGCCACCTGCCCCTGATGATGATGGTGGCAGTGGAACTTCCACTGGAAGAGGATCTGCAGGGGGCGAGCGCGGAGCTGCGGAGTGCGGAGTGCTCAAGCGGAGACCGTTGCCAGTGGCAACAGAGCAGCACAGTCTTCAACTTGGCTGACCACGTTCGAATTTTTGAGCTCGTCTCGTTTGTCAACTGTATATAAGTATCTGAGCAATTGCTTAATTTGATGACATATTATTTGATGTTAGTGGAGCAGTCTTTTGAGTTCAAGCTAAAACGCCCATTTAGGTATAAACGGGCCAAATGCTGGCCTCATTGAGCCTTAGCTTTATTACATTCGCGCGGTCAGCCATTGGCGTTGTGAGATCCCCTGTTGTCCGCTGCACTTTCAGACCGCGTTGTCAACCAGCCGTAAGCAAAGTACTCAGGGTGCGTACTGCACAACAAAATTCCAGCGGAACGGGGCCAATTCCAGCGGAATTTGCATTACAGCGGAATGGCCGATCCGCTGGCGCGTACTGCATGCAATTCTAGCGGAAATTCGAGCATACTAAGTATTCCAGCGGATTTCATCCGCCACAACAAAATTTGCTCAATCCGCTGGATCAATCTGCTGCCTGCCCGTGAAACAATTGGCGGGAACCCGGGTACCCATCGGGACCCCGGTTCCCCCAAAACTACCGGTACAAAAGCGTCTTGAAGCTGTACTTGCCTCGGCTTCAGCTTGATGCGTGAGCAAATGCATTAAGCTGTTGGTCTATGACCTACATATAACGCAGCTAAAGCTCAGTAGGGGAACGGAAGGTTAATTTACCTTCGCCCTCGTCCTGTGTCTCTCCACGAAAATCCAGTCGCTTGCCTGGTGCAGCGGTACAGTGCTTCCCGGTCTCATCGCTGTCCTCCTGCTCATGAAAGATAAACTTGGACATGGTAAGGTATGTTATTTGGGTCTATTCAGTACCGGTGGCATATTTTGAGGGTAGTCCTTCATCGACAGCACTTAGATATGAGGGTTTAACTTGCCCCGAGGGTACCAATATGGAGGCCAAAAATTAAATAAATAATTCGCGATTTGGTCGGTATCATTTGCGGGAACCCGGGTTCCCGCCAATTGTTTTTAATGGCGCCTTTGCGAAGACATTTTTTTCATTAGAGAGTGGGTGGACTCCAATCACAGGACTACCCGCGGCATATCCTACAGTAAGCAGGGCACCATGTTTGCCACCTCCACAACTCAATACACATTTGTTTCTGATTCACGCTCTGTTTACGATAGTGTAAAATAGCGATCCGCTGGACAGCAAAATCGCGCACTGCAACACAGTGGATTGCTCGTTCCAGCGGGTGAGTCGGTTCCAGTGGATAGAGCCATCCGACGTTTTATTCCAGCGGAACTGCAGTACGCACCCTCAGCATCGAGAGTGTGTGCTCGTCAACTCACAGAAACGTCAGTTGTTCTTGCTTGCACCAAAATACTGGGGAAACTCCCTAGTATAATCGATAGGGAATGCTGTTCACCGACCTACCGCAATGTTCAAGACTGTTCTGATAGCTTCTCGAGACGATCTTCTCGGACGGCTTAGACATTGCACGGCAGAGCAACGTCTGCACTCTCTTCAAATGCGGAAGAGCTCGCTATCTAGCTAGCACCAGTACAAGTACTTGGTACGTACGAGCCCAGCTACCGGCAGAGGGGAGGCGAAAATCCGGTTCAGAGGGCTAGTCTTCGAGTTGGAAAGGGAATCTGCGTCTTGAGGAGAGAATCCGCGCGCTCCGACGCAGGCCCAGCTTAGTAAACGCATAGTCAATTTTGTAGCCCAATGGAGCAATAACCAAGCGAGAGCAGTCGTACGGCACAAGTAGACAGTAAGTCAAAACGCTGCAGCCTCGTCCTCTGTCAACTTTCCCGCCCATAAAATAGGTCGCGCCATCTGCCGCGCCCATTTTTATCAGTACAACAGGGCGACTCTGCGCACACTTTCACGGTCAGCGGGGAAGCCAGCAGCGCAGCGCAGAGCAGAGCGAGCACACCTCTCCCTGCGCGTCGGACCGCCGACGACGAAAAGGCAACACGCACACAGAGCAGCAGCAACAGCAGCCTACCTACAGACCCAGCAGCGCCAGTGCGGAACTGACAGCCATGGGCAACTGCTGCTCCACGGAGGCGGCGGCGGTCGTGACGCGCCGCTCGGGCGGCGACAAGGACGACGTGCAGGCCGTGGCCGTGCCCTACGCCGCGCTGCCGCCCTCCCCGCACAAGTACGCGGACACGGAGGACACGGAGCCGCGCGCCAAGGACCAGGAGCGGGACGACGCAGACGCAGAGGAGCAGCCGGCGTCGCGCTCGCCGTCGTCGCCCTCCACGGGCTCGTCGCCGCCGCAGGAGGCCGACGCCTTCGCGCCAGCGGCCGCGCACCGGCCCAGCGCCAAGCACCTGGAGAACACGCACCACGTCAAGGTGGGCGACTACAACCTGCGCTACTCGTACTACTCGAAGCGCGGCTACTACCCGGAGGCGCGCAAGAAGGCCAACCAGGACAGCTACTACTGCGAGACGCACTTCGCCGGGGACGACCAGAAGGCCTTCTTCGCCGTGTTCGACGGCCACGGCCAGTACGGAGACATCTGCTCGCAGTTCGCGGCCGAGCAGCTGCCCGAGAACATCATCAAGAACCTCGAGGACAACATGGGCATCCTGCCGGCTCTCACCAGGGCCCACGTGCAGACCAACCGAGCGGTAACAATGCTGCTCACTATTGGTTACTGTATTTATTGGAGAGAGGACTCATTTTTTTATTTGTTTTATTGTTTCGTAGATGCATGAGGCGAGTTTCGACGACTCCATGAGCGGCACGACGTCCATCTCCGTGCTGTTCTGCGGCAACGAGATCCACGTCTCGAACGTGGGCGACTCGAGGGCCATCATCGCTCAGGAGAACCTCAAGGCCTCGACTCGGGAGGGTGAAGCCAACTTGGTGGCCAAGCCACTGTCCATCGACCAGACGCCCTTCCGCAAGGTGCGTGCACTTGGTCTTGCACCTACGCACTTGAAACGCTTCGAGCGTTTTGTGCTTTTGTTTTTGAGAGAAACTGATCTAACTCTTACTTGTGCTGTATTGATGCGATCTTGTGTAGGATGAGCGGGTTCGTGTTAAGAAGTGCGGAGCGCGTATCTTGACGGTGGACCAAGTGGAAGGTCTGGAGCCTATCCACGAGAACTGGGGCCTATCCCTCGGTGACGAGATCGACGAGAATGGAGACCCTCCGCGCATCTGGCATCCCTACGGACAGTACCCCGTAAGCAGCGCTGAAGTGCCCTGATCCTGATTTATTTATATTTTTCTTGGTCCTGACTTTTTTTCTTTTTCGTCATGTTTTTGCAGGGCACTGCGTTCACGCGCAGTATTGGCGACTTGGTTTCCGAGGAGTTGGGCGTGACGGCTGAGCCCGAAATTCTGTGCAAGGGACTGAATCCCCATGACAAGTTCATCATTATTGCGAGTGACGGCGTCTTCGAATTCCTCACGAGCCAAAATGTGGTCGATATCGTGAAGCAGTATGAGAACCCTTCAGAAGCATGTCACGCTCTGGTTGAGGAGGCGTACAACCGCTGGCTGCAGTTTGAAGTGCGCACGGATGATATTACCGCTATCTGTATTTTCCTGGATGGTGTTACGCCAGCAAAGGAGCGCGATGGCCCTCGTGGAAGTATTTACGTTGGTGGCGAGGTTCTGGATCTTCAGTCGATGCAAAGGCCTGTGCGTGGTATCACGAAAAACCACGCGCGCAGGAATACGATTGTCGGAACGGATGCCATTCGTTTATCGTTGGCGGAAGCATTCATGGATGATGACGAGCCTGGACAATTTCCGACTCTGGCTGAAAGCGAGGGTAAGTCGGAGGAGGAAGAGGAGTGGATCAAGAAGGCTGTTCAGGGCAGCTTTTTATTCAACCACCTAAGCGACAAAAAGGTAGCAAGCGTATTATGTGTATTTACTGCTAACCTCCAAGCTGGTCACTCACGATTTCTGCACCTCCCTAGATTCACGAAGTGATCTCCGTGCTGAAGAAGCTCGAGTTTAATGCCGGTGACATCGTGATGCGTCAAGGTGTACCTGGCGACACGTTCTATTTGGTACGTCTTGGCATGCCGCACCTCTAACTCATGTTCGATAGTCTAATATGCGTTTGAATTTGCAATCACAGGTGGAGACTGGCGAGTTTGAGGCTCGCCATCTCAAGGACGAAACCCCTGAGTTTTCACCGGAGAACGATTCCTCCCCAGAAGTGTATGGCGACGTGGTTCAACTTTACAAGGCTACGCCGGACTCCCACCCGACGTTCGGTGAGCTGGCGCTGATTTACCCGAAGCCTCGTGTTAACACTGTGATTACGAAGGAGAAGGGTACGCTGTGGGCGCTTGATCGGATTGCCTTCCGCTCCATTTTGATGCGTGGCCGACCTCTGCGCGACGTCGTTCGACGCCTGCGCCAGATCAGCTTGCTGCGCCCACTGACGGTTGCCCAGACGAACCTTGTTGCAGAGGAGATGCGCACTGTGGTGTTCGAGCCCAACCAAGTCGTTCTCCACGAGGGCATGACGGAACCGGGCTTCTTCCTCATTACGAGCGGTCGAATCGAGTCGACGTCCAAGATGGAGAATGTGGCGCCACTCGAACTGAAGACGTTTGACTATTTCGGTGAAATCTCGCTTGTTCGAAGGCGTTCGATCAGGTACATTTTTCTGCATTGTTCATGCGCTGCACTGGTGATGATGCCTAACTCGATGAACCCTGATTGTGTAGCCAACGTTCCATCCGAGTAATTGAGCGCACGGAGTGCCTCTTCATCAGAAAGGATGCACTTGAGCTGGCTGTTGGTAAGCTGTCGTCCATCCTCGAGAAAGACAAGCTCCGTCGTTCACGCAAAACCAGAATTTCGGAAGCTCAAAAAGAGGCAACGGTAAGCTCTGCTGCTTTTTCAAGTGTATGTTCACAATCTGACACGTGTGCTTATCGTTCGTGTATAGGCGAAAACGTTTGTCGAATTCGACAACGAGGCCAAAACGCAGGCGCCTAAGTCTGTCGATGAGGTGGAAGTTGTCGGAAGCGTGATGTCGGATCTGACCAACACTGTCCGCCTGGTGGAAGTCAAGGGCTCGTCCCCGCCAACGTACTTGACGCTGAGGTCGGTAAGCAAGCAGGCAATCGTGGACGCTGGAATGCAGAAGCACGTCAGCGGTGAACGCGATATCTACGTTTCACTGTACGAAAAAAACGCGCTGGTGCCCCAGCTTCTGGCCATGAACTCGAACGACTCGGACATCCACATGCTTTACGAAACGCAAATCGTTGGCACTCTCGAGAGTTTCTTGGACGGTGAACCTCATGGCGAATCCTTCGTCCGCTACTACGCTGCTCAAGTGGTGATGGCTCTCGAGTTCATGCATGCGGTAAGCTTTCGTGAATGTTATGTTCAGTTTCAAGCGAAGGCTCACAATTTGTTTTGCAATTTTACAGGAGGGCGTTGTCTCAAGAACGGTTGACCCAACGAATCTGATGGTTGACCGCAGCGGAAACCTTCGCATGATCAACCTGAGGTAAGCAGTTGACATTTCCAGGAGGTTGGCGCATTATGTTACTAATGTGTTGTTTGCTGTCCGATCTGGCGAGTAGACTCTCCAAGTATGTTGGCCGCGGGAGAACCTACACTGTCTGTGGTACCCCCGAGTACCTCGCTCCGGAGCAGATCACGGGTGAAGGTAAGAGCCTTTGAATATGCCGAGTCACGATGCGTTCCAGATCTGACGGTAGTTTGTTTGCAGGCCACAACATCGCTGCCGATTACTGGGCACTAGGCGTGCTCATGTACGAAATGCTGACTGGCGCGACGCCCTTTACTCGGGAGAACGAGAACGACCTCGAGATTCTCAACGACATCGCATCGTTCCGCCCGGACCAGCTGTCGTGGCCCGAGCACACGAGCGCCGAGCTGAAGGATATCATTGAGAGCCTGTTGAGCCCGGACCCCGCAAGACGCCTCGGATACTCCGAAGTCCGCGCCGGCGCCTGCGAGCCGATCAAGAAGCACGCGTTCTTCGCTGGAACGTCATGGGAGGCCACAAAGATGGGCTCCTTCTCGGTACGTTATGCTGATCACAGAGCACAGCTCTCCGTGTAGTTCGTCCTCTAACTTCCTACACGTTGTTATTGACTGAGCAGGCGCCGCTTGAGCCGGAAGCCGCAGCAGAATTCAAGCAGATTGCGGCAAGTGGAAGCCAAGAAGACCTCAACATCGGCAGCGTCTACACGGGCGACGTCGACTGGCTCGCTGGCTTCTAGACGTGTATGAATTCGCCGCTCGCAGAAGCTGATCGCTAGCACGACGACAGCCGAAAGCGAGCTGCGCCAAACCACCAAAAATTGAAGTATTTGTTCTTGCTACCAAACTTAAACGCAGCGTTCTGCCTCCTCTACGACGGGAACACCAGCCCTGAGATCTCCATGTCGCCAAAGCACACAGTGCACTCCCGCAACAAGCTCTGCTCAACGCATGCCAACGTTAATCTTAGCAGCAACTCAAGAAGATGACAAAAGTTGATCTACGCACCGCATCGTGGTTGACCCGCCCCGCGATAGTGGGGAAGTAGGTCTTGATGGCCTCCACCGCCTTGTCGTCCGTCAGCAGCATCGACGGCTGGAACTGCAGCGCGTCGCTGTCCAGTTGGCACAAGTCTCCTCCCGTCTTCCTCACCACCAGCGTCACCTCCTTGTCCGCTGCGAAGTGCATCACTGTGAGGCGGTACTCCTGGTACCCGCCGTCGGGACACGCCACGCAGTCGTCCACTGGCATCTCCTCCCCCACCAGCCCGAGCTGCGCGCGACTCGAAGCGCAGACGAAGTAGCCCTGGAACCAGTCGCCGTCTCGGGGGAAGCACAGCGCTGCCCGGCCGCCGTCTCGGCTGGAGAAGGTCAGCGCCATCGCTCGCTCTCTGGTCCACTCACTCGCTCGCTCACTCAACCGATACTCTACCGGTGTCAGAGGAAAGAAGGAAGGGAGGAAGCCAATGGAGCTGCGCTGCTTGACGGACGACGCGCCGCTGGTGCGCGCCGTGGAGAAGCTCAATCTGGGGGTGTTACCGGTACAACCGCCGGCCTTTTGCTACCGTCGGGCGGAGAAGGACCGGCACCGGCTGTCGTGGGCTGCAGTGTTTGTGGATGGGGACGTCGTGAGTGGAGCCGCAGTCGCAGACTTGGAGCTGGAGCGGGACGGACAACGCGCGGTGCAGCTTCGCACGCTGGCGGTGCCGGCGCGATTCCGACGTCAAGGGATCGGCCGCAAGCTGGTGATGAAGGTTATTGAGCAGGCCAAAGCAGCGGAGAAGGACGGAGAGGAAATTCAAGGTGTGAGTCTGCATGTCCACGCGGGCAACGAGGAGGCCTTGACCTTCTACAAGGCGCTGGGTTTTGTTGAGAAAGCCCGGGTTGAAGGCTACTACCGCCGTTTGGAGCCGAGTTCGGCCTTCGTGATGGAGTATGCGCTGCATTGAGCTTTGAACGTGGGATGAAGTACGCATATTGCGCTGGTAGTAGAGAGAGAGAGAAGATGGAAAAGCTAGGAGATACGAAGCTTTGTTTCTCGAATAACGACGAGCAAAATCAACATTGAAAGATTGTTAGAAGTCTATAAGACCCGACAAGGCAACGCTGAGGAGATCAGGCGTGAGGAAGAAACTGCGGGTTGCGAGCCACGATGAGTCCCAGTCGAACACCCCACATCTTTTCCTCCCATGGAGCCTCCGACGGGACCACGAAATCAGCTGGAACTTCCTTGCCTCCATGCAGCTCCGCGTACATCTTCAGCAACGGAGTGACACGCTTGCTCCACGCTCGAGTAGATAGCTTGACATTGACCCCGAGCTTGTCCAACCTTTCGATGTCCAGCCCGTAGTGTCTGAAGTAGGCTCCTTCGTGTCGCATGGTCGAGAGTTTCCGCCCTAAATAAGTTGCCCATGCTTTCCTTGGCCAAGGATCTTCAGAAGGAACTACAAACGCTTGGTGGACCTTGGCATTCTTGAAAACGTTGACGTATGCTTGAAGAGCTGGAAAAATGACCTCATTCCACAACTGCATCGTCACGACTCCATGCAAAACCGAGAGCATCAAGCACCTCCTTGTCTCGAGCCGCTTGCTCCGCGTAGGCTACACGGGATCGTATGCAGTTAACGACAATCCCAAGCGGCATTTTCCAAGCCTTCTCTGGCCATGGAGGACAAGATGGAACTGTAAACGCCGTGGGAATGATGCAATCCCCGAACTCTTGACGGTACACTTGCAACGACGGCAGTATCTTCTCCTCCCACTTGCGATCAGAGATCGACTTCTCGTAGCAGAAGTCCATCCTGTCAAGTTCCTCCTTCGACATGTCCACCTGGGCGGAATAATGATGTTCTCCTCGGATTTTCGAGACTGCACGTCCCAGTCGATAGCCCCAGGCCAGCTCTGGCCACGCCTCATCGCCGCTCGGGACGACAAACCAAACCGGGACATCCGCGTGGCCGTGCACTTGTCGGAATTGACGCAAAGCCGGCAGGACGATGTTGTCCCACTTGAACTGATACGTGCTTCTCACGAAGCCCAACTTGTCCAGCTCCTCTTCCATTCCGGCAGAAAGATACCCCTTGTTCTCTATCTTGGTCCGTAGGTTGCTTACTGCGGCCCCTAATTTGTAACCCCAGGTCACCGGTGGCCAGCGCTCGTCTCCAGAAGGAATCGTAAAGGAAAATGACACAAGGAGGTCGCCGTGCAGTTGTTTATACACCCGCAGTGCTGTCAGAATCTTCTTCTCCCACGCAGACTCTCCTTGGTATCCCTTGGCCAGTTCTGCGCCATTTTTGACAGCGTCGCTTGAGTCGATACTTCCGTCCGACAGCGTAGAACTGAAGTGACGAGGGGCCACAAGACAGCGCAGTCTTGCTGCCGAGCAGGCGCTGGTGGACACCGCCTGGACTGGCTGCGCAAGACGCCACGCTCGCCGCGCTGTGAGCCGTATGGATAGCATTGCGCGCCGATGCTCCGATGCAGTTAGCCAATCACAGTTTTGGATTTAGATTCATATCGGGGAGATTCTAGAATTTAGAGTCTAGGCTGGTAGCAAAAACAACCAAAAGTTGACCAGCAGTCATAACGAGGATAAACTGAAACGCGTTTATTTGATGCGAACAGTCATAACGAGGAAACGCGTTTATTTGATGCGAACACCTTTCATACCTTACTGCGTCTACGGTGCGCCAGTGGCCAGATCTGAGACTGCGGCATCGCAGCACAAAAAAATTCTTGGGGGAACCCTCGGTGGAAACTAAAGGGACGGACGAGCCAGCGCAAGGTTTCGGGCGAGTTTGCACCGTTGAAGGGGGCTGAAAAGTCAACCTGGCTTACAGCGCGTCGCGCCTCCTCCGTCAACTGTCCCCACATGATGAGGTCTTGGAATTCACCGTTGTCCCTTCCCGTAGACAACGACAACTCGCTTTCGACAAAACCCCGCATCACACAAGTGCGCAGCGCACGCGGGAGGGCCATCCTTCTGAATCGTAGATCATACAAATCGTCGCCGACCATAGCGGACACCGCAAGTATCTTCGGATTCTCCACGCCAGGGTTATCGAGCCACACTACGACGGCAGCCCAATTGTGTCGAGTTCGCTCTGGGAATCTGATGCCGTTTCCAAGATCTTGTATACCACGTGATAGCCCAGAGATCGTACCGAATTTGGAGCGCGATTTGGTGTTTGGAACACGTACAGATTAATTACGTATTATATCGTTTTTTTAGGAGTTCCAGAACTGTCACGAACCGCGCAATGCTGCGACTCGTAGCGCGCCAAGCCGCCTCGCGATACCGCTCCCGGCAGCGCCCACCAGCGTCTGCAGACATGTACAAGACAAGCCGCGTCCTCTCCTAACGCTTCGAAGCTTCGGATCTACGGTGCTAGGAGGAGAGACGGGCTCAGACAGTGTTCTGGATAGTATCAAGGAGGACGCCCAACAGGAGACCGAAGTCTACCAGGGGAGGTCCCCGTGGGAGCAGAAGATTCTGGCAGCACTGCGGACGTACAAGGACTTGAATGGCGATCTCCTCGTGCCCCAGTCGCTTGTGATTCCCACAGGGGATGAGCGCTGGCCATCGGTGACGTGGGGATACAAGCTAGGGACTGCGGTGAGAGATCTCCGGTGGAGGCTCCAGAGCAAGTCGCCTCTTCCCACTGGGATGAAGGAGGAGCTGGAGAAAATGAGCTTCGTCAAGAACATGGCCCAATATAAGTGGGATAACATTGTCCTGCCGGCGCTGCAGAGGTTTCATCAAGTGCACGAGCACACAGATGTCCCGCACGAATTTGTCGTCCCACGCGATGACGAAACGTGGCCAAGACTGGCGTGGGGTTATCGACTGGGATACACAGTCCACCGCATTCGACAGAAGGAAGTGTATACCGCTCAAGTGGCCATGTCAAAGGAAGAGCTGGACAGGATGGACTTCTGCTACGGCATGTCGATCGTTGAACGTCGCTGGACGGAGAAGATTTTGCCATCATTTCACGTGTATCGCCAAGAGTTCGGAGACTGCATCATTCCCACGGCGTTTGTTGTCCAGCATGTCCTCCATGGCCAGAGAAGGCTTGGGGAATGCCATTGGGGAAAGTTGTCGATTATATCCGACAAGAGAAAAGCTATGCGGAGCAGACAACTCGAGATAGGCCCGTGCTTGACGCGCTAGGTTTTGCGTGGAGACGTCATGACGCGGTGTGGAATGAGGTCATTGTTCCCGCCCTCGAGGCCTATGTCGACGCCCACAAGAATGGCAACGTCCCTCAAAAGTTTGTTGTTCCGTCTGAAGCCCCTTGGCCTGAAAGAACGTGGGGGAAAAGGCTGGGTGGAACACTCTCTACTATTCGACTCAGGGGGTCATATTTTGGACAGTGCGGGCGTGACATTGAACACTTAGACGAGCTTGGATTGAATCTCAAGTTGTCTTCACGAACGTGGAAAGAGCGCGTGGTGCCATTGCTGAGCATGTACGCTGAGCTGCATGGAGAAGAGGAAATTCCACACGATTTCGTGATTCCTTCGGAGGCGCCGTGGGAGGAAAAACTGTGGGGTGTTCGACTGGGGCTCATTGTAGCTCGGAATCCGCAGTTCGCATCCCGGGAGTGATGGTTGAATGAACACGGTACATGCTTGCCTCGCATAAAGTCTGGGTTGCGCTGCGTTGTCCATGATTGCTACGTAAGGACTTAAAAAATTAGTACTATAATACGTAGTATTCGACTGCCGGTAGAATTTTTACGTACTTCGAAGTACTGCTAATAAAGTCTACCGTATCAGATTTTCACCCTTGCCTTGCTACTCTACACGTACGCACAGATTCCTAGGGTACATGCAAAGCGCCCAAAGATGGATGGAATGCTGCTAACGAAACTCAAACGATGGCCTGATTGCCAAGACCGCCGCCAGCACGTCACTTTCGAAACAGACATCCCCCTGCATTCGTCCGAATTCTTCTTGCACTACAACATCCACATCATTTGGTATTCGAGTCATATCCCTGAACTACATCCTCTACAACGATGCACACTCTCTAGTCGGCTGGGTTCATGTATCGGACGTTCCCGTCCTTCGCTCCTCTAGTGACGATGGCAAAGCCGTCGGAAACCGATCGGAAGTCCGTCTTGCTGTTGATACTTGTGTCCTTGAGGATCGCCTTTTGACAGGTCGTAGACGGCGTTACCGTGACCTCGACCGTCGTGATGGCTGCCAGAGCTCCAACGCACTTGGGCAAATCGTCCTGTGTAGCGCCAAAGAACTCGCGTACGGGGGTGCTAAAGTTCGTGAACACGCCGTTCTGCAGTGACGACAGCAGCTCACAGGAAATGAAAGCCGACGGTGCCTCAGTCGCCGTGCCGTTCAGCTTTGAAGTCTGATCGCACCCGGCCAGGTCGTTGACCAATGTGTTGATCGCAGTCGCGTCCTCGAACGTGCTTTTCGCGGTGGCGTAGGAGATCGCACCGCTAGCGCTCTTTTTGGCATTGCACTGCAGGGAAAACTTCTTCAGCATGTTCTGAAGGAACGGGCCGATCTCGTACTCGACGGCGAACGTATCCTGGCTCTTGAAAGTTGTACCAATATTCTTGAAGTATGCACTCAGATCTGTATGCTTTTCCACAGGCGTCTCCTTGATCTTCATGGGAATCGTGGCGGTAGGGGAGACCTTCACGTTCCCGTTGCCCTTGCAGGAACCAGTCAACGCAACGCTCTGGTTGCAGCTCTGGAAAAACTGGTACACCATGTCTAGCGTCGCGCTGCACGGACACACCAGCAAAATAAAACCACATTGGTTAGTCGCAGAGTATCAAAACTAGTCCCTGCAGTAAGTGAAATGAGAACGTACTAGTGACTGAGGAAGATCGGATCAAACGATGCTGCTCGGGTCTCGTAGGCTCCACCGAGCAAGCTGTGTATCGTGAGCTGGACCGAGTTTTGAACTTCCTTGCGCAATGTATCCATTGCTGAAGCGCCACTACTGCTAGTTCCGTTGGCACTAGAAGCACGCCGAATCAAGTCTGCAAACGTCGTCGGACCGAACTCCAAGGACGAATCGCCAATGCCCCAGTCTCCTCGCGGGATACACTTTTCGCATTTCTTGTGATTCGTGCAGGTGTGGGCAGCCACACTGCTGTTGGCACAGTTGCCACTCGGGATGGCCTCTCCATTTACGACGTACGCTCCGGGGAGGAGCTCAGGGCCTTCGCAGCCTCCAAGGTCCTTCAGGATCGGCGAGCAGCCTTCAATACCGTTGCACGTGGTGCTCGTTGAGATACGCTTGGCCGCGTCCTCGAAGATGTCCCAGTACGGCAGCGTCAAGTCGCTGAAGGTCGAGTCCAGCGAGCGCAGCATGTTCTCGTAGCCGAGCAGATACTTGCGGTACCACGCCGGCGCGCCGCAGGTGCCCACGACCTGCTCCAGACTGCCCGAGTCCATATACACCTGCGTGAACAGCATGTGGCTGCCCGACGCCATCGCTTTCTCCAGTGCGCTCAGATACAGCTCTGCATCGACGATATCACAGCGTTAGCACATCAAAAGTGCTACGTCGGACCAAGACAACCAGGGCAGACTCACTCTTCTCATTGCTGGTGTAGGCCGCCCAGCTCTTCCTGACTCGCGCAGCCTTAGGCTGCACTGCAGCGCCCGCCAGTGCGAGCAGCGCCAGCGCCACCGTCAGCAGCAGCACGCGTACAGCCACCATTTGCCTCAGTGTCGACGACCAGCTCCGTTCGGTGTCTGGCTCTCTGATCCGGCTACCTGTACCAATCTTTCGGTACGTTTGTGTGGTGAACACCCGAAACTGGTGTGGTCCACCCGCCGAATCGGTGGAAAAGATTGGGCCTGCGCCTATCCCATCGGTCGAAAATCGCTGCCAATCAACGACACAACTGAGCCCGTCGGTCGGCCAGGTCAGTCGGATATCTTTCGTCTTCGGAACACTCTCTCTCTCTCTCTTTCGGGCCCTATCCGGTCAGGCCCAGCCGCACGCACAACCCCGCGTTTTCAGCCAGTAATGACGACCACGTTCGAAGACCGCGCGGCGCTGGAGGAGGCCATCGAGGCGTGCTCGGCCTCCGTGCGCCTGCTGCAGGACCAGATGCGCAGCGACAAGAGCGGCGTCAAGATGGAGGACGTGGCCAAGGAGGTCAAGAAGCTCGTGGGCCTGCGCAAGGAGCTGCAGGTCTGGAAGCAGAAGGACGAGGAGGAAGAGGCCGAGCGCCTGGAGCAGGAGCAGGACAACCAGCAGCACGAGCAGCAGCAGCAGCAGCTGAAGGAGGAGGAGACGCCCGAGCAGGACGAGGCTGAGGTTGAGGAGCCTTCGAAGCAGGAGGAGGAGGCTGTCGTTGGGGAGGACGAGCTGGTGGAGCGCGCCTCAAAGCTCGAGACGCGCGTGGCCCAGGCGGACGACAAGCTCACGACGCTGGAGACGGAGGTGACGGAGATCGAGCGCACGAAGAAAGCCATGAAGTATCTGGAGGAGCACCAGGAGGTCAAGGAGACGACGGTGGAGACTGTCGAGGAGATGGAGGAGGAGACTGTGGTGGTGCAGGAGAAGAAGTCCAAGAACAAGAAGAAAAAAAAGAACAACAAGACGGCGACGACGGAGAAGAAGGTTGAGGTGAAGGAGGCCGTCTCCGCTTCTTCTTCTTCTTCCACAGTGGAGGTTGAGAAGCTGACGGCGCAGCTTGAGGCCGAGCGTGTGAGGGTGCAGGAGGCGGAGAAGGCAACGGTGAAGCTGCAGAAGTCGGTGCAGACGCTGACGGAGGAGAAGAGCGAGGCCGTGGCCAAGCTGACGGCGGAGCTAGAGGCCGAGCGCGTCAAGGCGGAGCAGGCCAGCCAGTCGAGCCAAGAGGCTGAGACCAAGTTGGAGATGTCGGTTGCTGCGCTTTCGGAGAAGAAGACTGAGCTGGAGGCCAAGCTGAAGGCTGCGGAAGATGCTGCCAAGTCTACCCACGACGACCTAGAGGCTAAGCTGAAGACCGCGGAGGAGGCTGCAAAGACCACCCGGGAGGAGCTGGAGAAGGTCCAGGCTCAGCTGGCAGATATTAAGGACGAGAAGGAGACGCGGGAAACGCACCTTGGCAAGCTGTGGAAGTCGATTGAAGATCTGCAGCTCGCGCACAAGGAGCTTACGGAGAAAAACGTGACGATTGAGGCTGATGCAAAGGCAATGCGTGCTGAGGCCGAGAAGGCCATCGCTGAACACTCGTCGTACGAGGACAAGACTGAGACTTTCACCGCTGAAATTGATGCCGCTAAGGCTGAGCTCGAAGCGTCCAAGGGTGAGATCGAGAAGCTGCAAGCTGAAGTCGAGAAGCTGCAAGCTGAAGTCGAGAAGCTGACGACCGCCATGACTACATCTGAGGCAAAGGTGTCGAGCTCTGAGGAGCGCATCAAGACGCTGGAGCAGGAGCTAGAGGCTGCCATGCAGAGCACCCAGGAGGCATCCTCTGAACTGGAATCGTTGCGTGGCTCGTCGAAGGATGCGGAATCAAAGATTGCGAGCTCCGCGGAGCGCGTTCAGAGCCTGGAGAAGGAACTGGAAGCATCAAAGACGGCTGCTGACGACGCGCAGAAGAACCTGAAGGACGTGACTGCAGAGCTTGACGCTCTGCGTGCGTCTGCGAAGGATTCTGAGTCTAAGGTTTCGAGCTCAGACAAGCGCATCCAGGCCCTAGAGCAGGAGTTGGAATCAGCGAAACAGAACGCCCAGGATATGACCGCCGAACGTGGCGCTCTCCAAGCGTCGACCGAGGAAGCCAAGCGTACTCACGAGGAGATCAAGAAGCTGACCGCACAGATCTCGGATCTCCAGTCTGCCAAGGAGGGAAAGAGTGAAGAACTCGCGGCGGAGCTTGAGAAGGCCAAGAGCGCTGCCAAGGCTGTGCTTGCGGACAAGGAGGAGATTGCGCGCCAGCTGCTCGACATGAAGGACGAGGTGATTCGTCTGAAGTTGGAGAGCGACAAGGCTGTGAGCAAGGCTTCCGGCAACGACTCGCTGGTGAAGAAGTTGACGGTGGACTTGGAGGTACGCACGGCTAAGGCGAAGAAGCTGAAGGCGCAGTACGACGAGCTGCTTTCACAACGCACAAACGCCGAGGACCAGCTGCAGGATCTGCGTGGCGTGGCTGCGACGAACGAGGAACTGCTGAAGAAGGCGCGCACGTCACTGCTGGAGGCCAACGAGGAGCTCAAGGAAGCCCGCGCCCACACGCTCAAGTGGAAGAATTCGGCGCAGGCTGCCAAGACGCTGATGAACGCGAAGATTGCTGACGCCGAGAGCGCCGCCAAGCAGCTCAAGAAGGCCCGTGCCGACGCGTCTGCTGCCAGCTCGGCTCGCTCCCAGCTCTCTGCCAGTCTTGAGGCCAAGGAGAAGAAGGTCGCCAAGACCAAACAGGAGCTCGCCACGGTTCGTGCAAAGCTTGCTGAAGCCCTCGAGGCGATCCAGACCGAGCGAACGGAGTCGAAGCAGGCTCACGCCGCACAGCTGGCCAAAATCCGTGAGATCTCGGAGCAGCCCATCGCCCAGCTCAACGGCCAGGTCCAGTCGTACCGCATGACGATCATGGTGCTGCTCCCAGGTCTGCTGGCCGTGCTCATTTACGCAATCTCGCACTAAGTTTTACTAGCCGATAGCGTTGCACAAAAGGAAGTGTATAGCGTGTTTTGGACGAAGAGGCAGCAAATGCAATGTAGCTATTGAGCTGTGTACAGGGCTGGTAAAACCTGTCGATTTTTTCAAAACGAATTAGGTTTTTGGCTTTACCTTGGTTTAAACCAATATAACCTAGTTTTTATTTCTTGACTAAGCTTTACTACTGCGTTCTTGGTAGTTCTTCCTGTTTTCGTTCTTGTTGATGTAGTTGCCTATGGAAAACGCATTCCGAGCTTGGTGCACGAAGCGAGGAGGATATTAAGAGGCCGAGTACCTAATAGTTCATGTCGATGGGCTCTGAAATATCACGTTGTCAGCGAGGAGTGAAAATAGTGGTGAAAGTATGAGTGTGTTAAGGTCGGCTCTATGATGATTTCGCCTTTTCCTCAGTGCGTCCAGGTATTGGGGGGTATCAAGTGTTTCATTGTGTTAATGGGCCAAAGGCATGATGCACCTTGGTTAGAGGGCAATGTGCCGAATGACAGCCCCTAAGGGATGGTGGGAGGGTAGAATTTTTCTACGGTGCCAAAGGCCTAGTGCCGACTTGAGCGTGCTTCGTGCCGGCCACAGCAGTGTCAGGCTGAGACCTGCGGAGCTTGCTTTTCCTGGCTTGTTGTTTGAGCTCCGTGACGCTCAACCCAGAATGAGTTGCCTCGGTCAGGAGTGCATCCGTGCTTGCTGACCTTATCCAGCAGTTGTTGGTTGCTCGCCCAGACTCAGTAGTTGTTCTCTCCCTGCAATCCGGAAAACTAATTATCCACTTGTTTCATTGAGCTCCGCTGATTGCACTTCTGGTTAAATTCACATTTCGTTCTCCATGGGTATACTTTGTAAGGTACGGCTTCGGCGCAACATGGGTACCGAAATTATTGCGGTGTTCTTTAGAATGGAACTTCTTTCATTCTCATTATCTATTTAGCCATGTTTGGTTAAGTCCACCTGAACCAGAGTCATAGTTATCAAGTGTGTACATTCGTCTGTGCTGCCATTAAAGGTCTGTCGGCAAAAGGGGTAGCATCACGATTTTTATTTTTGGAAATTTGGCAACCAAATGATTATTTTTTCTCTGGAAGACCAAGAACTCGATTTTGGCACTTTTTGGAGGTTGGTAGGTTTCACTATAAAACCTAAAATAAAACCTAATAATTAAACCCCTTGTGCCAGCCCTGGCTGTGTACCACCAAGTGCATGTACTTCGCTTTTTAGCGCATATACATGTAGCTACCTTAGTCGCGCCCACCGTGCTGGCAAAAGCTTGGTAAAGTAGCTTCGTGCTCATTCTCACTTCAAATGCTTCAACTGCGAAGCTCGAAGGCAGCGTTAGCACAACTGTTTGTCTCTGCAGAATTGGTCAAGATGATCATCTGCGCGGCGAAAACTCTAAATTCCGAGCTACGATGAGTCCCAAGCAGACACCCCACAGTTTTTCCTCCCACGGCGCCTCCGACGGGATCACGAAATCGTGTGGAACTTCCTCTTCTCCATGAAGCTCAGCGTACATGCTCAGTAGTGGCACCACACGCTCTCTCCACGCTCGAGCAGACAACTTGAGGTTCAATCCGAGCTCGTCTAAGTGTTTAATGTCGCGCCCGTACTGTCCAAAATATGTCCCCTTGCAGCGCATATCGGAGAGTATCCCACCCAGCCTTTTCCCCCACGCTCGTTCAGGCCAAGGGGCTTCGGGCGGAACAAGGAACTTTTGAGGGACGTTGCCATGCTTGTGGACGTCAACGTAGGCTTCGAGGGCTGGGACAATGACCTCATTCCACACCGCGTCACTATGGTTCCACACAAAACCTAAGGCGTCAAGCACGTCCCTGTCTCGAGTTACCTGCTCCACGTAGCTGTCACCAATGCGACATCTGCTCACCACTTTTCCTAGCGCCATTCCCCACGCTCGCTCAGGCCAAGGGGCTTGAGACGGAACAACAAATTTATGAGGGACGTGGCCATTTTTGTAGACATCCACAAACGTTTTAAGAGCTGGCATAATGCTCTCGTCCCACACCGCGTCACTACGGTTCCACACAAAACCGAGAGCATCTAGCACCTCCCTGTCTCGAGTTGCCTGCTCCGCGTAGCCGCCACCAATGCGACATCTGCTTACAACGATTCCAAGTGTCATTCCCCACGCCTTCTCTGGCCATGGAGGACATGCTGGAACAACAAACGCCGTGGGAACGAGGCAATCGCCAAACTCTCGCCGATACACTTGCAACGACGGCAGAACCTTCTTCGTCCAGTCACGTTCAATAATCGAAATGTCGTAGCAGAACTCGATCCTGTCCAGCTCTTCCTTTGACATGGCCACTTGGACGGTATACGCTTCCTTCCGTCGAATGCTGTGGGCCGTGTTTCCCAGTCGGCAACCCCATGTCAGTCTCGGCCAAGTTTCGTCATTGGTCGGGACGACAAATTCTTGGGGGACATCTGCATGCTCGTGCACTTGATGAAACCTCTTGAGCGCCGGCAGGACGATATTATCCCACTTGTATTGGGACGCGTTCCTCGCGAAGTCCAGCGTCTCCAGTTCCTCCTTAAACTCAGTGGAGAGTGGTGACTTATTCTCCAGCTTGATCCGAAGGCGATTAACAGCAGTCCCTAGATTGTACCCCCACGTCTTTGAAGGCCACCGCTCATCTCCGGTAGGAACCACAAACGGCCTTGGCACGAGAAGGTCTCCGTACAGCTTCTTGTATATCTGCAGCGCTACCAGAACCTTCTGCTCCCATGCGGTCGTTCTTTGGTGATGGGTAGCCTCCTGCGGTGCTATGGTGACACTAGCCAGGCGCGCATTCGAATCAGTCCTTGGTCCTAGCACCGTAGAGGTAAAGCTTCGCGGAGTCAGGAGAGGAAACGGTTTGCCTCTTACGCAGGTGCTAGCGGTCACTGCGTGGAGCGGCCGCACCAGGCGCAATACTTGGCGCGCTGTGAGTCGCAGCATTGCGCACTGCGCATGCCAATCAAATGAGGGTTGTTCCGAATTCAAATGCTTTTATTTAAAAAAAAAAAGAATTTAAAAATTCTAGTTGCACGATCTGTACAAATTCTAAATTCAAAGCGCGGCATCGAAGAGCTTGGATCGATCATCGGCGAAACGAGCATTGTAACCCAGCCTGAAGGAGAAAGCCAACTGGTGGGACTCGAACGCGTAGCTTGTTATGGCCGTGGGAACTCTTTTGCTCAAGTGCGCCTGGGAGTACCAGTAAAGCCAACTCACAACACCAAAGTCGGCGATTCCAACATCAGACAGTCTTGAGGGCCAAGGAATAAATCGTTAGGACCAAGCAAAAAGAACCTGTCGTGGTTCGTGTAGAGCTTCATGAGGCTCTCAATACTGACCGAGGCCATAGTCGAAGAATGCACAGCTGGAGATCTCGGAGCAGGAGATCGAGCTGCTCAATCCAGCTGCAGCCGCATGACGATCTAAGTCTACGCAACTTTAGCGGTAGCCCCCCCCCCACACGCACACACCAAGGGCTCGCGAGAATACCTTTACATTGTCAATAAAAAAAATGAAAAGAAGTGCAAGAAACGGATTGGTAAGAGGTACAAGCCTTTGCAGCGCCTCTTGTAAGCGAGCCTTGCGTCTCGCTCATGCGAGCCTCACGAGTCGTGGGCCACGGCAAGCAGTGTCAGCTTGTAAAGATTGGCCTCCGAGATGCTCCAAAACTTCAAGAGTTCAGCGCCGGTATCCGGTCCGGCCTTTTCGATGTGATGGCTACACTGCTGAAACGTTAGACAACACTTTTTGTCTATGGCATAATTCGAGACCAACGGTCGAGGTATGCTAGCTACTACCTTTACTACGCCTGTTTCGCGGCGGCATTATCTGCCCGATAATTCACCACTGAGCAACATTTTTAGGCCAGAACTACGTTGTTTCGTGACAGCAAGGCGCAGTGAAGCTTCACCACACTTTAGCTCACGCACGATGCATAGCTTTGTAGCTGAGAAATTACAAAAACAGTGGGGCTATTTTTGTAATTTCGCCGCTCCCCATCCCGCTCCGCTCCACGCGGCACCTACTACGACATTCACTCTTGGAGATGATGGCGGAGGAGAGCGAGGCTTCGGCCGCGGCGCTCGAGGCCGCCGGCCCCGCTGCTGCAGCCGGCGCGGCGGCATCGCAGTCGGGTGCGTACAGAAGTCGCTCCTTCCTCTCCATGCTCATGCGGCAGCCGCCCGCGCCCTTGCCTCTGCCCTTTGACGTCTCACCGCCCGTGCCCGTGCCTCGTGTGTCGTTCCGTTGTGTTGCTACTCGTATTGTTCGTGCAGACGCCGCGCAGCGCCTGGAGACGGAGAAGCGCGAGCTCATCGAGAAGCTCAAGAAGGCCGTGGGCGCCGGCAAGGCCATGAAGAAGCAGCTGGAGGACGCGCGCGCGGACTGCGCGCTCAAGGACGAGGACCGGCAGCACGTCGTGGCCAAGCTGCAGGACGTGGTGGGCCGCTACCAGGCGCTGCAGCAGCAGCTGGAGGCCAAGGACGGAGAGCTGCAGCTCGCCAGCTCTAAGGTCGAGGCCTTCCAGGTGGAGCTGCAGGCCCAGCAGCAGCAGCTCAGCGACGAGCTGCAGAAGGCCGGCGCCAAGCTGGCGCAGGAGGAGGCGCGCGTGCTCGTCTTCCAGGAGGAGAACAACAGACTGACCAACCAGGTGGCCGCCATGCTCGAGGACAAGCAGCAGCAGGAGCGCGAGACGCAGGAGCTGGTAGCGGAGAACCACAGCTTGCAGGCGAAAGTGGACGATCTGGCGCAGCAGCTTAGCGGCGCCAGGCAGCAGCAGGAAGACACGGAGCAGATGTACCTCGAGGTGGCGTCTAGGCTGAACCAGGCGCTGCGGGACAATGACGAGCTCAAGAAGGCGAAGCGAGCGGACGGCGACGCGGATGCTGATGCTGACGATGCATCAGGCCGCACGAAGGAGTTGGAGACGCAGATTGCTGCCTTGGAAGTTAAGTCAGGCGAGTGGAAGGCGGAGCTGGCGGCTAGCACGGAGAAATGGGAGCTGGAGAAGCAGCAGCTCGCGCAGCAGATTGAAACGCTAACTTTGTCCAGCGAAAAGGCCCAGGCAGAGCTCGCCGACGCTGCCGAGATCCGCGAGAAATTGCTTGTTCACGTTGGCATCGATTTGTCCTACGAAAGTATTGAATCGCTTCTGGATACCAAAAACAATGAAATCCAGATGCTGACGGAACAACTTGCGGCCGCGGAAGCGCCTAAAGAACAGGCTATCCGCGAGGCAGTCAGTGCTGCTATTGTTGAGGCGGAAGGGCTTCGCGATCAGTTGGAGGCGCTGCAAGGGCAGTACGAATCGTTGACTACCGAAAAGGTTGCGGCTGATAAGACGGTGGAGGAGCTCCGTGCAGAGCTGGAACGAGTAGCAGAAGAGCACTCTACTTCTCTTTCGGCTAAGGAGGATGAACACCGACAGGCTTACGAATCGCTAGAAGAAAAGCAGGCGGGATACGTGACGCAGCTGGAGGATTCGCAGACGCAGACACAGCAACTGAGCGAAGATTTCGCTACGATCAGGTCTAAGATTGAGGGGTTGGTTGCTGCGCTGCAGATAGACACGCCGAAATCTGTATCAGATGATGCAGCGGACTGCCATAACTCCCAAATGGTGGAACTACAATCGTACCTGAAGCACATCCAGGAGGAGCTTGTTGGGGCTGGCAAGGCGGACCTTCAAAGCGACGTAGACGACCTACAGGAGAGGATACGCGCGTACGAGACTGAAAACCAGCAGCTGGTAGCCAAGCTAGAAGAGTGTGAGAACCAACTTAAGGCTCGTGCTAGCGAGATCGAGAAGCTTGCTGCTAGAAGAATGTCTGGTGATACGGACAAGTGTGCATCTTCGAGCGAAGACTCAGCCTCAGTCACATCCAACGGTGAACCTGCAGAAAGCTTCAGCGGAGACGCCTCTGACCTTGAACGCGAGTTAGAAGCGACAAAGGCTCATTTGCACGCTGTCGAGGCAGAAATGGCAGCTTGCAAAGCTGAAAACTTGCGGATGATCTTCGAGGTCGCGAAAACTGCGGATGGTGTTTCGAAGCTCAAGCAGGACCACGAAACATTACTGGAGACGCATCAAAAGAAATCGTCGGAGCTGGATGCAATGATTGAGGAGCTTGAATCGATGAAATCAGCAAACCAGGCGCTCGAGTCGGATCTCAAGAGTAAGACTGAGGATCTACGCTGCCACCTCGAGACTTCCGCCATGCAGAAGGAGGATCTTCAATCCATTGTTGCTAATCTGAGTACTGCTGTCGACAATGCAGAAAAGGAGAAGCACAAGATCAAACGTGACCTGGAGGATATCAAGAACGAAAACGACGTCCTCGAGGAGCGGATTAGCGAACTGCACGCCGTTGCTGACAGCAAGACTGAAGCAGACGAGTGGCAGGAAAAGGATCGCGAGGTTGAGGAGCTGCGTTCATCGCTCGTCCAAGCTAAGGTTGACTTCTTGGAGCAGAAACACCAGCTTACTGCCCTAGAGAAGAAGCTGGTTGCGGTCTCCAAGTCGAGTGGCCCCGCCTGTACGATCAACAATGCCTCTTTGGAAGCTGAGCGACGAGAGTTTGAGGCTGCTTTGATTGAGATGATCGAGATGGAGAAGAAACTTCAAGTGGCATACGAGGCTAAGCAGAGTCTTGAATCGACCCTGCAAGAACGTATGGAGGCGAAGAACGAGCTTGAAAATCGTCTGTCTGTTGCAGAAGACAAGATTGCAGAGCTGGAGCAACAGTTAGAGCAGAAGGTTGCTCTCATTGCTACCATTGAGGAGCAGTTGCGGTCAGTTGAAGAAGAGCGAGAAAAATTAGCGGATGAGTTTGCAAAGACCAAGTCAAAGCTGGAGCGCAGCCGTGGAAAATTGGAAGAGAAAGCGATCGAGTTCGAGGCGTTCAAGACGACTACTAACATGCTTAAGGATGAGCGCAGTCGCCTGTTCAATGAGATCGCAATGCTCAAGGACAAAATCGCGAAGTCGGAGGTTCAAAAGGCTGCAATGGCTGACTCGCAGGAGCTTGCTAACGAAGAGCTAGAGGAACAGCTCAATGAGCTAGCTGATAAGATTGCAGAGATTGAAGCGGAAAAGCAGGACCTCCGAGCTAGGCTTGAAGATACTATCTACCGTTCCGAGGAGGATATCCACCAACTGAGGGAGCGGCTCTACATGCTCGAGGAGGAGAAGTCGGGTCTTGACGATGAAAACTATAAGCTCGAACGAACCATCGAGAGCTTGGAGGGGAAGCTTGACTCTCTCGAAGAACAGAAGGCGGATCTCGAGGCATCAAACGCCTCAACCTCGGAGCAGTTAATTCTTTTGGAGGATCGGGTGGAGAAGGCAACAAACGAAATTGCTACGCTATCGGCCGAGAAGGACAATCTTGCTGAGCTGCAGCAGTCTTTGGAGGAAAATGTCTCCTTTCTTCAGGATGAAAAGACTAAGCTTGAGCAGACCTTGGAAGAAACAACTGGAAAATTACGTGACGAATTGGAGCAAGTGACGGCACAGGTTGAGGCACTGCAGGTTCAGCTTTCTCAGAGTGCTGCTGAGAAGGACGAGGTTTCAGCAGCGCTGTCGGAGCTTCAGGAGCGTGCTCAGGTTGACAACTTGGCTCGCGAAGAAGTCGCTGCGAAGCTTGAAGCACAAGCTGCAGAGAATGGAATCCTTGAGAACAAGATTGCAGTCTTGAAGCAGATGGCTGAGAAGGCACTGCAGTCACTGCAGGCAAGCCGCGACGAGTTGTCAGAAGCCGAATCGCGCGCCGCAGTATTGGTTGAGGAGCGTGATACAGTAAAAGCATTGCTGCAAGAGAAGGAGTCCGCCAGCGAGATCTTGACTGCTCAACGTGAAAAGTTGCAGCAGGAGGTCGACAAGCTCACGAGTGAACTCAAGAACCTGCAACAGACGCATTCCGAGGAGATTGGTGCAGCCGAGGAGGTTATCAGTGGCTTAAAGGATGCTGAAGCGAAGCTAGTGGAATCTTTGGAATCAGTCAAGCGAGATCTGGCTGAAGCTGAATCGTGCGTGATGGTGTTAGTTGAGGAGCGAGATGCAGCAAGAAAGGATCTAACTGCCAAGGATCTGAAGATTGAGATGCTGACAAGCCAGCAAGGAGAGCTCGACTTGGCAGCTCAAAAGTTTGAGACTGAGTTAAACGCCTTGCGATCCAAAACCTCAGCTGAAGCGCAAGCAACTGAGGAAACCATTCGTAACCTGGAGGAGTCAAAGACCCAGGCAGAGGAAACAGCTCGCCACCTCAATGACTTGTCGGCTCAAGCTGAAGAGGAGCTGCAGGTGATCCGGGAACAGCTTGCCCAGTCAGAACTGCGGGTTGCAGCACTCGAACAGGAACGTGATGCCACTCGAACTTCATTGAACGAAAAGGTATCGACGCACGAAACTTTAAGTGCACTCCAGGAGGATTTGCAGAATAAGGTCGATGCCCTAGAGACCGAGTTGAAGGAGCTTCGGGAGACAAGCTCGGCAGACTTGGCAGCTGCAAACGAGACTATCGCTAGTCTGAAAGAAGCAGAAGCCGAAGAAGTAGAGACTTTGGCTTCTCTTCGTCAGGAACTGGCGGAGGCAGAAGGATGTGTGATGGTTCTAGTCGAAGAGCGCGATGCGGCGAAGAAAACACTCAGCAAGAGAGATCTTACTCTCGAGGTTCTCAGTTCGGAGCATGGCGAGCTGCAGCTGAAAAGTCAATCCGTGACCACTGAGCTGGAAGCTTTACGGATCAAAAGCTCAGCGGACGCCCAAACTGCAGAGGAAACCGTGCAGGCTTTGAAGGAGGATATCAAACGTGTAACGGAGTCACTAGAGACCGCTCAAACGGAGCTAGCAGAGTCCGAATCACGCGTGGCTTCCTTAAGTGCGGAGCGTGATACTCTTAGCAAAAAACTCCGTGATCTTGACGCTGAACACGCATCCTTAAGCACCCAGAAAAACGAACTGCTGCAGCGTGTCGAGGATCTGGAGGCTGAGATGGAGACACTGCAAAGTCAACACTCGACTGAATTGGCGGATGCCGAAGGGATCATTCTATCATTAAAGACGTCTGAGGCGGCCATTACCGAATCGCTGGAATCCGTGCGTCGGGAGCTATCCGACTCTCAGACTCAAGTTACAGTTTTAACTCACAATTGTGATGAGGCGAAGACTGAACTGGTTGAGAACGAAGCACAGATCAACACCTTCCGAACCGAAACCAAAGACCTTCAGGAGCGCATCCAGACGCTGGAGAGCGAGCTGCAGGAGCTGCAGAACCAGCGTGAGGCTGAGGTGCAGTCGTCGGAGGAGACTATCCGCAGTCTGAAGGAGTCGGAGGCGCAGACGGCGGAGACGCTGGAGGCGATCCGGCAGAAGCTGTCCGACACCGAGGCGCGCGTCGAGTCGGCGGAGGAGGAACGCGAGGCCGCGAGCAAGGCTCTGAGTGAGATGGAGTCTCACCGCGAGGCGCAGAGCACCGAGGTGGAAAGCCTGCAGGAGCGCATCCAGACGCTGGAGAGCGAGCTGCAGGAGCTGCAGAACCAGCGTGAGGCTGAGGTGCAGTCGTCGGAGGAGACTATCCGCAGTCTGAAGGAGTCGGAGGCGCAGACGGCGGAGACGCTGGAGGCGATCCGGCAGAAGCTGTCCGACACCGAGGCGCGCGTCGAGTCGGCGGAGGAGGAACGCGAGGCCGCGAGCAAGGCTCTGAGTGAGATGGAGTCTCACCGCGAGGCGCAGAGCACCGAGGTGGAAAGCCTGCAGGAGCGCATCCAGACGCTGGAGAGCGAGCTGCAGGAGCTGCAGAACCAGCGTGAGGCTGAGGTGCAGTCGTCGGAGGAGACTATCCGCAGTCTGAAGGAGTCGGAGGCGCAGACGGCGGAGACGCTGGAGGCGATCCGGCAGAAGCTGTCCGACACCGAGGCGCGCGTCGAGTCGGCGGAGGAGGAACGCGAGGCCGCGAGCAAGGCTCTGAGTGAGATGGAGTCTCACCGCGAGGCGCAGAGCACCGAGGTGGAAAGCCTGCAGGAGCGCATCCAGACGCTGGAGAGCGAGCTGCAGGAGCTGCAGAACCAGCGTGAGGCTGAGGTGCAGTCGTCGGAGGAGACTATCCGCAGTCTGAAGGAGTCGGAGGCGCAGACGGCGGAGACGCTGGAGGCGATCCGGCAGAAGCTGTCCGACACCGAGGCGCGCGTCGAGTCGGCGGAGGAGGAACGCGAGGCCGCGAGCAAGGCTCTGAGTGAGATGGAGTCTCACCGCGAGGCGCAGAGCACCGAGGTGGAAAGCCTGCAGGAGCGCATCCAGACGCTGGAGAGCGAGCTGCAGGAGCTGCAGAACCAGCGTGAGGCTGAGGTGCAGTCGTCGGAGGAGACTATCCGCAGTCTGAAGGAGTCGGAGGCGCAGACGGCGGAGACGCTGGAGGCGATCCGGCAGAAGCTGTCCGACACCGAGGCGCGCGTCGAGTCGGCGGAGGAGGAACGCGAGGCCGCGAGCAAGGCTCTGAGCGAGATGGAGTCTCACCGCGAGGCGCAGAGCACCGAGGTGGAAAGCCTGCAGGAGCGCATCCAGACGCTGGAGAGCGAGCTGCAGGAGCTGCAGAACCAGCGTGAGGCTGAGGTGCAGTCGTCGGAGGAGACTATCCGCAGTCTGAAGGAGTCGGAGGCGCAGACGGCGGAGACGCTGGAGGCGATCCGGCAGAAGCTGTCCGACACCGAGGCGCGCGTCGAGTCGGCGGAGGAGGAACGCGAGGCCGCGAGCAAGGCTCTGAGTGAGATGGAGTCTCACCGCGAGGCGCAGAGCACCGAGGTGGAAAGCCTGCAGGAGCGCATCCAGACGCTGGAGAGCGAGCTGCAGGAGCTGCAGAACCAGCGTGAGGCTGAGGTGCAGTCGTCGGAGGAGACTATCCGCAGTCTGAAGGAGTCGGAGGCGCAGACGGCGGAGACGCTGGAGGCGATCCGGCAGAAGCTGTCCGACACCGAGGTGCGCGTCGAGTCGGCGGAGGAGGAGTACAAGACTGTGACTGCTGTCTTGAAGCAAAAGGAAGATGCGCTGGTCGAGTTGACCGGCGAAAAAGCTACACGTAGCGAGGAGATTGCTCAATACGTTGCGAAGATTGGTGAGCTGGATTTCAAATTGGAAGCGGATGGATTGGAGCTCTCTGAAGCTGCCAAGCAGATTGAGTCCCTTCAGAGCCGTGTTGGTGAGCTGGAAGTCCAACTTCACGAGCAAATGGAAGCTGTTGAAACCTCAGCGAAGGAAATCGAAGCTCTTCAGGAACAAGTGGCGTCTCTGACTGAGGCATCCAGTTCGGCGTTATCGGAGGTAAACCTCCTCCGGAAGCAAAATGCGTCTGAGGCCGAAAACTATGCTGCTAGCATTGCACAGAAGGACGAGGTGATTTCTACGCTGAAATCGAAGCTTGAGGAAGTGATGGCGGCGTATAAACGGTTGAAGGGGCACCTGCAGGAGTTGCAGGACAGGTTGGCTCAGCAAACCACCACCAACGACAGCTTGAAGACGTCGTACAACGAGCTGAATGCTCAGTATTCTACTTCCGTTGCGGAACTTGACGAATTGAAGCAGGAACTTGCGGCATCTCGTGAACAAACGGACGCACTGACAGGAGAGCTGAGTGAAGCGGGTGCGAAGCTCGCGGAGTCTGAAGCTCAACGCGAGAACCAGATGGAAAACTACAAGAAGCGTGTTCTGGCGTATGATGACGAGCTTGCTCGGATGCGAAGACAGCACCACGTCGACTTGCACGAGCAGAAGGAGACGCTGTTGTCTGAGTCTGACGCTCGTGAGGGGGCTGCTCAAGTGAAGCTGTCGGAGCTGGAGCAATCAGTTTTATCTCTTACTGAGACTGTGGAGAAGAAGGAGCTGGAGTTGCAGACCGCGGCGGAACGCGTACGACTTCTGAAGGAGGAGCATGTTCAGGCGGGAAGCGATCGCGAGGAGACTGAGCGGAAGTATGAAGCTGAGCGCATGGAGCTCGAAGCCCAACTCTCTTCAGCTAACGAAACGATCGAGAAACTCCGTTCCACCTCGGATGCCAATGTTGGTCTGCAACGTGAAACCGCTTTACAGCTCGAGAACCAGGTTGCCAAGCTGAAGCTTCAAATCGAGGCCGAAACGGAGGGCGCTAATGCTGCGCGGGCTGCGCTCGAAACGTACAAGAAACGTGCACACACTGCCCTCAAGAAAGCGTCGAGTGAGAACAAGCTAAATTTGAAGAAGGCTGCGCAGAACACAACCAAACTGGAAGAGGAGGTGGTGGCTGCGAAGAGTCGAATCAGTTCACTTGAAGCGCAGCTGGAGGAAACTCAGAAACGGATGGCGGAGATCGAAAGTGCAGGAGAGGCTCTGGCTCAGAGCGCCCGCGAAGCTTTGGAGGTGGAGAAGCGTGCCGAGGAGGCGTCTCTGCGCCTTGAAATCGATGCCTTGAAGGCGGAAGTGGCACGACTCGAGGAGGCTTCCGAGAGCGACCGAGCATCTCTCGAGACGCAGGTTAAGCAGCTCACCGACCGCAACGAAGCTCTGAACGTTGAAATTGCTGCCCTCAGAGAGAACCTTCGTACGCAGAACGAAGCGATGGAGGAGGCGGTTCAGGTCAAGGAGGACGAGATCACGGAGCTGTCAAAGCAGCTGCAGGCCGCACTCGCTGCTGCTGCATCTCTTGCCTCGAATGAGGTTGGGCGTCGCTCGTACTCGCCTGCTTCGTCGCCGACCGAGAAGGAGAGACGCTCAACGGCTTCGTCTTCGAGATCTTTATTCGAATCGGAAGGAAACAACAGCTTCCTGTACCAGACCACGATCGAGGAACAGCACGAGCACATGACTGCTGCAGTCGCGGATTCGTGTCCGATCCCGCTTCCGTCCAAGATGGTTTCGACCAACGGAATTGCACACTCCTCGGGAGGCGATAACGAAGTTGTTCGGCTAAAACTCCAGCTGAACGAACTGGAGACGAGGTCAAACCTCTTTCAGAAGAAGGTGCGCCATGCAACTCATGTGCTATTGCTGTCCATATTATCCCCACTAACCTTGTTTTTTTCTTATTTTTCTTATAGTTTGAAGACACCTCTGCATTGTTGGAGGATGCCAACCGACAGAAGCAGCGTCTGCAGGAGCTGAGCGATCGTTCTACCCAGGCGATCAACATTGAGTACCTGAAGAACGTCATTATGAAGTACATCGAGAGCCAAGTGCCCAGCGAGAAGGAGCAGCTAGTGCCTGTCATCGCGACGCTCCTGGAGTTCAGTCCGCAGGAGCACCAGAAGGTGATGGCGGCGCACAGCAAGGCGAACGACGAGGGCGCGGGGCTGTTCGGCGGCGTGTTCTCCCTCTTTGGAGGCGGAGCAGCGGCCGCGCCACCCCCGAAACCGCTCGCAGCCCCGCACAACTTCAAGCCTTCGCCCACCACAGCGAAGGGCAACACGACCGGGGCTGCGCTTGGCAGCAAGGACAAGAACGGCGTCCTCTCATTCGGAAGCGACCCCAGCGACGACGAGGAGTTCGCGACGCCGCTGAACCCGTTCGCTGCATAGCCAGTCAGCAGTCTTGTCTACACGTGAGTGTCGTCCGAAACTAAGCGCTGCGTACGTGGCAGCGCAATTCAACTTAGATGCATATAATGCACAGGGAAAGCTATTATAACGCGTAGATTCATGTGAATTTCCTACTTGCTTCGAAGTGGTTCAAGTTGAGAAAGAAATTATTTTACGGTAAGGTGTGCATGGAGGGCTCAAAGTTGCAAGAGCAGAAGGCTTAACTTGATTTCAAAGTGAAGTCAAATGGGAACAAGTCTTCCTCTTCATTTTTTATTGCAGTCATTTCACATCCAAAAAGCAAAAAATAATAAAAAAGCGAAATGACAGCGATGCCGCCATTCTTGAGTTCATGCGTCGTGTCGAGAGCGGCGAACGAGACGTTGAGGCCCTCGTGGCTCAAGCCATTCCACTGACGCGATGGCTACGCAGCGCCGTGGACTGCTTTTCTGCCGTCTTCATCGAGGCACGCTACGTGACGCAACCAAGACGAACCACAACGGTGGACCTGCTCATCACGAAAATTCAGGATGAGACGCATGCAGCGATCGCTGGCGTATTGAGCTCCCAGCTCGTCAACTTTAGTCACGCGACGGGCTCGATCCTACGAGCTGCCGGGGCAACATGGACTTGGTATTTCCTGGGACTCTGAATCAGGTCGTGCGCCGCCCAGACACGGCGATGCGGCCGTTTGTATCGGCGGAAGGCGAGAGCCCGGTCTCCCCGCGGCTTATCGTCGAGATCGAGATCGGCAACAAAAGTATACTACAAGCCCAGCAGTATTGCCGTGAATACTTCGACCTCATCCCCCTGCTACGCGCGGCCTTGCTGATCAAATTCTTCCCAGCTCGCAACGGAGTCTTTGCGTGCGTGGCGATTCTGTATCGTCGAAGTGGCGATGACGATGATGAAGTGGTGGTGGCCGACGTGGTAAACTTCGGAAGTGCTTCCATACCTGATTATGCTGAGCGTGACCTGGAGCAAGAGCCTCGCATTCTGCCGCTTGCACCGCCGTACAATCCAAACGAGGCTTCAGTGAGTTCGTGGCGAGCTCACCACCATCCGTTCGTGGAAATCCCAGCGGAAGACGTGTTTTACCGAATTCTCGAGCGGTATTCAGGGCGCCGTGTCAACCCAAGGGCGCTCCCGGCACTTCGAATCGACCTCTGGGAAATCTACCAGCTTGTTGAAGGCATTCTGTTTTGACTTGAGTATCAAAATCGAAAGCCGGCCACGTGAACCTACGATGGCTAACCGACTTGGTCGCGTCCTTATTGGCATGGACGACTCCAAGCTCCGGTCTGTATTGACCTCAAGTCGCTTCGGTAGGACAAGACTCGACTCTGTGTCTAAATTGGAGATGACGGTCAAAACTACATTCGAGGTGCGGAATGCTGCGGCTCACAGCGCGCCGAGCCTTGCGCCTCTCCGAGCATCATAGCCCACTTCAAGTGGGCCACTTGTACTCGCTCACGTTCCTCACGAAGTGCATCTTCGCCAGTTCCTCCTCTATTCCAATGGGCAGAGGCGCCTTGTTCTTGAGTTTGGCTCGATGAACTTTCACGGCTTCGACTACATTGACGACCAGCTATTGTCTCTAGAAAGAATCACAAACGTCTGAGGCACAAGAAGATCCCCCTCCAGGGCCGGGTATCTGCGTGGGATCCAAGAAGCTATCGCTTGCGACCCCCCCCCCCCTCCCTCCTCCGATGGTTCAGCTCTATTACCGTCTCGGAGGGAGGAAGTGGCTCGGTGGATCGTTTGAATGATGCCAAAAACGTCGAAAAGGAGGCAACAGCTCATCCAATGTGGGAGCAGACGATTCTGGTAGCGCTGCGGACATACAAGCAACTGGAGGGGGATCTTCTTGTGCCTCAGACGTTTGTGATTCTTTCTAGAGACAATAGCTGGTCGTCAATGTAGTCGAAGCCGTGAAAGTTCATCGAGCCAAACTCAAGAACAAGGCGCCTCTGCCCATTGGAATAGAGGAGGAACTGGCGAAGATGCACTTCGTGAGGAACGTGAGCGAGTACAAGTGGCCCACTTGAAGTGGGCTACCATCGTCCTGCCGGCTTTGCGGAGATTCCACGAAGTGCACACACACACACGGACGTCCCAAAAAGTCAACCGGAGATGATGCGTGGCCAAGACCGACCTGGAGCCACCGATTGAGGAGCACGGTCGACAGCATTCGCCAAAGGAAAGCGTTAAGCGGTCGAGTGGTCAAGTGGAAGGACCAACTTGACAAGATGGAACTTTGCTATGATATGCCACTCGTCGATCGCGACTGGAAGGAGAAGTTGCTGCCTTCGTTTCAAGCGTATCGGCAAGGGTTTGGTAACTGCATTATTCCAATGGCCTTCACAGTGCCATCTTATCCTCCATGGCCCCAGAAGGCCTGGACAATGCCCCTCGGAAAAGTTGTCGATGAAATGCGCCGAGGGAAGTGCTATGTTGAACACGCGGCTCGAGACAAGGCCGTACTTGACGCCATCGGTTTTGCGTGGAACCGTAACGACGCAGTGTGGGATGAGATCATTGTGCCAGCTCTTCAAGTGTACGTCGACATTTACACAAATGGCAAGATCTCGAGAAACTTCGTTGTGCCGTCTGAAGACCCGTGGCCTCATAAAGCACGAGTGAAGAAGCGGGCTGACGCTCTATAATGTGCGAGACCAAGGAACATACATACTTTACAAACTCCGGACGCGACTTTGAAAAGCTGGAGTTGCCCATGCAAAGCGCATTCCGAGCTTGGTGCACGAAGCGAGGAGGATATTAAGAGGCCGAGTACCTAATAGTTCATGTCGATGGGCTCTGAACTATCACGTTGTCATCGAGAAGTGAAAATAGTGGTGAAAGTAAGGGGTCGGCTCTATGATGATTTCGCCTTTTCGTTCTCCATAGGTATACTTTGTACGGCTTCGGCGCAACATTGGTACCGAAATTATTGCGGTGTTCTTTATGATCTATTTAGCCATGTTTGGCTAAGTCCATCCCTCGAACAACTTGTTCTTACACTGCTCATCGTTGGTGGCCACGAAAATGTCATCGACGTAGACCAGCACGTACATGATAGTCTCGCCATCAAACCGATAGTATAGGCAAGGCTCTGTCAAAAGGTTAGCATCATCAATATTTGTCAGACACCTGTCGCGAGTGCCCTGGATGGTATGGTCAAGCGTTGTATGGAAGCTAGAACGGTTAGGCAGTGGCACAAATAGCGAGTAACAGAGCTAATATGCAAAAACAATCAACTTGTTCTCTCCAGTGCAGATTCACGACTGACCCTACTTCCTTACCGCGCACGGAGCCTGACAGCTCGTGCTTCCTTCTCCTTTCGGCTCTCTGTCGGCTCACGTGCCGACTTCAACACGTCACCGGCTCACCTGGCTCTCGTCTCACCCCTTCGTCCTTGGCGCACCTCACAGCTCACGTCCTGATCCACGCGGTGCTCGTGACCTCCGTCCTGCCCTTCGCGTCACTGCTCACCCATCGCTCGCGTCACTGCTTCCATCACAGCCGGGCGCGCCACCTAACCGACGCGTCGCCAGTCAGCGCCTCTCCGAAATGGATGACTGCCCGCTCACCGCATCGTCCCACAGCTGATCCTCCAGAAGTCGATCGCTGGTCGAACGGTCGTCCATGTAGTAGGAACGGTGGTGACCGTTCCTACTCGGGACATCCTCCCCGACTGAAACTCGACGTCCTCGTTGAGCAGCTTCCAGCTTGTCGGCTTGTATCTTGGCACGCAGCTCTCGCTGTTCGGCGCGGAACCCATGAGCGTCCTCACGGGTTTCTTATCGCCTACGCAGCCGTCCGCACGCCAGAACGCTTCGCTCAAGCGCTCAGCTTGCTCCAGCTCTTCCAAGTCCTGCTGCCATTGCGAGTATCGGTCCTCGGCCATCTTCAAGGGCGAACGCCCACCTGAAGTCGCCTCATACCATTTCAGCAAGTGGCTGGCCACGCAGGTCGCCACCCCATAGCAACTCCACCGCACTACCATCTCGTCGGGCACGAGTCCGTCGCCGACGACTAGACCTCCCTCAGCCAATATGTAGTTCAGCGTCAGCAGGAGCACTGCGACGCCCACCGTTCCTTGACACACTCGCTCCACGAAGTCGTACCCGAACACGACCGTGTAGAAGAGGGCGTAAGCCAGCAGCGACACGAACGCCGAGAACCCTCGCCACACACAGCTCGCACGGTCGACCGTCCGTCTGCACTCGGCCTTGGATCCTTTCCAGTACTTCGCCGTCGACTTGTAGCTGAGCTCCATTACGTCAGGCAAGAAAACGCACCACAACGCGTGGTACGCTTCTAACCACTTATGTAGCAGCCTGCCGAGGCCTTCGGTGTGCTCTCCACGAGCCTCCAACACGATCATAGGCGTGGCCCAGATTGCTTCGAACGTTTTCCATCTCCGTTCCGCAGCCGGTCGACCTTGTACGGCCGGACCGTTCACAAAGCGACGGTAGCGCCTCAGGCACACCCGCGCCAGCGTAAACCACTTGTAGACGAAGGCGAAGACTGCGCCGAGCAGTCGACCCGCGATACTCCACAGCGGCCTCGTCACCACTCCGCTAATCGCGCCAACGACCAACAAAACGGTCACCCACCAATATTTGCACAGTACCGTGAGCGCGACGCGCCACAGCACCAACGAACCCCAAAAGCACCACATGATCACTTCAATAGTCGTCTCCATCTCGCCACCGTGCGAAAGGTAAAATGCAGCCCTTAGAGCTGCATGAGTCCACCGTTCCTGCTTACTTGCGAGGTCTGCAGCCGTCGGACTCAGCACTTCGGTAGATCCAGCAACCCACCGTTACATTTCGTCAATTCACCGTGTTTGACACGACCGTGTCGCTCATCAACCGCGTCTCTCCCTTCCCTGAAAGGAAATCTCAGACCTTCAACTTCCAACGGTCGAGTCGTTGTCCATCCGTAGCTCACGCTCATTGGCGCCTGTCCTCATTTCAGCTTTCGCCGAGACAAGAGCAAGACGCCACCACCATGGCCAAGTCTCGCGACGAGAACAAGGCCGTCATCATCCGACGACTGCGCTCGTGCTTGGACCGCAAGACGCGCGGCGCCAGCGCCGAGGCCGACGCGCGACTGCGCGCGCAAGTCGACTTCTACGCTCGGCTGCGCAGCTCCATCTTCGTCAACGGCGACTCGCTTGGCGTCACTGCCCTCGACGATGTGGCCGTGGCCGTGCTGGCCGACGACACGCAGTTGCCCGCGGAGCTCGCGCGCACGGTGGTGCTGTTGCCAGCGCCCACTACGATGGACACGGAGCCCGCGCCCGCGCACGACCTCTTCGCCGTTCAAGCCGTTCCTGCACCCGCGACCAAGCGTCCGGCCGCTCCGAGCGCTGTTGACCAGAAGGCCCCCACCGCCAAGAAGCAGCGTAAGAGCTCGCGCACCCCGCAGTACATGTTCGACTTGCCGGACACCTGCCCCCGCGACGTTCAGCGAGACGTGGAGAAGCTGGTCAAGGCCGCCGCCAAGCAGGGCAAGACCCCGCCGCGAGCAGCGTACCCCTGGTCCGGACAACGCGCCTGGTACGACCCGGAAGCGTTTCCGGAGCTCCACCGGATGCACTGGCGCTACTACATGCGCCACCGTGACACGTTCTTCGACTGTGCGCTGTACGCACCAACGGACAACTCGGACGCTCGCCGCCGCGACAAGCTCAACGCGAACCAAGGCCGCCTCGTGCTGGTGAGTGCGAACGTCTGCCTCTTCGGCTGGTACGGCTTCCTCGACCGCTTCGAGAACACCGTTCACGACAATCTCATGCAAGGCCGCCAAGCGTTCCGTGTCGGCCAAGGGCAAGGCCAGCTCGGCGACGGATCTCGTCACGCTGTGGCGCCACGACCGTTCTCGCTACGACAGCCTGATGGCTTGCATCCTGGATCCGTGCCGCGTCGACGAAGACTGTTACCAGAGCATCTGTGAGCTGCTGGAGCAGACGGAGGCTTTGGACCCGACTCGTCCACCGCACCTTCGACTCAGCGACGAAGCTCTGGCTCGCATCGCGCTCGACGCGGGCCGCAAGCCTCCCAACCCGGCCTGGATCGGCAGTAAGAGCAGCGGCATCTGGAAGACGCTGCTGACGAACAGCCGGATCCGCGCGCTTCAGGTCAAGATCGCCAAGAAGTTCAAGGAGGGCACTTACAGGGTCGTCATGGACTTGAAGCCGTTCCAGCGCAAGGAGCAGGGCGACAACGTCTCGGACTACGCCGACGACGACGACACGTTCACCGTGCAGCCGCCGTCTCCGCCCGTCGACGAGGAGCTCGAAGACGTCGAAGAGGACGAGTCCGAGGAGAAGCCGTCCACGCCGAGCCCCACGCAGGAAGACGATCCCGACGACCAAGAGCAGGACGACGCCGATCAAGACGACCAAGCCGAAGACGATGAAGGCGGCCGCAGCTCAGACCCCCACGACGCCCCCGAAGACGACAAGAAGAGCAGCTCTGGCGACGACAAGGGCGACTCGTCGGCCAAGGGCAGCTCCAAAAAGAAGAGCTCTGACTCTTCGAGCTCCAAGTAGTTCTCCGTGAATCAGGAACGCTCCTGACCGATCATTCTTTCCGTATTACTCCATGCGTCCCTCCAATTAATCTCAATAACAACACGCAAACCGTTTCCCACTCGTTCCGTTCTTGAGTCTTGTAGTTCGACTGTTCATAACATCACTCCACGACCGTTTCTCCAAAACACAAACGCTCCCACCGTTGACCGTGCTACGCCATTAGCAGGTCATCGTCCTCCACTTCTTCATTGGCATCGGCCAGCCGCGAGCTTCGACGCAACTCGGGCAGCCGCAACTTCTTCCTCCGGGCTTGTTCAAAAGCCGTCACTAGGGCCTCATACTCAGGCATCAACTCGACCCGAGGCACCCAAAACGTTTCATAATTCGCAACCAATACCAGGTTTTCCACAGAACGGTCCACCGTTCGTTTCCCACACACTGCTAACAACGGCGAGTCGACACCCGTGAGGACCGTGTCTCCCTTGCCAACGGTCAGCCGTTCCGTGAAACTCGACGCCGGGAGATCGGACTCCTCTAGAGGTCCTGCATGTCTTCTTCACCGTTTTCGACACCGTCCGGCACGTCATCCATGTACGGCCGTGTCCACTTACCACGAAACTTCTTCAAACGGTTCACGTTGACCGTGACCACCTTGTCAGGATGCGACGGGATGTCAATCCGGTACGCATTATCGCCCACTTTCGCCACAACTCGGTAAGGACCGTGCCACGCGAACGCTAGCTTCTTCGTTCGAGCCTCTCCTCGCTTCTTCCGGAACAGTTGATACACCCACACCGGGTCTCCAACCTCGTACCCCACGGCTACACGGTCACCTAACCGTTTTTCATGACGGTCTTGAGCCTTCACCAGTTGACGCTCGACCAGATGACGAGAATCCCGCAGCGACCGGTATAACTCCCGTCGATACAGAGCCACTTCGTTGCTCTTCTACTTCTTCCCCAGGTTCAGGAACGCGACGTCCAGCGGTAGCGTCGCATCACGTCCGTAGAGAGAAAAGAACGGTGTATCGCCCAAAGCCTCATGATAAGACGAACGGTAGGCAAACAACACTCGAGGCAAATACAGATCCCAGTCCGTTTGCGCTTCACTCACGTGCATCTTGAGCATTCCCATGAGCGTTCCGTTGAACCGTTCCACGAGACCTTGAGTCTGCGGGTGGTAGGCAGAACCGAACAGCTTCTTGATCCCGAGCGTTTGATAGAACGACTTAGCGATTTCCGACGTGAAATTCCGACCGTTGTCACTCAACAACCGTGAAGGCACACCGTGCCGGGACACAACACCGTTCACCATGACGTCGACGAACGTGACGGAGTCCAAACGGAGAACTGCGAAGGCTTCGGCCCATCTCGTGAAGTAGTCTACGAATACAAGAATGTACTTGTTGCCTCGTTCAGTCTCCGGTAACGGTCCGACGGCATCGACCACTAGCAGCGAGAACGGTCCCGTGAGATCGGCTACGGGCATCCGTTGCATCTGCCCCGCTTGCCACGGTCTCGAGACCTTCCACTACCACAACGGTTGCACTCCCGAACGTACTCCGTGACATCCTTTCGCCATCCTGGCCAGAACGCATGTCTCCTCACCTTCTCCAGAGTCTTCGTCAATCCCAAGTGAGATGACAGAACATCAGAGTGACAGTAGTGCAACACGGTCTCCACATACGGTAACGGAACCACCGGAACGGTCAAAGACCGTGCCGGTCCGACCCGAGCTGGTAGATTCACACGCCGCATCAATAAACCGTTCCGCACTTCATATCGACGTCCCATCTTGACAACAGTCGCTCGCAGGAAGGGGTCGAGAGGCAAGGCACCGTCCAGCAGGAAAGCCACCAGAGCCTTGATCCACGGCACCTCTTGCTGCGCTTCCGCGAACTGTTCGGAGTCGAGTCCGAACCGGTTCACAGGGGATATCGGCACGCCCGTTACCGGACCGCTGCCAACGTCCTCGTTCGGACGGTCAGGTTCGTCATCATCCACATGTCCATCTGCACGCTCGCCAGCAACATCCTCACCGTTCATAAGCTGACCGTTTGTTCCAGGCTGCTCCCCGACTGAAGCCGGAAGCACGTCGTCGACCGTGCTCTCAGGATTCAGGAGTTCGCTCATCGTCAGAGCCGCCACTGTGTCCATCGGCAACCGTGACAGACCGTCAACATGACCCCAAGAAGCCCCCGGCTTGTGATGAACTTTGAACTGGAGGTTCGAGAGCTCCATTGCCCACCGTGCAAGCTTAGCGTTCGTAGTACGGTTACCGGGGCTGAACACCCACGTCAGCGTCTGGTGGTCCGTGTACAAATCGAACTCACGCTTGTCCAGGTAGCAGCGGAACTTCCTCGTTGCCCAGACAACACCCCAACACTCAATCTCCGAGATGCCATCTTGGTTGTTGATCCAGTTCTTCTGCGATCCAGTCAACAGCTTACTAGCGTAGGCCACTACACGGTCGCGACCGTTCGCCTCCTGCATCAAGCAAGCGCCGACAGCGTACCGTGACGAGTCCACGTACAACTTAAACCGTTTCTTGCCATCAGGATAGACTAGTATCGGTGGCTTCAAGAGCGCACGCTTCAACTGTCTAAACGCAGCTTCACAGTCCTCGTTCCACACGAACGGTGCGTCCTTCACCTTCAACCGTTCCAGGGGCGCAGAGATCGACGCATACCCCGGGATGTAGCGACGGAAGTAACTCGTCAGACCCAGGAAAGAGCGGATCCCATGCACGTCCACCGGACGCTTCACGTTCATCACAGCCTTCACCTTCTCAGGATTAGGCAGGATCCCAGTAGGAGTCACGATGTGCCCCAGGAACGCAACTTGACTGCGCCCCCAATGACACTTCTTCATCTTGAGCTTGAATCCAGCCTGCTGGAACCGTGTCAGCACTTGGCGCACACGAACCAGATGAGTAGGGAAGTCCTTGCTGAAAATGACACAGTCATCGAGATAAACCAAACAGATTCGCCACTTGTGGTCCACCAAAACGGTCTCCATCAACCGTTCAAACGCTGGGACAGCGTTACAAAGGCCAAACGGCATCACTAACCATTCGTACAGACCGTATTTGCACGTGAAAGCGGTTTTGGACACGCTCTCCGGGTGCATCGGCACGTTCCAGTAGCCAGAAGCGATATCAATCGTCGAAAACAGTTGAGCGTCGCCCAACACGTCCAGAATATCATCAATCAACGGCATGGGGTAACAGTCCTTCACCGTTACCGCGTTCAACTTACGGTAGTCGATGCAGAATCGTATTCCACCGTCCGGTTTCCGAGTCATCAGGACGGGGCTCGCCCACGGACTGTTCGAGGGTCGAATCAGGTTCAGCTCCAAGTTCTGCTGGATCTCCGCTTCCATGACTTCACCTTCAGCTAACGAAACACGGTACGGCTGCTGCTTGATCGGAGCACTGTCACCGGTGTCGATCTCGAATTGCAACAGATCCGTCCGTCCGGGCTTCTTAGAAGCGTTCACAAACATGCTGTGGAAACCGTTCAGTTCTCCTTGGAACAGTTCCTTCTGCTCCGGCGACAGTTTAGACTCCGAGAAATCGGCCTTCATAGCTTCCGTTTTGTCGGGCGGGATGTCCGGCTTCGTAGCCTTCACCTTCTCACCGACGTCCACTTCGCGCGCTTCGGACACTGACGCTGCACGCTCCCCCTTGGGCTTGCCACCTTCGGCGGGCACCGTTCCCTTCGGACCAACCGTTTGACGCTCCGCACCCTTCGGATCGACCGTTGGTGGCTCGAAAGCCGACTCCGGGATCACGGAAGTGCACGCAATGAACGTTCCTTTCCTGATCCAGTACTCAGCCGTAGACGCATTGCAAACTTTGACGATTACCTGGCCTTCCTCGACCGTGCACAGCGACCGTGCCACGCACAGCGTCGGAGGCAGACCCAAAGACCCTTCGACCAGAACGGTCGTCTTGTCGACGACGGCACCCACGACACGAGTCATGACGAGAGCTTGGCCACGCGGCGGCAACCGCACCGACGTCGCCATCGTCGTCATGTACGACTCCTGCACCATGGTGAAACCCAGCGTCAACACTTCGCCCGTACTCTTCAGAGTCAACGTCCGTTCCGAAACGTCGATCACGGCGCCGAACGCTCCTAGGGCATCAACACCCAGAATAGCATCGACGTGGAGACGGTCAGCGACCAACAAGCTCATCGAGACTTCGACCGTTCCCAGACGGAGGGAGAGGGTAATCCAACCATGAATCCGCAACTTGTGCCCCGAGGAGCTCCTCACCAGGCCTTCGTACGGTTCCAGCGGCTCGGACGACCGTCCTAAACGCTTCAGCACGCGTCGATCCACGAGACTTAGAGTAGCGCCAGTATCCGCTAGCATTTGAGACGGTAGGCAGTCAATATAACCGCTCGAGAGAGCCTCAAAGTTGCCAACAGCACACACCACTCGGCGTCCGTCCTCAACAGCACGATACACGTCACACTCATCTCCATCTTCCTCACAGTGTCCAAATCCGTTGGGCAAGTTGACCGTGACAACTTCCACGAGACCGGTCCTTGGCAACGGTGTCCGAGCCGGACGCCCGCACCGTACCACCTCTACGTAATGAGAAATGTCCTCCTCACGCTCAGGGTAGAACTCCACGTCGCCCAGTACTTCGGCATACGGTTCGTACAACGACGAAAAGTCAAAGTAACCCTTCTTCTCAGGCTGACGGCGACGGCGGCGCCTAGCACCAGGCTTCATCGACCTCCCCGTTCGGTCCCACAGTTTCGTCCATTCTTGACTCGCGTTCTCCTCGAAATACGACTTGATACACGGTAGCAACCATTCCCAGCAGTCTCCCTTCAGACCATACTGCTCCACAATACGGTTGACGTGCTCGCGTAACCGTTCCCAATCGGGACCAGGCACCTTGTCACGCAACGGGGGAACATCCACCGTTCCTCCTTCACCGTTCAGCACTTCTTCAGAACCGTTGTTTCGACCTCCGTAGTCTCTCGCTTCTTTCAGCAACCGGAACACGGCTTGACGCGCGATCGCTCTCTTGATCTTCGGATCGACGCGTTGTACTCCACTTAGGACAGGAATCCCTTCCTCCACCGAGACCGTTCCTCCCGGATCATCGGGAGGGCGTAAGACATTCTCACGCACGAAAGACTCGACGACCGTGTTAACCACGCTTGAGATCGTTTCATCTTCAGAATCCGACCGTTCGGATGAGACATCAGAGCTACGGGTATCGTTGCCGACGCCTGACCGCTCCGAGGCCTTCCCCACCGTTCCACTGGACGCAGCTTGTTCCCCATAGTCGACGTTCGCCACCGGAGTCGGGAAGTCTCGGTTCGCACGCTTGGCTTCCTCCGACTTCTCCAGCGTATCACCGTACCAATCTTGCCAGTACTCAGGCGTTCCAAAGGAGTCGGAGGCAGCTTGGCGCGTCCGCCCCAAGACCTCCAGAGAGATACCCAAGAAGCGAGCCAGCGCTTCCGCAGACGGTTCGGTCTGGGCTTCAGCGTTCTGCTTGACACGCTTCAGCAACTCGACCTCGTCCAGCGGATACAACCGGTCCTCAAGCTCCTTCCGGCTCGGCGTCGACATCCGTTCCAGCGAGAACAGACGTCTCCTGCCCGGGCTCACAGTCATCCATAGCATCCAGTTCTTCGTCCGTAAACAAACGGTCGTACTTCGAGGTGTTCTTGGCCTCAACCGTTTCGGTTTCGACCGTCCTGCCCTCGACCGTACCGTTCACTTCCTTGCTCTTAGCAAGATCGGTCTCTTCATCCGTCCAAGCCGCAAACAAGCTGTCCGACACATCGTACTCTTCATCCTCCCATACTTCCAGGGGCGCCACCACCTCTTCCGGCGGCGTCACTTCAACCACGGCACTTTGTTCTTCACGCGTCACAGTAGGAGGCTCCGACACGGTGCAATCCTCAGACAGCCCCGTGACCGTTGTCTCCCCACCGTTCCCGTCCTCATCACACCGTTCAGGACTCGCAGCGACAGACCACTTCGACTTCCTTGCCTTCGACGTCCGCAGCCAATCCTTCTCCTTCTTCATCCGTCCCCACGATCTTGAACCCGACTTTCTTTTTCTTTTTTTCTTTTCAGCACATGAAGCTCCACGCATGGCAGACACCGGTTCGGTCTGCTTCCTCGATGCATCCACACAAACATCAACGGTGGTCACCGTTCTGCCTTCAGCTTCACGGTCGCGATCACCACCACTCGAGCCATTTACTAGACAAGAGGAAGGAGTGACTCTCTCCTCCCCTTCCTCCCGCCCTCGTCATTGGTTCGAAGCGGTTTGTGCAGACCGGGCCCTCAGATCCTGGGCCGCACCACGGAGCGCCACAATGCATGGACACGCACCGATAAGGTGACCTTCTTCCTCGCAGAACGCGCACTTGGTAACGCCACGACCACCGTTCCGGCCAACCGTTTCAGGGCCGCGTTGGTAGTTGTTGGGTCCCGCTTCACACTCCACAACGATATGACCGTGAACGCCACAGTTGTGACACGTCATGGACTGGCGGCGGCAAGTCTCTCGCGAGTGACCCACGTAGCCACACCGGCCACACACAGGTGCTCCCTCTTGCGTTCGACTGTCAGCTCCCATACGGATTCCTCGGACCGGTCGACCGTTCCCACGAGGACCTTGACCGTTCATTCCAGCGCCAGGACTCGAAGTCGTAGCCGAAACGTTGGGCATGCGGTTCCGTGGCGAGCGCGGAGGCTGCCAACGGTTCTGCATCATCTGCTGCTGCCACTGCTGTTGCTGCGTCATGAACGTCGTTATCTTCTCCGCAAGCACGCCCACAGCCGCCATCGGATCGTTCGCGGGTGAGGCATCGCTCCCGCTCGACTTCTTCTTCTCGTCCGAGAACTCGTCGTCTTCTTCAATGGGACGCGACATCTCCTTGGCCAATAGCCATTCGCAGGCCTCCAGAATGTCACGCGCCGGTCCCGAGTCGAGACACGCCAATATGCGCTTGTTTCGGAGTCCGCGACGGAACAGCTGATATCTCATTTTCCTCTTCGGATAGTCCAACGAGTCACAAAGATCCGTTACACGGTCACCCCACTCCTCAACGGATTCGCCACGCTCACGGTGAGCGGACTGCAACCGTTCCCAGAGCTGGTCAGCCGTTCGGCTGAGGAACAGGTTGTGGAATCGGACCTTCAGAGTCGCGAACGTCTTGATAGTCGAGTTGTTCCACCACCGTTCAGCTTCAGAGCCCTTGATCCGTTGTCGGAACACTAACAGCCGAGACTGATCCGGGAGGTGGCTGGTGTGAGCTTCGAACAGCTCCCAGAAGTCACGCGCCTTGTCCATGCTGGCCGTGTCTGAGTAGAAAGCAGGTAGGACCTTGATCGCATTGGAGACCATAGACGACAAGTCACGGTCGTTCCGAACTGTCGGGTTGTTCATGGGGGCACGGTAGCCACCGCTCCGAACTTGGGTAGTCATCGGCCGTCCGGTCGTTGAGGCACTCACCGCAGTACTGACAGGTGCTTTGTAGTGCACGCTTGTCTTCACCGGTCCCGTCGGTTCGGTCTTCATCGGTCTCATAGGTTGGGGCTTCACAGTAGGCCCCACTTTCACCTTCCGTTCCATCTTCACCGTGGACTTCGGCACCGTTCCCCAGCCACCGTAGCCTCCTTGCTGGGCACCGACGCTCCAGCCAAATACAGGACCTCCAGGCAGGCGCTTCTCCGTTCCCGTGTACATCGGGATGAAACCACTCGGGGTCCTCTGCTGCTGCACTTCTTCAGGTTCTTCTTTCACGTAGTCCGTGTAGTAGGACTGTTCGTACTCCGCGAGTTCATTGTAGCCGTAGTCTTCCGCCGACCAGTACTGTTCCATTTCATCAAATTCGGCATCCTCACCGTTTTCCTCGACCGTGTGCACGGCCTCGGGGCCCGGTGATGGAGCCATCTTCACCTCGAGCTCTTGTTCTGCTTGAGCTCCGACCGCATCACCGTGTTCATCTGCGGTCTTGTGTTCATCATTGTCTTCATCGGCCCAAAGAGCCTCCCTCGTTTCCTGGCGAAACGAGTCACGACCGGCAGCCGTAGCTACGCGTCCACTCCGCTCGCATCTCCGGACGATCGCGGGCGTCGCTGCCCCAGTAGAGCCGACGTGGTCCCACCGAGTTGCAGCCGTCGCAACCGTTCCGCTTCCAACCGTGCCACTTCATCCTACACGGACCGCTGATCTCCATTCTCTCCTTGCTCTCCAACAACCGTCATCTTCTTCAGAAATTCTTCTTCACTAGACCTTCAGCACGCGATCTTCTTCACTCGAACGTGCGAAACAAACTCCAATCTCCAATCTCCAAACATCAAGCTTCCAGACTTCAAACTACTTCAGGCTCCGAGCGAGCCGACCAGAATTACCGGCGGAACCGAGCGTTCCGTTCACCGTTGACTTGACCTTGACCTTGACCGTTAAGGGCTCCGAGCGAGCCAACCGTTTTCTGTTTGACCTTCTTGACCTTGACCAGTGGGGGTACTTCGCGTACCGTTCTCCAATCCCACAGCGGTGCCAAGCGCACCGTTCACACGACACAATTCCAGATCCAGACCGTTCACGCGTCCGAGGCAAAGACTGGGACTCCAGGCAGACCCCCGAAGACCAGACGAAGCTCCACCGACGCGAGGACTTGACCCGTACTGCCGTCGTTCAGACTTCACAACGAAGACCGTACCCTCCTTCTCCACCACGTGTCGCGAGTGCCCTGGATGGTACGGTCAAGCGTTGTATGGAAGCTAGAACGGTTAGGCAGTGGCACAAATAGCGAGTAACAGAGCTAATATGCAAAAACAATCAACTTGTTCTCTCCAGTGCAGATTCACGACTGACCCTACTTCCTTACCGCGCACGGAGCCTGACAGCTCGTGCTTCCTTCTCCTTTCGGCTCTCTGTCGGCTCACGTGCCGACTTCAACACGTCACCGGCTCACCTGGCTCTCGTCTCACCCCTTCGTCCTTGGCGCACCTCACAGCTCACGTCCTGATCCACGCGGTGCTCGTGACCTCCGTCCTGCCCTTCGCGTCACTGCTCACCCATCGCTCGCGTCACTGCTTCCATCGCAGCCGGGCGCGCCACCTAACCGACGCGTCGCCAGTCAGCGCCTCTCCGAAATGGATGACTGCCCGCTCACCGCATCGTCCCACAGCTGATCCTCCAGAAGTCGATCGCTGGTCGAACGGTCGTCCATGTAGTAGGAACGGTGGTGACCGTTCCTACTCGGGACACACCATTACTACGACGAACAACGTACATATTGTGTGATAGCATTCTTTCGACCAATAAATTGTTTGCGATGGAGTACCACTTCCTCTGCAACGCGGGCTCCGAGGCGAATAGGCATCCATCAAGGTTATTCAGACTGAGTGCTGTATGATGTTTTGTGAATGTTGTTTGATGTCATCCGGGGCTACGGATGTAGCGTGAATGCCGTTCGATGAAAAACCTTATCGAATCGACAGTTCTTCGAACTGCGAATTGTAAAAGCTGCCAGCCTCCAAAAAGTGCCAATAAGTTTTACTGGATTTCAAATCGATTTCTTAGGTCTTTCAGAAAAAAATAATCATTTGTGTGCCAAATTTCCATAAATAAAAATCGTGATGCTACCGCTCTTGCCGATAGACCTGTAATGGCAGCACAGACGAATGTATACACTTGATAACTATGACTCTGCTTCATGCCAAAGCGAAGAACAAACACCCGGTGTATTATACTCTTACACGCGATCGAGATCTGCTAGACCTCAGTTTTGACTTATCAAACTTAAAACAAATTGCTGGCTTCATCAGGTTACCCAGCAAGTTCAGCTGAGCAATAGCCTGGTAGCACTAAATATTCGAATGCACGGATTTTTCTTGTATTATCACCACTGGTAAGTTTCCGAGCACAATACTGCAATCTAAGAAATAATGGATTCTGCCTGGGCATCAGCACACATTTCAGTGGCAGGAAGGAAGCTAATTACGTACGGTAATTAGTCTGACTCAGATATTTTATGTGAGCAGATCGCACATGAAATGGTCTGATCTCCATTCACATAGACTAATTATGAATATAGACTAATTATGAACTTCATAATTAGTCTGAGAAGTATACTAAATGTAGGTATAATTATTTACCATCTGTGATTTATGTTTGCCTAAGATCCAACAAAATGATGTTTACGCTAAGACTAATTCTAAAACATTTCTTGTGAGACTAAATTTGAATTCGATACACCCTGGCACACGTGAATTAGTCTGACATCGAATAATTTTGAACACAGACTTGAACTCAGACTAATTACCGTAGTCAGTGTAGTTGTTGATAATCGTTCTACTAACTACAAAAGAACTAAAGTTAAAACTAAATCCGCAAAGTCCTCATCCGACGAGCAGAAGGAGGTAGAATCACAACGGTGGGTTTGCCAACCCAAGCGTTGAAGTACCAATTCGTTGGAGTGACGATATATGAGCTGGCAATGCCTTTGAAAAGAAGCGATCAAATTTGGTACACTTGGTTGTACAGTGGAAGATTAGACAGATGCTGCGGCTGCGGGCTGCAAAGCAGGCGCAGCAGATGCCCGAGTCCATCGTTTCCCTGTAAGGGTATCTGTACATGCTTGCTTCGAACTGCGAACCCACCACCCAGGTCCCCAATAAAACCTAAAATAAAACCTAATAATTAAACCCCTTGTGCCAGCCCAGGCTGGGACTCATCGTAGCCCACGACCCGCAGTTTTACCGCGCAAGTGATGGCGGCGAAGTCTGAAAGCCGATTCTGTGCAATCATTGGGTTACAGCACGAATACCCTCTTCACTACATGTAGTGTACCCCGCAAACATGTTCGTGATTTTCACAACACACTTACTTACAGTTAGTGCTGTTTGCAAACGCGTTTGTATGCTTGCTGCTCTATCACTAGCAGATGGCTACTGTTACCCGTTGTCGAGGGGTCATCCTTACTTTTGAGTACATTTCGCGGACTTTCGAGTAATGAGTAATGTGCTCGGACTTCCGAGTAATTTAAACTCGTGGTCTGTGTCAACTTGAAACTTTGACTAAACTCTAAAGACGTTGCTTGTTGGGATCCTACTCAAGAACACAAATAACGTGCCACAAGCCCTTTAATTTGGGGCAACTTATTTTTTGCTTTCTGCTAGATGTCGCTTGAATTCTCTATTAGCTTACTCACGTCCGCATAAGTGGATCGATGCGTTACTGCCCCAGATGCATTCACACTGTATCCTCCTCCGGTCTGGTCCAAGGTGGCGATGCCGGACGTGGCATGTTTCCTAAGTCACATTACGTGGAATTACTCAGAAGCCAGTGAAGCGTACTCACAATTAAGTAGCATCCGTTGTCGAGTCCACAATCCATGTACTTACGCACCACGGCGTAGCAAGAGTAATCTAGTGCTAAAAGACCATGGTTGATGTAAAGAAGAAGAAGACCTTCGCGTGCAAGTCAGCTTCCGACAAGTGAAAAGAGCTCCAACTCTTTTTACATGTTAGTTCAAGTAAACAGTTAAAATTTGTCTAACTCCACAATGTAAGCCATATTCACAACACACTAACAAATAGTTTGCAGACGCTAGGGTTAGCTATACAGTTAGTGTTTGTGCGAACACTACTCTTCACCCTAGCAAGCAAAAAGAAAAATGCGAAGAAGTCAGTTAACCTGTGTAAAGCTCATGTTCTACGTCTCCTTGAACAAAACGAATGACCAACAAGAGCGCCGAATGGAAGAGGTTTTTGCAATAGATACTCTTCCTCATAAACTGCGTATCTGGAACTAATTTACGCGTTGGAATCGAGCTTTATCGAGCCGGCACTGTAAAACAATATATATAAAAACAAACATAAATAACACCACATTCGTGATGAGACCGTAATTCGTGTTCATTCTGTTTCAATACCCCCATCGTACCGTCTGGGAAAAGATTGTTGCTCCTTAGCCTAGAGTTGATCCTAGTTCTGGATCAGAAACGGATAGCCCGTGTACCCAGTCTCAAGCGGATCACCAGGCTGTGGGTAGAACAAATTTCGGTTTTGAGTGTTCAACTCCGCTCCGCTGCGCAGACGTTCCACGAGGTCGGGGTTTGCAATGAAGTCGCGACCGAATGCCACAAAGTCGGCCACTCCTTCCTCGACCGTCTGGACCGCATTCCCCTGATCGAAGCCCGCAGCGGTGACCAGCACGCCCTTGTAAAGGAACCGGAAATTACGAGCAACGCCGACTTCAGGCACTTGGACGTTGGGTGCGTGCATGCCGCGGCGCTTAATGACGTGAAGGTAAGCCAGGTCGTAGTCGTTGAGCTTGTTCACGACGTACCCGTACATCTCACGAGGCTTCGAGTCCTTGCAGCCGAACGTGTCACCAAAAGGAGACAAGCGGATGGCGACTTGGCTCGAAGGGAGACTGGACAGAATGGCCTCCACCACCTCCAATGTGAGCCGTGCGCGGTTCTCGATACTACCACCGTAGCGGTCGGTGCACTGGTTCACGCTATCACACAAGAACTCCTCGAGGAGGTATCCGTTGGCAGCATGGATCTCCACACCATCGAAGCCTGCAGCGATGGCGTTCTCCGCAGCGCGCTTGTAGACCCGGGATCTCCTCAATCTCCAGAGCTCGAGGGGTGACGTAGTCCTTGCGATCTTCGCGCTTGACGGCGTGGGTGGTGATGTCCTCAGAGCGCGTGGCACTCGAGGACACTGGCAATTGCCCGTCGGGCTGGTTCAACGGGTGACCCACACGCCCCGTGTGCCAGAGCTGCCCGAAGATCTAGCCGCCCTTGTCGTGGACAGCCTTGGTCAACAGCTTCCAGCCATCGATCTGGGCTTGGTTAAAGAGCCCAGGGGCTCCAAAGTACCCGCGGGCGGTTGGGCTTATGTTGGCGGCTTCGGCGATGAGGAGACCTCCATCCGTGGCACGCTGCGCGTAGTACTCGGCCATTAGGACAGTAGGGACACCGCTCTCACCGGTACGCAAACGCGTCAAAGGAGCCATTACGACGCGGCGATTGAGCTCCACGGGGGATTTCGACCCACCCAGCTTGAATGGAGTGAAGAGCTTGGGGGTGTCAGGGGAAACCATGGCGATCTTGGGTTGGAATTGCTTGGGTCGTGAGACGCAAATTGAAGAATGAGCACCTACATAGGCCAGCAACTGGATCTCGACAGGAGACCATTCCCACGTCATCGCTAATCACACGTCATTATGATGATCAGAAGGTAGTGTGCGCAGGTACACACACGTCCACAGTTACCATGAAAACCCAAGGAAACCGTGGATGTTACCGTGTACCAGAATCTGGTAACACGTGTCCTGCTCATGAGACCCCCTTCGCCAGGAAGCCTGAAAGGACCCGATAAAATGTTACAGGTGAAGCTTTGAGATCTTGACTTCAACATTGCTTTTGAAGACGAGCTTTGACCATGCGTTGGCTATCGTGGGATAGATAGCCTTATGCGGTAAATGATCTGTGCGGTAAAGCTATTCATAGTCGAGCACTGTTGCAATGGCTCATTCCTCGATTTTCTTCAGAAGCCGCACCCAGTCGTCTACGTACGCGCTAGCACTTCCTCTTCATCAGTATCGCTGTTTCCCCGTCTCCAACATACCAACGATGCTTGGCAGACTCTCTCGGGTACTTCGACGTCGCCAACGACAGGGACAAAAGGGACTAGGCAAGGTCTAGTGCCGTTGGCAAGTCTGGTTGACGAGCGACCGTTGTTGACGAAGGAGACAGCAACAGCGACGAGGAAGTGGGGTAGACTGATGATGAAGGCGGGAGTAGCATTAGTGAAGCCGACGTGGAGAACTATAGCGCGACATTCCAAGTCTATTAAATATAGGGGGTAGTAGGTAACTGTGACCATTGTGAATCAAGCGGTACCAATAATGTTACTGTTACTGTGTACCTCGCCGAGGAAACAGTGGATCTGCACACACTTTCATAAGGTAATGTCGTTTCAATGTGCCCTTACCTTGGACGAGTTCCATGACCCGGGCAAGTCGTAAAATCAGTAAATCCAACACGGTAGAGTGACTGAAATCGTTTACTGTAGGGGTAATACACACCGTTTCACAGATACTCAACATGATGACTTTGGGTCGACGGCTGAGTGCTTGATGGTTTCAAATTATTAATAACGTTAGTTGTACTTAAGTATAGTATGTGACAGACAAATGGAGACGGTCAAGAGGATTACGTACGAAAAGACTAGCGTAATAAAGCTGCAACTTCAAACTCGTATCCCAGCTGCATCTGTCCAAAAGCACCAGAGTAATCCACAGTAAACAGCAAGCACGACGAACTTAGGGCGAGTTGTTGCTTTGATCGTGCGTAAAATAAAGAATTATGCCAGAGGTACAAACTCCTGATTCGGTTTGCGCCACGCTTGAATTTTTTAGCTCCGCTTGTATAGCGTCAGTGGAGCACTGACGCAGTCGACTCAAAGTTTACCAATCAAGCGAATAAGCATGTTGCGTGAGCCCATTACAGTGACTCACTTTTCAATTTCCCTCGTCCAAGCACGACCCAAGAACCTCCCTAACCTCTACCATAGCTGCCAACCTCGTCTTCCGCCACACCGACCGCACCTCGCACCTGTCCCGTGACCGGGCATACTGGGCCCGTGACAGGGGTCCATGCACCGAGCTCGTATGAAGGTCTCAGTGGAGACATGGCTACATCCTACACCGGGTACCCGTCTTAGGGTACTTGGAGTTGCTGCTGGCTTCGTGAAAGCACAGTTCTCGTCCGAGTGGGACAGACTGAGGTCCAAGGGGATCTCCGTTCCCGCCTAGGACGGGTGTCGTGCAAGTGGAACTATGGTATTGAACGTGAACGCGGACGGGTTGTCACCCGAGGATGGAGGACATGCAGAGCGACCTCCGCGGCACAAAAGGAGAGGTGTCACCCGTAGGAACGAGGGCGGCCGTGCCGACCCTTGACATGTAGAATCAGTCGTGAATTTTCCCTGTCTTGAAGACACAACAACAAGAAGAGAGCTTTTGTATAGTTTACTTAAGTTCACTTATTAACCCTCTCTAAAGCTCGTCAGCTCTATCACCTTCGACCCCTTGCGAGCCTCCTCTCCGAACAGGCTCAGCGTGCCCACCCCAGACGGAGGAGGTACATGATATTTGGTGGAGAAGCAGGGTACGCTGACAACTGGAGAAGAGCTTGCACGGTGCAAGTGGTAGAGCGTACTCGTCTGGATCGACGAGCTTCCGCGTGAACGTCGCCTGAGGCCTCTGGAACGGCCTCGCCATGACTCAAGGTGACACACAAGAACATCAGGACTCGGCGAGTGAGGGCTTTCCCTCGTCCGGGTCTGATGCCGGCGACCAAGGAACGCCGAACACCGCCCCAGTGAGCGCTGCCCAAGGAGGCCAGCCTACGGCGGCTGCGCCGGATCCGCAGAGCGGTGCCGTACCCCCGTCAAGCGCTGCGACAACCAACCCCTCTCGTCCGACGTGCGGCGACAGCTCTCGAACCTCGGCTCGTCACAGAAGCCACGGCGCAGATCGACGCAGCCCCCAGGCCCTGCCGCAGAGAAGAGTGCGGCTATTTGTTCAGCGGTGCAGTCAGTATTGCTGGAGCCTCTGGCTGCTGTTCAACTCGAGGTGAGTGATGTGAGCTGCGCACCGACTCCTGTATCTCATGTAACAGCGTGAAAATAAAATGGCCATTTAGACAAAATGCTAGACGATTCTAGATTCTATACTCTCGTAGAATCTAGGATTGTTCTGATTTGTTGCTGATTGGTTGATACAGTTACCCGTATCGGGAATGCGGCGTGGCGCCTCGCGCGGGAGTTTCCACCCGCCAGCGTCTGCGGAGGAGGAGGGCTGCGCTCTGTTCTAGTGTTGCGCCATGTATACTACTGCATTGTATGCTATGGTGAAATGAAGTAAGATTCAAATGATGTGTTTTAGGGCATTTGAGTGGATAATGCAAAGGGCATTAAGAGCCATTCAAAGGGAAAGAAGCCAGCGTTGCTGGCAGCAATACGATAAACCGAGGGATGTGAAGGAAGCAGGCTTTCATTGCCATCACTTCCGAAACTGACGGCAACCACACAACTACCTACAATTGCTGCACGCAATATTTTAAGTTCCTACGTCAATGACGACCGAGAAGAAGAGCGCTGGCGGCCTTCAACGGCAAAGGGTTCGCTATGTGGAAGGATAAGCTGTTGACGCACGGCAATCATATCGATCAGTTGTACAAGCGCAAGCAACTCGAGAAGGCGCTGCCCTCTGTCCACGTTTTGATGGTTGACTTCCCCCATGGAAGCCCGGAAAAGCCGCCATCACTCCCTGGGGATAGTGACCTCATCGATAAGGAGAAGAACATCATGGCTTGGAACGTGATGGACTGGGAAAGGGGTCGCGGAGACCTGCAAAACCTGCTAAATCAGGTCCTACCCAACTCGTTCCTGTCAACTCTTTCAGACCTAGTGTCGAACCTAGACCCATGCGAGGTAATGAAGGACCTCGAGAAGAACTATGGGCAGGGCGATGCGGCTGGTCTGCTTGAGTTGACCCGAGCCTGGTCAAGGTTGGCTCGGAGCCAGTGGCGCGATCTTCGCACCCTCTTCGCCCCAGCTGAAGAAAGCGCGCAATGAAATCAACAGAAATACGCAAGAGCTTCTGGGAGAGGACATGATCACAGAATTGGGGCTATGTGTGGAGGTCCTGTCCCAGTTGCCGAATGAGTTTTGGGCATCGTCCATCTCCATGAAAAAGGGCGACTTCACTGTCGAGAAGGGGGAAAGCGCACTGAGGTGCATTTTCCAGGAAAAGTCAAAGAAGGATATTTGTCAGAACATGGACAGAAGTGCGTCCATCCCCATCAACAATGTGAGGACCAAACACGGTGAAAAGCGCAAGCATGCGGACGGAAAAGAGGGACGGGCGTGCTTCTACTGTTTCAAGGTGGACACTTCAAGACCGACTGCCCTCTTATGGCGTCCGACCGAAACCTGAACCGCGAAAGTGGACCATTGTTCCGGACCGACATCAAAACGGCCCCCGGTGCGAAAAAAGGCCAAGAAAACCGCAATTAACACGATGAAGTTGGTCGTGACCGACGGCAAGAAGCGCCGCGATGAGGACGGCAAGACGACACTCGAGAGGGCCACGGAGGACCAAATTATGGACGACCTCAGAAGTCTGGACCCGGCCAATCAGGACAACGGCAAGTCGGCTGAGTCGCCGTTGCAGCAAAATATGGACGAAGTTGAAGAGATGGTACGTAAATTTCATACGGATTATTTACGGTACTTAAAGAACCTAAAGTTAACGGACGATATGTGGGTCGTGGATACAGGAGCAGGCAGAGCTATAACTTCAGACCGAAGCTGGTTTAAAGGAAGCCTGCAGTCTAGCCAGAGCCACGTCTTCACTTACGGTAATGGTACCGTTTCACATAATGCACTTAAGGAATCACTAAAACGGAATGTTTTAAATCATAAAGGATAGTTGAGTGCGTTAAGTTTAACGGATATCTCATATGACCGGAATTGCGACAGTTATTTACTAAGTGCATACTATTGGGCAAAACAAGGGTACAGGCACTTTCAGTCAAAATCTGGAGATTTCCTCTTTTTCTTAGGAAAATACTTCAAGCTACTGTTTGCAGCAGTGGTCATAGGCGAAGTTTATTACTTACCGAATGTAAAGCCAGTCCGGACGAGCATTTTTAGTGTCCAAAGCCGTATGTTTGGTAATATTTTGAAATAATGGCACTTGAGGCCCGGCCATGTTGCTAAAGAAAGGTTAATCCGAATGATAAGTAACGAGAAAATTGCAGGGCTGCCAAAAATACCTTACTCTGAACTGAAGAAGGTTCATTTCTTTTGTAAGACATGCGCCCAAATGAAAGATAAAACAATGTCCTATAAGAACATGGTGGGAGCCAAGGCCACGAAGCCACTCCACACGGACTCAACTGGTAAATTGGCTGTTGGCTGCATGTTAACCTCCGGGGCTCTGTGGCCTAGGTCACACAACTGTAGCCAGGAGAATGTGAATGGCTTGCGGCATCCCCCCTTGCGGAGATTGCGTCGGACCAGCACTTGTGCGGCACAGAGACAGAAGAGAGAGTGAGAAGCAAAGGCAAAAGGCGGAGGGAGCTTTATGGGAAAGGTGCTCTCTCCAATATATATGATAAAATATGAATCTTAGTTTGGGCAGATCTGATTTATATTGGGTATCTGTACTGCTTATGATAAAAGTATCTTGGACAACTTGATAATTTAATTTTGGGTATGCGACACGAAATAATCTGAGAACGGCGTTGGTCGAGAGCGATCTTTCGAGAGGCGCGCTAGCATCTTTAGTCGGAGTACATACTACTGCATTATATGCTATAGTGAAATGAAGTAAGATTCAAAGGATATGTTTTAGGGCATTTGCGTGGATAATACAAAGGGCATTAAGAGCCATTCAAGGAGAAAGAAACCAGCGCTGCTGGTAGCAATACGATAAGCCGAGGGATGTGAAGGAAGCAGGCTTTCATTGCCATCACTTCCGAAACTGTCGGCAACTACACAACTACCTACAATTGCAGCACGCAACATCTAGCACCCCGTAGCTTCAGCTCTACACCGGTCGAAGGAGGGGTGGGTACACTCGATGGCCTGAAGGTTGTCACAAACAACCACAAAGCCGCCGCTGGGACAACTGCATGCCCTAACGGCCCTACCAGCGTACAAGAACTTGCACGGGGACCTCCTTGTGCCCAGCCCGTTCGTGGTTCCTGATGGAGACAAGTCCTGGCCGTCGGTGGCGTGGGGATACCGACTGGGTACCGCCGTGAATAGGCTTCGGCAACGGGGGAAGAACAAGTCGCTGTCCCCCAGAATGGACGAGGAGCTGGGAAGAATGGGTTTCATCATGAACACGCCACAAAACAAATGGGAGATTATCATTCTGCCTGCTTTGCGGCACTTCCGGAACGTACACAACCACACCGACGTGCCGGCGGAATTTGTTGTCCCGACGGGCGACGACGCGTGGCCCAAGCTGGCCTGGGGCTACTGTCTTGGCAACGCGGTCAATGATATTCGACATGGAAATGTCTATACCGCTCAAGTGGCCAGGTGTAAGAAGGAGCTTGACGAAGTGGAGTTCTGCATTGGCATGTCGATCGTGGATCGCGACTGGGAGGAGAAGGTCCTGCCGTCGACCCGAGTCTATCGCCAAGCGTTCGGAGGCTGCATTATACTGCAGTCATTTGTAGTGTCATCCTCTGCCCCATGGCCAGAGAAGGCCTGGGGAAAGCCGACGCTCTCTGTAATGCGAAGCCAGGGCACATATTTTGCACACTACGGGCGCGACATCGACAAGTTGGACGAACTTGGTGCCAACCTTAAGCTATTGCCTCGGGCCTGGAACAAGCGCGTCGCTCCGTTACTGACCACCTACGCTGAGCTGCATGGACGGGGAAAAGTCCAAGAAGACTTTGTTATTGCGTCGGAGGCTCCGTGGAAGGACACGATGTGGGATGTTCGTCTAGGGCTCATCGTAGCCCGGAATACGCATTTTGGACCACGTTATTTAGTGATGGCACGATGGTTACACACGCAAACCTGATGTTGGTAAGGCTGGAACAACGTTCCTGCATCACTTTCCACTGTCGAATGCAAATTAGAACTGTGAATCAACGTGCTAGAAAACATTTGGTGCATCTTAAACCTAAAATATACTGGGATAGGAAGCGACGAAGAGCTGGTAGCCCAGCCCAAACAGAATTAATTCAGGCGCTGTCCGCCCGTCCAATTGGGACCGGTGATGAACCGGTAACATGTCTAAATCAATTTACAGTATTCGACATTACATCGAGGTGTTCAATGCGGATTCAATTGTCTGTTGCAATCGTAGTCAAGATGTACTTGATGATCATCACACCAACAAGTATGTGGGGCAATTATATTTCTTTATTTGCCAAATGAAAAAATCACAAGCGCGTACTAGCGGCGCCCCAGTCGCAGTAATAAATATCTTCTCTGAGCTTACTTTAACGCTCTAGCATATATCGAGATTGTCTTGCGTTCGGGTTCGGCCACAAGATGCGCCTGCACAGAATCCAAGTTCGCAGCGAGTAGATTATCTTGCAGTCCAACGCCGTGCTTGTAGACCCCCCTTTCAGTGAGACTTGTCCTTTGGGTCGTCCTTGAAATCGTGATACAGAGTATCGGCAACTTCGCTAATATTGTCAGAGCTAATGCTTGCTAGGACATGATCGAGGCGCTCGCTGCTGGAATAGGTCAAGACCGCGGCAATTGCAGACGAACACATTGGTGCTGCATGTAGTTGTGGCCCGATTGGGCCTTTTCTAGCTACTGCCCCCACCCGAATCACCCTCTGCACGTCCGACGACACGTCGCATTCTACAGGACAACCAGTGAAAAATTAAGCTTAGGCCAGGTTTCGTCATGAATCATGGATGAGGATGCTCAGCATTTCCTCGGTCCAGAAGTGGTCATGCTCTTCAATTAACCGGCATACAACCGAGGGGACCAGTTTGAGTGTTGAGGACGAGCCGATCAGGAAGAAGCCTCAGCTGGTTCACGAGCCGGCTGGACGTCTCCCTCCGTTGTCTCGTTCAGTCCCGTCAGTGCCCTCGACGGCGCTGTTGTCGTGGCATGGGTCTTGCAGTGAGTCTAGTGCTATGCGAACTGCGCGAACCGACACAGTTCCAAGCCTAGTTGGTGCAGGAGCTGGTTCCGATGTTTGCATGGCTGGGAATGACCATGGGACGGACCTGTCTGGAGTAAGTTCCTCAGGGTCGTCTCTAACTTTTTCAGACTATGGAATTGGTACCGGAGCCTTTGGACACGCTTCTGGTGCAACGGTGATGATGGGTTCGGTGACTTCAGCTGGGAGAAGCAGTCTCCCAGCTGTGATGGTCTCGGTGGCGCCCCAAGCACCTTCCGTCTCAGAGTGGGACGGTCAGGGACGTACACCCGTCGCAAGTGCTGTTGCTGGGGACTCCGGAATCTGAGAAGGACGCTGCTAGTGATATGAGTGACGTGGAACCTACGAAGATACGACCTGTGTAGCAAAGATTACTTGAAAGGATATTGGACCATAGCAGATCTCTTCAGGCGACCTAACTCAACTACATTTGGGCGACATTGAGTTGGAGAACATCTACCGACGAGAAGTTCCCCGAGTCCGAGCTGAAGCTGAGACCCAACTCGCCTCTTCTCGAGCTAGGCGAAGGGAACTCGAAACTGAGCTGAGAAGTCAGCAGGCTGATTAGGAGACCGGTGTGGCCGAACGTCGCACTGAATAATACCCCGCACATTCTGGGACGTACTCAACGCCGACAGCTCAGAAGTCAGAGCAACAACTTCAGTTGGAAGCTCTTGAGTACCTTGCCAAGCAACGAACTGAGGAGGAGTCTCGGAAGCGGAAGGAAGACAAAGCTCGTGCACAGTATCTTTTGGGAGTGCAACGGAGTCTACACGAAGCTGAGGAACGTGACCGACAAGCCGAAGAAAAGAAGGCTGCGGAAGATGAAGCAGCTAACATCCGAGCTGAGTATGAAGCTGAGATGCGAGCTCTGTATTAGAAGCATGCTCAAGTGTAGGCCGAGTATAATAAGACAGTGGCGGAACAAGAAGACAAAATACGCCGTTTCAAAGGAGCTCAAGACCAACTCCGCCAGGCTGGTATCCCCAGAGCCCACTCTGTACCAAATCCTCAGCCAGTACCAGTCCGGCGCCGGCGATCGCGACTGTCGCTCATGTCCAGAATGATTCTGTAGCTGCCCAGCTGGCTCAGTTGACTTGCATCGTGCAACAATTGGTGTGAGCCAACCAGAGTCAGTTGAGTGGAAGCCACAAGTCTGGGAAAACCGGGAGTTCGATTTCGACTAGCCATCTGAGTCCGGGACCAAGCCAGCTGCAGCGTCGCGGACAGCTCAGAAGGCACGAGCCTCGTCACCAGGAGACCCGTATGAAAGTGGATTGGAGTCAGATGATTCGAGTTCGAGTGATTCGTCGCAAGATGAGCTTGAGAACCAGTTCGGAGCTATGGCCTAGCCTAAGAGCGTGGATTCCAGCTCCGGTACTCGAGTAGGAGTTCAAGCGATGATTCGCCACGACGCCCTGGAGAAGTTTAACGAACACGCGCCCCTTGAAGACCGAGTCAACTGGTGGGAGCGCTTTATGTACTACGCTACCATGGCACCATGGGATGAACGCACCCGGGGTGTCCAACTACGCATGCAACTTACGGAAGATCTCAAGGATTGGGTCAATCAGCTCTCAGATGACATTCGCTCGAACTGGAAGCTCTTTCATGTCTTCAAAAAGGAGTGGTGCCGAAGCATTGGTCCCAAGGCTGAGCGGTACTATGCGATGAGGATGCGAGATCGGGAACCCCCCCAGAATGTTCTTGTATCAGCTCAATCACGCCGCGGAGAAGGCCAACATCGCATATCAGACAGAAGCCAGCCCCAGACCGTAAGGTGCACATTTGTGGCTTCATCAAGGCGCTGGGTGATTCTCGGCTGAGGCCCACCTTGCAAGGCCAGAGGTTCGACACACTAAGCGAGCTGGAGGAGACGCTGAAGCGCATTGAAGCTCTGCAGCGAGATGAAAGCCGTGATCCTCAGCAAAAGCGAAGTCCGATTCAGAACTTGCAGTTTGACCGGTTCAAGCCGCAGCAACGCCGAGCTGCGGGATGCGCATTCTTGGCGGATGGTGGTGAAGTCGACTCGAGTCCGGGACGACACGCTAATTTCAAGGATGGATGTGAGCCTTCCTCGGAAAATCAAGTAGAAGCTGAGGCTGAAGCCCGAGTTGAAGTTGCTGAAGCCTAAGAGCCCCAAGCGTCAGGGACGAGTAGTTCTGCACCGGTCGAGCCCAGTTATGCAGCGGCTTTGATGGATGAAGAGCTTTACCGTGTTGCTGAGAGATTGGCTTGAAGCCCAGATCCCAGCCCAGACAAGATGAGTACCAGCGCGCTGAGCTATGCGGAGAATGCGGCAGCAGCCGCCATGCAACGGAGAAGTGCTGGAGCAAGCTCATTTGTGGACGTTGTCACGAGGAAGGTCATCAGACTCAGTTCTGTCGACGTCAACCGAGTTCCAAGTGTGGGGACTATCATCACCGGTGACATGTGGTCGGATTTGAAGGCGGTGCAGGGTGCCATCCGCGCCGAAGGCTCTGTCGAGGGCCTCTCTTCGGAAGTAATCCACGTGCTCTTATATAGCCCGGAGTCTGAGACGCCGTTAAACCCTTAGGGCCGCTGGTTCGGGAACCCGTGCGTGACGAGTTGAAGTCCCGAGCATACTGCGCATTTGCATATGGGGCTCAGCCCTTCCATGTCGGCGCAGTGACAACCCCAAATGTATGTCTTCGCCTGAACGAGGCTGTGTTTACTCCCTTCAAACTGACCCCGAAGACGCGGAGTCTGAGGACGAATTTGAGAACCATCTCGAGTTCGCTCCAGTCCCGGCGCCAACTCGCTCGCTTGCTGGCAGCGACTGCCGCAGGAAGCCAAGCAGAACTGCCCAACGCTCCAGAGCCTAGCGGTAGACCAAACGCTAGCCACCTCTCTCTATGGAGCCATCGCGTTGAGCATAGCCACCAATGCTGGCGGCTCGTCTGCAGATAAAGTCCGTAACGTTAGTGTCCAGAAATCGCTTTAACCCACCAGCGACCGCTCTTACCCGATTTTGCAGTGATAAGATTATTATAGAAATTTGTATACTAGCGGGATAGGGTAAGCGAGCTCCCCAGCGGCCTGCCCCGACTCTTCAGGTTCCACCGGCTGTCAATCTCATTTGTCAGAGTTATCCAATCAAAGCTTGGATACGACCGTAATATTAAGCTCTGTCGAGATTTCGATCGAAAAAACCTTGGCGTAATTCGCAGGATAATGCGAACATTCGCTAAGTGAGGAAATTGTTCTGAGCTGAATATCGCGGTTGATGGACGTGCTCGACAATCGCTGTGACACTATCCCAGGGCAAGCACGGCACAGCAAATGAGGGACGCCTTCTACTGCAACGACGAGACGTACGAGGCACAACCGAAAGCAGAACAACTCAATCTCGGTACGCTGCTCACTCTAGCCAGCCTGTTGCCCCATTGCTGACGTGTTTCTTGACTGCAGGCGAGGCGAGCGCTGGCGGCACAAGCCCCCCCCCATTCCATCAGCAGTACACCCGCCTGACTCCCTCCTTTCACTTCGCCATGCAGGGCTACGACAACTCGCAGTACCGGGTGCACTCGCCGACCACCAGCGCAGCGGCGAACTTCCCACGCTCTACTACAAATCCCTGGACCATGGCACCAATAGCGGTGGTTTCAATGGCCCGACGTGCATGAACTCCAGGAGCACGTGAACCCGAACAGCATGCAGGCCCAGCACCAGGTCCGACGCCGCAGCAGGGGGACTTCGACTACGAGCCCATCAGCACCCATGCAAATACTATGCGCTGTCGTCCACAACTGGGGGCGGCTCTCAGAGCCGCTCTGTTGGGCTGCAGCCATACGTCAGCCCACACGGACAAACGTTCGCGTGAGGCGCCCTAAATGAAGGAGAAGAAGCGCGTGTTCAAGCTAAACGATGGTATCAACCATCATAAGACGCTGCAGGACGAGGCCGGACGATCAAGCAGTCCAAACGTCTGCTCTCCGAGCAAGTACACCCGGAATTTGATCAGGGCGTAGCCCATAGCAAGGAGCTCCTTGTCGTGGACGGGGTAATTCTTCTCGGCAGGCTTCATCGGCCGTGCCTGGTAGCTCACAACACGTTCGTGACCCTCATCGTCGAACTGTATCAGCGAGCATCCGATTGCAAAATCCCTCGCGTCGCACACAACATGGAACGGTTTCGTGTGATCCGGAAGCATCAGGGACAGCGCTTCTGCCAAACTCTTCTTCTCGGAATCAAACGCAGCTTGGTGGTCGGGGGACCACAGTCACGTCGCGTCCTTTTTCAGCAGCGAAGACAGCGGATGGATCAGGCCAGCGTAATTCTTCGTGTACTTGTGGAGATAATTCGCAAGACCCAGCCACTGACGCAGCTCCGTGGGGTTCTTGGGAGTCGACCATGAACCGTTCGAGGCGACCTTCTCTGGATCTGCGCGAATGCCGACCTTGCTCACGTAGCAGTCGAGTACGGGGATCTCCGGCGCACAGAAGACGCACTTCTTCAAATTTATGTACAGCTTGTTATCGCGCATCACTTGGAATACCTGCCTCAAGCGTTGAAGATGGACCTCGACAGCACTGAGGTTGCCCTCAGCGCGGCTGTGCACGAAGATGTCGTCGAAGTAGCTCAGCGCAAAGTCGCGGAACGGGCGCAGTACGTGAGACACCATGCCGTTGGACGTGGCTGGGGCGTTCTTCAGAATCCGGTGGCATCACGAGCCACTCCCAAAGCATTCCGCTGGGGGTGCTTACTGCCGTGAGGGGTACGTCGTGGGACAGAGGTCCGCAAATACAGTATCATATTGGATTGCACCTGACACGAAGCGCTAATAAAAACTGCAATTTCTTAGCAAACAATAATAAAAATTCCCGCACTTTATATTGCAATTTATATGGTGCGCCTAGCAAGTCTACCCCTGCCACTGGTGCCGGTAGGAACCCCGACTGGAATCACCGCTCGGTAATCGACCGGCCAGCTTACATCAAGCTCAGCACGTTCAAACTCACTGATGAGATCTTGAGGCAGGTCAACTGCGGGCTGCCATGTTAGCTCCACAAAGCCCACCCAGCCAACAAAATAATAAGCGACACCTGCTGGATTAGATTTTTTTGCGTAGATCGCGTCTACTGTGTAGAGATTGGGACCTTCGCCGAAGTCGGATGAGTTGTCTTCTAACGAAGACGTATCACTCTCGTCCACGGCTGGACGTGGACAGCACCATGGCGTCGACAGCGCTTCTTGTCGGAGAACTTCAAGAGGGGCTGGAACAGCTTGGTAGCGTGCCTGCCGGTCGCGTGCCCGCTTAGCTGCCGCGAGAGCGGCAATTTGCTTGAGCCTCTTGCCCTTCTTCGGCATCTTTGTTTTTCCCAAGTGCATAGCTAGCTAAGCCAAAAATCTAAGATAGACGTGTGTTGAAGCGCGTGCTAATTGGCTAGCTATTGTAGGAGTATTTCAAGCAGTATATTTTTACATTCATCAAAGGTATGTTGAAGATAAACAAGGATTGATCTATAATTATTTATTTCGGGCCGACCATATCTTTTTAGAGGGGGATACAGGTCAAGATAGGCATACGCTCGATATGAAATGCATCTTCTTCATCAATATGCCTCTGTCGAGGCTGGGAATACCTGCGTTGAAAAGCGGACGTAATGAGGTCCCGCGACGCGGGACTTCATCAAGATCTGGTAGAAGCTGTCCGCCAGGTCGATGATGCTATAGATGACGCTACCTGATATGGAGTCGAGTACCATGTCCTTCCGCGGGATCGGATTCTGTGCCGGTATGGTTGCGCCGTTCAGCTTATTGAACGCGTGAACGATGCGCCAGACGCCAGTTGCCTTCTTCACACAGAACTTTGGGCTAGAGTGTCGCGGACGTGGCCGACCGGGCGGCGCTTTTCGAAGAACTCGTCGATGGCCTTCATCTGGTCTCGCAGCAGTGGGCCACTGCAGTGTTACGCAGTATTTCGTTCCGGGCGTGAGGTCGATCTCGTGCCGAACGCCGTGGTCGGCTGGAAGCTCGGCGGGGATCGCATCAGGGAAGATGCTTTCAAACTCGCGAGCGGTATCGTAGACTGGGTTACCCGACTCCTTCAGCGCTCTCCAGGACTGCGCTGCGAAGCGTTCTTCGCGGGCACACTTCGGTTCGGCATTCCTCGGACGGGACGACGCGTCGTCACTGCTGAGTGCGTGAAGACCCTCGGCTGTCGCGTCGGCCTCGGTGATCAAGCACACCTGCTCGATGTCACCAGCCTTCAGATCGCGAAGGAAGTGTTTCCACGAGAGCCCGGGGAGCCGAGAGATTCCGCGAGCATCGTGACTTCGATGACCCGCGTGCCCCGTGGAGCACCCTCCACGTATTCGACAGCGCAGACAGATTCCGTCGGGGGAGGTGCAGCTTCAGTGTTGTTCCGTAACCTGAGACGCCGTCGCTTGGGTTTCCTCCATTTCCTCCTCGAAGACCTCGAGCAGGAGCTCGAGGTGGACGACTCGCTGGCACTGGACGACACATTGTCGCTATCGCTGGACTATACTTCACCCTTCTCTAGGTGCGGAATGTCGATCCCGTCCGCACCAGAAGTACGCGGGAGCACCACTTGCTCGACCGCCTCGTTGATGCGCAGGAGCTCCACCGCCTCGTTGGTTCGCGGGAATCGCCTTCGCTCGACCGCCATCGCATCAACCTCGCTTCGCTGGTAGGTTCGCGTTCATTTGTCGGTTCATCCAACAGCACCGCATATGCCATACTGAGAGGGCCATTGTGGAGTAGCGCCCTCACAGAAATCGCGGAGTTCGTCCTGGCACAAACCCGACGCGCCCAATCTGCGGTCGCGGCGGGCAATTTCCCGGATCTTGAGTAGCGTATCTTCGAATATAGAGCCCAAGTCTTTGCAAGCTTCAGAGTTGGGGGGGGGACGCTTGTTCCTTGTCTTAGGGCGTCGGTTGTTCCTTGGGCATGCGGACTTATCGGACCGGCGTTTCCTCGGAGATCCCGTCGGGCGTGCGGCGGTGTTTCCTGGGGCTTGTTGCGTGGCGTTATCGGGCCGACGTGGGGTCTTGTGCACAGCGGTTATCAGGCCGTGTGGTCCTTCGTCTAGGCTGCGCGTTATCGAGCGCCTCCTAACCGGTATACGTTTTACGTGCCTTCGTTTCCAACACGGGGGGGGGCGTATTCCTTGCGGCTCTGCTTGCCGACGCATGGTAGTTCTCAAGAACCTGGCGATCTTCCGGAGGGGAGAGGTCTGAGTGGTTCAGAAAATTTTTGGGACTGAGTCCTTACCCTATCCTATGTCCTTGCTACTGGCTACTCTGTACTACTGCTTGCTAAGCCTACCGCTCTGTACCTATCCTTACTTCTGTCGTGCTTGCACTACCGTCCTTCAATCTGATTTGCGTGGTGTAATCACAACTTGAGCTCGCCGGGATTTCCTCGACGGGATTTAGGGTTGACGGGTTTTGGGGCCGACGGGGTTTGCATTACCGGGCGAATGAACCGGCTCGTCGAATCAGTCAGAATTAGCCTGATTCCGCCGCCGGTCTGCGTGTCACACGGCCCATCACCCCGTTACCTCTCTGGTCATTCCGACGCGTCGTATTCCATCCGTCTCGTCGGCTGCCATCTTTCCCGGCATTTCCCGTCACTCGTTTTCTGGCGCGACATCTCGTGGGGTGCTATTCCACACCATCGCTCGCTCTGTGTAGGGCTTGTGTCGTTCGTGGATGAATGATCCACGGCGGTGACGTGGGGCCAGTCCGTCGGAGCGACCAGGAGATGAGTGAACACTTCGCTTACGTCGTAGTCGGCTCGACGCTTGACTGATCGGGCCAGCCAGTCAATCTCCGGCTGATACCGTGTCAGCCACGGTATGCCCAAGATGCAGTCGAACGCGTAGTTCATCTCGATCACCATGAAGTCGTCGTTGCTACGGAAGCCGTCGAACGTGTACGCAAGCATGATATCACGCCGTGGGACACAGTGTGGATTACCGTCAGCGAGCTTAATGACGACGACGCCGGGACCCTCGCGAACGGATATATCCGATGGGAGAAGCGACAAAAACGAGGCGCGGAAGAAGTTGTTCGTTGCACCCGAATCGAGGAGCGCGCGGAGAGGACGCCGCGCGCCAGCGACGTGCAGGCTGACGATGACCAGTCTGTGGTCGTCGCTGGTGGTGGTGGCATTGAAGTGTGCGTGAAGCACTGGGGCGCTAGGAGATCCGGTTGCCACCGGGGGACCCGGACCTCCGTTCCAGCCAGTAAGGCGCCCCGCACCTACTGGTCCCGGTCGTTTTTTTTTGTTGAGCGATGAGGATCGCATCGTCGGCGCCAGCGACAGCCGCGTGCCTCGGCACAGGCGCGCGGCCGCATGCCGTGCGATGATCCAACTTCCCACAACGGTGGCAGGCCAGCGGACGTGAATTGCGGTCGCCACGTGAGTAGTACCGCCGGTTATTCTCCGCGGCTTTCCACAGCATCGATTTCCATTGGCTCGGGCATCGCTGCGCGAGCGTCCACCGGTAGCTGTTGCGAGTACGAAGCGGATACCGTATAGTCCTCACGCAATGCGAGGACAAACGCTTATTCCAGCGACTTCGGCTCGGCGCGCGTGATACAGTAGCGCGTCATTCCTTTTCGCATGCCAAACACGAAGACGTGGACCTGCGAAACCATGTCGACGATGCACGGAGCCAGGTGACGAGTCTTCTCTACGTAGTCGCACATGGACAGCTTGCCCTGCTTCAACGCGAAAACCTCCGCACGCATCCGCGATACATCTTGCGGAGGCTCGAACGCAGTCGAAGGTCTTTCTGGAGACTGTCCAGACTAGGGAAGGCGTGTTGGTCCACAACAAGCTTGTCGAGGGCCCACTCCTTCGCCTTCCCCGACAAACGCGACAAGAGAGAGTTCACTTTCGCCGTCGGCGCCTCGATCCGTCTCGAGGAGATGACGATGTTATTCTCCCTGAACCAGCGGCTCAGGGGTAGTCGGTCTTGGCCGGCGTCGAAATACGTCGACGTCTTCATCTTCACCGCATCGTTGCGGGAGGAATGCGAGGGAGTTGACACTCGCCGCTTGGCATCGACGAGCTCGTGTTCCAGGAACTCTTGGGCAGCCTGGCGTTGTTGGTCGGCGGTCGCTGAGCTCAGCAGCGACGTGACGACGAACTCGCCGGACACGGCAGCGAGGCGTTGAAGGGCTTCCCACCCAACCCGGGTGAGGTGGAGAAAACTCGTGTGGTCAAGGGTTACATCGGACCCTTCGGGCATCAGTACTTGCACATCTTGGTCTTGGACGTTGGAAGGACTACGAAGTACTACCAGGTGTAACGGGGTAAGAGATACTGTCACTAGTGTACACTGTAGATAAGAGGAAGGTTGCAATAATAACCTCAAGTCTTGTCTTTAGGGTAAAATCAACTCTGTTTATGTATGGGACGGGGGCGGAGGCCCCCTTACCCTTGTGAACCACTCAAATCTAAGTCTGTACCTGTTTGGACGGAATGGGTCTGGCTCCCCACTTTCAACCAATCACAACATAAAAGCAGGTCACACGCTAACCGTGTGACTGCACCTACTTTGTGTATGAACCTAGGTAATTTCTACCTACTTATGTAAATGGGCCCTTTACAATTCACTGGTCGCTCATAGTCGTCACCATCAACTATACAAATTCAAGGACGTATTCGGGACGGCCGTATCAGACCGAAATCGAATCGGCATACGAGAAACAGTTATGGCCGTTCATGCAGCGCTGACACATACGGTTGGCGGTCATAACCCGACTATTGATGGGCATTGGATAAATAAGCCCAGCCAGCCCGATGGATCGAGCTGCGGGGTTATGATCACAGCGGCTGCGTATTCCTACATGCAAGGACAACGCAAATTTGAGTTTGATAAGGTTTCTAACGAATCAGTGGAGATGATGCGACTACGAATTCTGTAGATGATTATGTGCAGCTCTACAGTGGGCACAATAGACAAGGAAGATGGTGTTGTCGCCGCTAGAACGGATGCAAAGCTAGCGCTTGCATTTTTGAAAGAGGAGAAAGACGAGTGACCTATGATCTACATATACGTTTACTCGAGCACTACTTTTTTGTATACGATTTTTTTACGCAAATATATCCTCCTTAGCTTAACACCACCTCTACAACGCAACCCGATAACACGTGATGGACATGCCGATGTCGCTTTGGCATAATATACGCAAGTGAATTTAACAGCTATGTGATTGCGCTACTTCACCTTGCAGTACGGACAACTGCAACTTACAGATATTATGGCGACTCTAACTTTCTACTACGACTATAACTACTTGTTACAGTGACTCAAAGAAACCATGGCGGGTTTGCCTTGCTACCACAACTATAACTGCTTGATACAGTGCCTCTACGACACTATAGCGACTTTAACTTACTACCACGCCTATAACTACTTCCTACAGTGACTCTAAGATACTATAGCGGCTTTGAATTCAAATTACTAGTATTTTCTAGCAGAACGAAGATCTTCGACACAAGATACTGGTACACTGTACCATGCAAGTGACATCGCCAAGATTTGTGGTTCATATTGGAGCCCCCCTCAGACTGAGCACACAGCACGCTGCCCAAGCATTCAAGCCTACCTTTCAGCCACGAGCCGTAGCAGCACGCGACGAGGAGCTAGGAGAGATGTGCCCGCGGTAGCTTAAATAGGTCGCGGGTGCTGCCGTCATTGTGCCGGTCGGGACACTGCCCCAGGAGCTGGCCGGCCAGGTGGACGAGTAGGACTCGCTGAGCAACAGAACGATGAGGATCACGTCGACGACGACGTGGAGTCAGCGCAGGCCGAGGAGCCCGCGTTCGGCCGTGGTCGCCAGGGCATCCCCGGGGACAATCTGCGCAGCGACCACCTGATGCTCGACAACGACGGAGAGGGTGCGACCGCGGCCATCTGGGGGACCGTGCTGGGCAAGAACGCGGCCCACACCCCGCACGAGCAGGACCAGGACATCAACAACCCGCTGCCTTCCTCAGCCGTCAACCGTTCGAGAAGGTGACGTGAGGGCTCGATGGGATACCAGTATGCTACAGGGTCACCTGCTCCCTCCACCAAACTCGATTACTACAAAGGGGGCGTCTCGCTTCTCTGCGGGAGCACCTTCCTTTCCCATCAATATGCTACAACTTGTGGACGCTGAGGTCGCGACCATGAAGAGGCGGCCGGCTGCCGAACATCTTAGCTGAAGACTGCCCCGGGAGGTTCCAGAACGGCTAGCCGGAGTTGTTTGAGAAGCAGTTCAACATTGATGCATCTCGCGTCGGTCTGAGACGCACGCGATGTGCACAGTGCGTTGGCTCGTGCTCCACCGATGCGGCGATACTGGACGGGGAGAAGATGAAGAGCTACATGATCGAGAACGTCAACGGACACAAGACAGACCAGCGCAATCCATACCGGAATAGGCTGCTGGAGCGACCCTGCTACAGCCCCGCGATGTTCAACTACGGACATGATGCAGCTGGACTCCGACCACTTCGAGCGCATGATGAAGGGCGTGCGCACGGACAAGAACGTCCTGAGCGTCGCGGTGTTCAGCTACCACTGAATGCCGCCGCGCGTGGAGGCGCTGTACAAGAAGCTGCACTGACAGTCTCCCGAGTAGCGTCAGCACGGACACGTACGCCAACTACGGCGACCGGCTGCCGTACATCCTGATCGGCGACGGCGAAGGGCACGACAGCGCAGTGAGAAGAATGCGTGCTGGTGAACGCGAGTCTCCCTGACGTTCACGATCCGGGGGAAGCGACGTCGAACGTCCACCCTGTTCGGGCGTACGCTTCAGCCGTACAGCCACCCGGGCTTACGCCCTGCTTCGACCATACAGTCAAGCACCTCGGCCATACAGCCAACTGGGCTTACGCCCCGCTTCGACCATACAGTCAAGCATTTGCAACTAATGTCGGGTTCAACGTTCTTCATGTGGACACAGCCCAATTTGGGGGGTTGCCATACGACATCTTGCTCATCAAGCAAGAATCCCTTGATGGCTTTAGGCTGCACCAAATGAACCACGTTTAACCCCCATACCTCTGTATGCTTGATAGAAAGTGCAGCACAGCACAAATTGTAATACAGTACACTGTACTGAAGACCATCAACAAAGTTACAACGTGCAACGGACACAACAACCCCAGCAATCCCTGCCAACTGTTTTGCGGAATACCGGAGGTGATAGGACTGCCGACGGGCTTGAGCTCATGAGCTGCATCTACCAGGTCTCGCTTCGTATTAAATATGACTATAACTAGTATAGCAGCATACTCACGGCGAATTTTCGCCCCGGTTGCTAGAGGACATTGCGTCGGAAAATGTTGTATCCTAGCTTCACCGCCCCCAAGTATCCTATACACACTCATACTTTTACTAAATTGGTTTCAAAAATATATGCACGAAGTGCCGGGTTTGCATCAGATTTTATTGAAATGACTGGGCTTGGAGTTTAATATGGAAAACGGTATAGGCAGCACGGGGATCGATGCCACGAGCGAGCGCAGCGAGCACTGGTAGACAGCGCTCGTGTTCCCGACGTTGCCCACATGCTGACCAGCTAGAACTTGCATGTCGGAGTCATCAGTCGCCGCCATAAATGAAGACAGGAATGCCCTGTGAGTAAGCCGTCTCTCACGTTTCGACGCCTGCTCAACCAGTTTATCTGGTTGCTCCTGGCCCGTCACACTCCGATCGAGATGATCGACGAGTTTTAAGATGCAGAGCTGAATTCGCCCTGGCCCGAATATACTTCGCTAAAAGACGGGTCTCAAGGACGCAGAGTGTTTAGATCTCTTCAGTAGGTAAGAAAGACATTAACTGCAATCAGCCTTAAGGTTTATATATAATGATTATTCTCTTGCTACTAACTCGTCAACTAACAGTCAACAAACGTACAGCTAACAGTGAGTTAGTGTCTAGTAAATTTTACTAACAGCAAAACGCCCTACACTAGTTAATTTTGCAACTACCTTGCCTTGGTCCCCTCTGATACACTCTACCAGCTTCTTGGTTCTTCAATGCTTGGATCTGCGCAGCAGTCTTCTGGGTGATCGTGTGTGTAGGCCGCCTCACCCTGCTTACTTGGGTTAAAAAAAAGCAACAACAAAAAAGCAACGCAAACGTTCTAACAAACCACGGTTCTCCCATAAGTGACAACAGTGATCCTCAATTCAAAAACTAACGGCCGGCTAATACGATCGCTAACGACAATAGCAATCCGGTCGTGCTAATCAAATATATATTTCTGCCGGCATTACCGGCTCTTACCGTACCCCGTTTTATTAGTGAACAGGAAGCTTCGTGGCACGTTTTATCTTGGCCTTTGTATAGTGACATTAAAGAGGAAAGTGCGAGGCTCCTGTATTGCGCTTCCGGGCGTGCCCACCCGGGGGAGATCAAAGTTCGTTAGGCACTGCTTTATTGTATTTTGTTTTACTTTGTTGTATTGTGCTTTGCTTTGCTCAGTTGAATTATATTGTACATTTTCCTATTATATTGTGTCGTTCAGGGCGACATGTTGCTTATGTTTAACAGAGATTATTAACTCTTATCAACGAGCCGATCTATTTTATTGGCACCTCGGTAATGGAGGTGCAAAAGCCCTCAGCTAGAGTTCAGGACACGTGCAGTCTAGTGACGAAGGTTGAGCAAGAAAGGTGTAGCGGTTTTCTCTTTACGGGGTCATAAGCTACGGATGCAGCCATCTATTACGGGGGAATTAGGGGCGCAACGTCCTCGATAAAATATGCCTCACTTCCCGGCATTTTCATGGCGGTACTTGCGAGGGGCTAACGGACTGATATGCCTGCTCACTGAATAAGACAATAGACGCCTGTGGGTCTGTTCAACATGACACAACGCAGCCATTTTATACTGTAGTAGAAACGACTTGACAAGAAACATTCGGGGAGATTCGTATTTTAGGCTTATGTGCTAGCTTGTTTTTCTGTGGCAGCCCGCTCATTGCGCTCGGTTTTAGGGTGCCCAACCTCACCACGATCCAATCACTTCTTGGTAGTGGCGTGTTTGATCTTTTCGTAGTTTTCCTTGGCCTTGTCCACAATCGGGTAGTTGAATGCCTTCTTGATGGCATTGGTGACCGCGCGAATGGCTTGCATGCCTGACAGTTGTCGCTCCGGCAGCAATGCGCCATGATCGATGGACGGTTCAGCACGAAGTCGGCGCGCTTGATCCAGTGTCGCGGCGTTGACGTTCAGTGCCAGGAGAGCAAGCAGAGCGATGGCCTTGAGAAGGTAGGAGAAGTTCATACTTGCGTCAGGCGTGGGTCGGGGGGGGGGGGGCTTGTTCGTGGCTGGTTGAAAGCAAGAATGAGCGATGGCGAGCGAGAAGTACCGGCATGTAAAATATGATTGCAGCTACAGCTCGAGAGCGCTGAGCTGCCGTGAAGCTGCTCAAATCAAGATAGATTTAATCACGAGCGCACCCGACGTGGCAGGATCTGGCACCAGCGTTTGGATATAGGGATATAGGAGCAGATTCAGATGGGGTAAATCTTGGGTGCGCTGCGCTTGCGCCAAGACGAGCCCGCACAATTGAGTACGACAATATAGTCTGTCAAAAAAATGCCGTGGGCCGACACGAGAAGTACCGGTCGATGACAATGGATTTCAGGACACAAAACTCCACGATGCCGCCGTCAGAACCCCACCGGATTGGCTTGTACGAGGTGGCGGGGAGGGGGTTGTTGCCCACGCACCTATCGGTAGACCTCCCACTGATAGCAGTAAAGTTGGATTATGACTTTGTATAGTGAAGTACTTCTAACAATTTCGATACATGTGAATTATGGTATGCTAGCAAGAGCATATCAATGAGGACAAGATCATACCAATAACGGAACTGCAACAAAAGAACAAATCCTAACACGGGATAGTGCGGGGTCACCACTTTACAATTGTGCAGACAATATTGCGGTACCCTCTTGTCTTACAGTTACTGCAAGTACTACTGCAGTACGTGGGCTACATTTGAAGTGGAGTCTGCTACACGTCAACATATCGATAACCCCGTTACTTTGCAGATATAGCGTGCGCCGCGTATGGTCTTAAGTGCATTACATGTTAGCAATCCCGTTTTCAGCATAAAATATACTGGCAACTTGAGTATTCCGGGCTGGCCTGTGCGGACAATAATATTGTAAATTATACTGTAGAATGGCTTACTGATAATATGGTAAGTCAGAACTATAGTACTGTAGTACGTATCGTAGAATCTGATTACATACGATCATTCGAGATCGGATATGTAGAGTACATGTATCTTGCCGGAGCTGCGGTGAACCTGATTACGGCGAACCTGATTACGGTGTCCATGGGTAATCTGTTCGTACACCTGTAGTTGGTAAGATGTGCATAGGTTCGATCACGAGCGCGCCCAAAGCGGCAAACATGTGGCATGGTATGGCTGCCATACTGTACATGTAGGCTAACCTCTCGTACCGTATGTGCCCATGAAAAGTTACAAATCCACTGTGACTGCAAGTTACAGTGAAAACAATCACTGGATTTTCCTATGTCGAAAGTGACAGTGAGTCTTTCTAGGGTAGGTGAAAATCTGCCGCTGTGCACTTTCACTGTAAGATTACATTTGTTTTACACTGCTTTGAATTCAAATGACTAGTATTCAATCGTGCAACACAGCACAAATTGTAATACAGTACACTGTACTGAAGACCATCAACAAAGTTACAACGTGCAACGGGCACAACAACCCCAGCAATCCCTGCCAACTGTTTTGCGGAATACTGGAGGTGATAGGACTGCCGACGGGCTTGAGCTCATGAGCTGCATCTACCAGGTCTCGCTTCGTATTAAATATGACTATAACTAGTATAGCAGCATACTCACGGCGAATTTTCGCCCCGGTTGCTAGAGGACATTGCGTCGGAAAATGTTGTATCCTAGCTTCACCGCCCCCAAGTATCCTATACACACTCATACTTTTACTAAATTGGTTTCAAAAATATATGCACGAAGTGCCGGGTTTGCATCAGATTTTATTGAAATGACTGGGCTTGGAGTTTAATATGGAAAACGGTATAGGCAGCACGGGGATCGATGCCACGAGCGAGCGCAGCGAGCACTGGTAGACAGCGCTCGTGTTCCCGACGTTGCCCACATGCTGACCAGCTAGAACTTGCATGTCGGAGTCATCAGTCGCCGCCATAAATGAAGACAGGAATGCCCTGTGAGTAAGCCGTCTCTCACGTTTCGACGCCTGCTCAACCAGTTTATCTGGTTGCTCCTGGCCCGTCACACTCCGATCGAGATGATCGACGAGTTTTAAGATGCAGAGCTGAATTCGCCCTGGCCCGAATATACTTCGCTAAAAGACGGGTCTCAAGGACGCAGAGTGTTTAGATCTCTTCAGTAGGTAAGAAAGACATTAACTGCAATCAGCCTTAAGGTTTATATATAATGATTATTCTCTTGCTACTAACTCGTCAACTAACAGTCAACAAACGTACAGCTAACAGTGAGTTAGTGTCTAGTAAATTTTACTAACAGCAAAACGCCCTACACTAGTTAATTTTGCAACTACCTTGCCTTGGTCCCCTCTGATACACTCTACCAGCTTCTTGGTTCTTCAATGCTTGGATCTGCGCAGCAGTCTTCTGGGTGATCGTGTGTGTAGGCCGCCTCACCCTGCTTACTTGGGTTAAAAAAAAGCAACAACAAAAAAGCAACGCAAACGTTCTAACAAACCACGGTTCTCCCATAAGTGACAACAGTGATCCTCAATTCAAAAACTAACGGCCGGCTAATACGATCGCTAACGACAATAGCAATCCGGTCGTGCTAATCAAATATATATTTCTGCCGGCATTACCGGCTCTTACCGTACCCCGTTTTATTAGTGAACAGGAAGCTTCGTGGCACGTTTTATCTTGGCCTTTGTATAGTGACATTAAAGAGGAAAGTGCGAGGCTCCTGTATTGCGCTTCCGGGCGTGCCCACCCGGGGGAGATCAAAGTTCGTTAGGCACTGCTTTATTGTATTTTGTTTTACTTTGTTGTATTGTGCTTTGCTTTGCTCAGTTGAATTATATTGTACATTTTCCTATTATATTGTGTCGTTCAGGGCGACATGTTGCTTATGTTTAACAGAGATTATTAACTCTTATCAACGAGCCGATCTATTTTATTGGCACCTCGGTAATGGAGGTGCAAAAGCCCTCAGCTAGAGTTCAGGACACGTGCAGTCTAGTGACGAAGGTTGAGCAAGAAAGGTGTAGCGGTTTTCTCTTTACGGGGTCATAAGCTACGGATGCAGCCATCTATTACGGGGGAATTAGGGGCGCAACGTCCTCGATAAAATATGCCTCACTTCCCGGCATTTTCATGGCGGTACTTGCGAGGGGCTAACGGACTGATATGCCTGCTCACTGAATAAGACAATAGACGCCTGTGGGTCTGTTCAACATGACACAACGCAGCCATTTTATACTGTAGTAGAAACGACTTGACAAGAAACATTCGGGGAGATTCGTATTTTAGGCTTATGTGCTAGCTTGTTTTTCTGTGGCAGCCCGCTCATTGCGCTCGGTTTTAGGGTGCCCAACCTCACCACGATCCAATCACTTCTTGGTAGTGGCGTGTTTGATCTTTTCGTAGTTTTCCTTGGCCTTGTCCACAATCGGGTAGTTGAATGCCTTCTTGATGGCATTGGTGACCGCGCGAATGGCTTGCATGCCTGACAGTTGTCGCTCCGGCAGCAATGCGCCATGATCGATGGACGGTTCAGCACGAAGTCGGCGCGCTTGATCCAGTGTCGCGGCGTTGACGTTCAGTGCCAGGAGAGCAAGCAGAGCGATGGCCTTGAGAAGGTAGGAGAAGTTCATACTTGCGTCAGGCGTGGGTGGGGGGGGGGGCATGTGAATTATGGTATGCTAGCAAGAGCATATCAATGAGGACAAGATCATACCAATAACGGAACTGCAACAAAAGAACAAATCCTAACACGGGATAGTGCGGGGTCACCACTTTACAATTGTGCAGACAATATTGCGGTACCCTCTTGTCTTACAGTTACTGCAAGTACTACTGCAGTACGTGGGCTACATTTGAAGTGGAGTCTGCTACACGTCAACATATCGATAACCCCGTTACTTTGCAGATATAGCGTGCGCCGCGTATGGTCTTAAGTGCATTACATGTTAGCAATCCCGTTTTCAGCATAAAATATACTGGCAACTTGAGTATTCCGGGCTGGCCTGTGCGGACAATAATATTGTAAATTATACTGTAGAATGGCTTACTGATAATATGGTAAGTCAGAACTATAGTACTGTAGTACGTATCGTAGAATCTGATTACATACGATCATTCGAGATCGGATATGTAGAGTACATGTATCTTGCCGGAGCTGCGGTGAACCTGATTACGGCGAACCTGATTACGGTGTCCATGGGTAATCTGTTCGTACACCTGTAGTTGGTAAGATGTGCATAGGTTCGATCACGAGCGCGCCCAAAGCGGCAAACATCTGGCATGGTACGGCTGCCATACTGTACATGTAGGCTAACCTCTCGTACCGTATGTGCCCATGAAAAGTTACAAATCCACTGTGACTGCAAGTTACAGTGAAAACAATCACTGGATTTTCCTATGTCGAAAGTGACAGTGAGTCTTTCTAGGGTAGGTGAAAATCTGCCGCTGTGCACTTTCACTGTAAGATTACATTTGTTTTACACTGCTTTGAATTCAAATGACTAGTATTCAATCGTGCAACACAGCACAAATTGTAATACAGTACACTGTACTGAAGACCATCAACAAAGTTACAACGTGCAACGGGCACAACAACCCCAGCAATCCCTGCCAACTGTTTTGCGGAATACTGGAGGTGATAGGACTGCCGACGGGCTTGAGCCCATGAGCTGCATCTACCAGGTTCCGCTTCGTACTAAATAGGAGTATAAATAGGACTAAAATTTTAGTCCACGTAGTGCATCAGAACTCTGGCTCAAGTTCTAAAGAGGCTTCCATACGCTCGGGCCTTTGGTGGGCACCTCGTACTTCTATACGGGAAGCAGCATGTGCAAAGTACATGAGCTGATTCGGCATTTCTACTTGAGATAGCAATGCAGAACTGCCAATCAAGTACTTTACCGCGCGTATGAGAAAAACGACAACACCGATCTTCGGAAGTGAAATACAGTTCAGTCCGAAGTTGAAGTTGAACTCGGGAGTTAGGTGTGGTGTTATCTTGTACCCAGGCGTCTCCGGACTCGGAGGGATTTCATTTCCGAAGTTGCGTCGAGTGAACCACTGGCCGCAGGCACTATTTAAAGTTCCTAGCTAGAAAACAACTGACGGGAGTATGCGAGTCTGCTGGGCCTTGTTCTTAGCAGTAGCGTCAATCGCGACCTGCGTCAACGCGACAGCGGATAGTATCGCTCGAAGCCACGTCAAGACGCTGAAGACTCCCTCCACAACATCAACGGATCTCCATCAAGATTCTGTCAACTATAAGCGCTTTCTTAGGTCCGACAAGGCCAACGTCGAAGATGAGGAGGATCGGTTGTACACGCTAATCAAGGCGAGGTTTGGTCCATACGTCGACTACCTCAAAACGATCTACAAGGTGAAAGCCAACCAACAAATCGCGAATGCGGCCGCGCGAATTGAGCATAAGCCCCCCCGTTCGATCAGGTAGACGACGCAACGAGTTTGTCGACGATAAGAGCGGCTGAGCAAGAACTGGAAGAGCGATTTAGTTGGTGAAGTGCGCGAGGGGCCGTCATGCCAATGTATGGCATACAATTGGGTATCAGGTAGCGTCATCGGCTGCATCATCGTCGGATTATACTGTAGCGCAATGTGCCTGCCTGGCCATGGAGTAGCATAAACTTACCTTGGAATAATATGACCCGAACCATTGTCAATAAACTAAGTTTGCAACAAGCAGTCAGGCATAGGATCTATGCCGTTCATTTGGTTAAGGTCAGCAAGAAGGTACCTTGCTTGAGAGGCATGGTGCGCCGAGTGGCAACCCCTGTCAGGGATGGTGGATGGGTTAATATTGCAACTACCTTGCCTTGGTCCCCTCTGATACAACACTCTACCAGCTTCTTGGTTCTTCAATGCTTGGATCTGCGCAGCAGTCTTCTGGGTGATCGTGTGTGTAGGCCGCCTCACCCTGCTTACTTGGGTTAAAAAAAAGCAACAACAAAAAAGCAACGCAAACGTTCTAACAAACCACGGTTCTCCCATAAGTGACAACAGTGATCCTCAATTCAAAAACTAACGGCCGGCTAATACGATCGCTAACGACAATAGCAATCCGGTCGTGCTAATCAAATATATATTTCTGCCGGCATTACCGGCTCTTACCGTACCCCGTTTTATTAGTGAACAGGAAGCTTCGTGGCACGTTTTATCTTGGCCTTTGTATAGTGACATTAAAGAGGAAAGTGCGAGGCTCCTGTATTGCGCTTCCGGGCGTGCCCACCCGGGGGAGATCAAAGTTCGTTAGGCACTGCTTTATTGTATTTTGTTTTACTTTGTTGTATTGTGCTTTGCTTTGCTCAGTTGAATTATATTGTACATTTTCCTATTATATTGTGTCGTTCAGGGCGAGATGTTGCTTATGTTTAACAGAGATTATTAACTCTTATCAACGAGCCGATCTATTTTATTGGCACCTCGGTAATGGAGGTGCAAAAGCCCTCAGCTAGAGTTCAGGACACGTGCAGTCTAGTGACGAAGGTTGAGCAAGAAAGGTGTAGCGGTTTTCTCTTTACGGGGTCATAAGCTACGGATGCAGCCATCTATTACGGGGGAATTAGGGGCGCAACGTCCTCGATAAAATATGCCTCACTTCCCGGCATTTTCATGGCGGTACTTGCGAGGGGCTAACGGACTGATATGCCTGCTCACTGAATAAGACAATAGACGCCTGTGGGTCTGTTCAACATGACACAACGCAGCCATTTTATACTGTAGTAGAAACGACTTGACAAGAAACATTCGGGGAGATTCGTATTTTAGGCTTATGTGCTAGCTTGTTTTTCTGTGGCAGCCCGCTCATTGCGCTCGGTTTTAGGGTGCCCAACCTCACCACGATCCAATCACTTCTTGGTAGTGGCGTGTTTGATCTTTTCGTAGTTTTCCTTGGCCTTGTCCACAATCGGGTAGTTGAATGCCTTCTTGATGGCATTGGTGACCGCGCGAATGGCTTGCATGCCTGACAGTTGTCGCTCCGGCAGCAATGCGCCATGATCGATGGACGGTTCAGCACGAAGTCGGCGCGCTTGATCCAGTGTCGCGGCGTTGACGTTCAGTGCCAGGAGAGCAAGCAGAGCGATGGCCTTGAGAAGGTAGGAGAAGTTCATACTTGCGTCAGGCGTGGGTGGGGGGGGGGGGGGGGGCTTTTTCGTGGCTGGTTGAAAGCAAGAATGAGCGATGGCGAGCGAGAAGTACCGGCATGTAAAATATGATTGCAGCTACAGCTCGAGAGCGCTGAGCTGCCGTGAAGCTGCTCAAATCAAGATAGATTTAATCACGAGCGCACCCGACGTGGCAGGATCTGGCACCAGCGTTTGGATATAGGTATAGGGATATAGGAGCAGATTCAGATGGGGTAAATCTTGGGTGCGCTGCGCTTGCGCCAAGACGAGCCCGCACAATTGAGTAGTCTGTCAAAAAAATGCCGTGGGCCGACACGAGAAGTACCGGTCGATGACAATGGATTTCAGGACACAAAACTCCACGATGCCGCCGTCAGAACCCCACCGGATTGGCTTGTACGAGGTGGCGGGGAGGGGGTTGTTGCCCACACACCTATCGGTAGACCTCCCACTGATAGCAGTAAAATTGGATTATGACTTTGTATAGTGAAGTACTTCTAACAATTTCGATACATGTGAATTATGGTATGCTAGCAAGAGCATATCAATGAGGACAAGATCATACCAATAACGGAACTGCAACAAAAGAACAAATCCTAACACGGGATAGTGCGGGGTCACCACTTTACAATTGTGCAGACAATATTGCGGTACCCTCTTGTCTTACAGTTACTGCAAGTACTACTGCAGTACGTGGGCTACATTTGAAGTGGAGTCTGCTACACGTCAACATATCGATAACCCCGTTACTTTGCAGATATAGCGTGCGCCGCGTATGGTCTTAAGTGCATTACATGTTAGCAATCCCGTTTTCAGCATAAAATATACTGGCAACTTGAGTATTCCGGGCTGGCCTGTGCGGACAATAATATTGTAAATTATACTGTAGAATGGCTTACTGATAATATGGTAAGTCAGAACTATAGTACTGTAGTACGTATCGTAGAATCTGATTACATACGATCATTCGAGATCGGATATGTAGAGTACATGTATCTTGCCGGAGCTGCGGTGAACCTGATTACGGCGAACCTGATTACGGTGTCCATGGGTAATCTGTTCGTACACCTGTAGTTGGTAAGATGTGCATAGGTTCGATCACGAGCGCGCCCAAAGCGGCAAACATCTGGCATGGTACGGCTGCCATACTGTACATGTAGGCTAACCTCTCGTACCGTATGTGCCCATGAAAAGTTACAAATCCACTGTGACTGCAAGTTACAGTGAAAACAATCACTGGATTTTCCTATGTCGAAAGTGACAGTGAGTCTTTCTAGGGTAGGTGAAAATCTGCCGCTGTGCACTTTCACTGTAAGATTACATTTGTTTTACACTGCTTTGAATTCAAATGACTAGTATTCAATCGTGCAACACAGCACAAATTGTAATACAGTACACTGTACTGAAGAGCATCAACAAAGTTACAACGTGCAACGGGCACAACAACCCCAGCAATCCCTGCCAACTGTTTTGCGGAATACTGGAGGTGATAGGACTGCCGACGGGCTTGAGCCCATGAGCTGCATCTACCAGGTTCCGCTTCGTACTAAATAGGAGTATAAATAGGACTAAAATTTTAGTCCACGTAGTGCATCAGAACTCTGGCTCAAGTTCTAAAGAGGCTTCCATACGCTCGGGCCTTTGGTGGGCACCTCGTACTTCTATACGGGAAGCAGCATGTGCAAAGTACATGAGCTGATTCGGCATTTCTACTTGAGATAGCAATGCAGAACTGCCAATCAAGTACTTTACCGCGCGTATGAGAAAAACGACAACACCATCCTCACAGGATCTTCGGAAGTGAAATACAGTTCAGTCCGAAGTTGAAGTTGAACTCGGGAGTTAGGTGTGGTGTTATCTTGTACCCAGGCGTCTCCGGACTCGGAGGGATTTCATTTCCGAAGTTGCGTCGAGTGAACCACTGGCCGCAGGCACTATTTAAAGTTCCTAGCTAGAAAACAACTGACGGGAGTATGCGAGTCTGCTGGGCCTTGTTCTTAGCAGTAGCGTCAATCGCGACCTGCGTCAACGCGACAGCGGATAGTATCGCTCGAAGCCACGTCAAGACGCTGAAGACTCCCTCCACAACATCAACGGATCTCCATCAAGATTCTGTCAACTATAAGCGCTTTCTTAGGTCCGACAAGGCCAACGTCGAAGATGAGGAGGATCGGTTGTACACGCTAATCAAGGCGAGGTTTGGTCCATACGTCGACTACCTCAAAACGATCTACAAGGTGAAAGCCAACCAACAAATCGCGAATGCGGCCGCGCGAATTGAGCATAAGCCCCCCCGTTCGATCAGGTAGACGACGCAACGAGTTTGTCGACGATAAGAGCGGCTGAGCAAGAACTGGAAGAGCGATTTAGTTGGTGAAGTGCGCGAGGGGCCGTCATGCCAATGTATGGCATACAATTGGGTATCAGGTAGCGTCATTGGCTGCATCATCGTCGGATTATACTGTAGCGCAATGTGCCTGCCTGGCCATGGAGTAGCATAAACTTACCTTGGAATAATATGACCCGAACCATTGTCAATAAACTAAGTTTGCAACAAGCAGTCAGGCATAGGATCTATGCCGTTCATTTGGTTAAGGTCAGCAAGAAGGTACCTTGCTTGAGAGGCAAGGTGCGCCGAGTGGCAACCCCTGTCAGGGATGGTGGATGGGTTAATATTGCAACTACCTTGCCTTGGTCCCCTCTGATACAACACTCTACCAGCTTCTTGGTTCTTCAATGCTTGGATCTGCGCAGCAGTCTTCTGGGTGATTGTGTGTAGGCCGCCTCATCCTGCTTACTTGGGTTTAAAAAACTAATAATAAAAGCAACGCAAACGTTCTAACAAACTACGGCTCTCCCAATCCGGCCGTATGTTTTTGAATTGAGGATCATTATTGTCACTTAGCTAATTCGATCGCTAACGAATATAGCAATCAGGCCGTGCTAATCATATATATATATTTCTGCCGGCATTATCGGCTCTTTCCGTACCCCGTTTTATTAGTGAGCAGCCTTTTATTGTGGCATTATTGAGGCGGGTGAACGCCTTTATCGTCCAGGGTGTATAGCGTACATCCGGTAGGCTTAGTCCCGGGAGTGTTTAGCTTACGGAAACCCGAAACTTACAATGAATATAAGCTCCGGTTGACGTGTGACCTTGTGCAATCCCTATAGGTGTCGTTTATCTTCGGCGGACCGAGTTTCAACCATGGGAATCGCAATTGATCTCGTTCCGGGAGTCCTGAATGGGAGCGAGATCATGAGCAAAGACCTTTTCCAAAATAACCAATATCAATACAGAGTATGT